AAAATATTTTAAAGTTAAAAATTCGAAAAATTAAAAAAATCTAATATAGAAAAGATAAAAATATTATTATCAAAAATCGGAAAATGCAAAAAAATAATAAGATTTTTTTTTAAAATCCAAAAATAATCCCAAGACAAAAAAAAATTGTTGAAAAAAAATTGCTGCTAAAAATCAACGACAACGCCAAAAAAAATTTAAAAGATCATTAAAAACACATTTAAAACAAGATAAAACATGTATTTTAAAAATATTAATATTAATAAAATTCCAAAAGATCTCAAAACTTTAAATTAAAATAATCAAAAATCAAAAAATTCCCCTCATTTTTCAAAAATAAAAATATTTGTTTCAAACAACCATCTCCTCACACCCCGAGATTTGGAGATTTTAATTCCCTTTATCCATGAAAAGCCCTCCCAAATGAGACGAAATGGAGGCGGCGAGAGTTCAAAAATTGGATTAGCAAGATCTCGCAAAAGGAGAAGACGAACATAACAACAAACATTGGGGGAGGGAGAAAGAGTCGATCTGCCAGTTGAGGTTGACTTTTCAATTTTTGCAATTTGAATATTCAAGTGTTTCGAGTCGGATTGGTTTTCATGAGGGGTGATTTGGAGAGAGAAAAACTGGGAGATTGGCAAAAAAAATGAAAATGAAAAAATAAAAAAAATAAAAAAATAAAATAAAAAAAATAAAATAAAGAAAAATAAAAAAAAAAAAATAAAATAAAATAAAAAAAAATAAAATAAAAGAAAAAATAAAATAAAATAAAATAAAAAAAAATAAAATAAAAGAAAAAAATAAAATAAAATAAAAAAAATAAAATTAAGGAAAATAAAAAAAATAAAATAAAATAAAAAAAATAAAATAAAGAAAAATAAAAAAAATAAAATAAAATAAAATAAAAAAAAATAAAATAAAATAAAAAATAAAATAAAATAAAAAAAATAAAATTAAGAAAAATAAAAAAAATAAAATAAAATAAAAAAAAATAAAATAAAAAAAAAATAAAAAAATGAAATAAATAAAAATCAAGTGTCTTACAATAAAAGTTATAAAATCAGTCTGTCGGGAAAATAATGAGCTCTCTGTTGCATCGAAAATCAAATCGGAAAAAATGAATTGTGTCGCGGCAAAATCAAAAAAAATTTTTTTTTCATTTCAGCAGCGACAGTGTGCTCATTATTTCCCCGACAGCATAGTATTCGTATAATATTTTGGACAACATATGTAGTCAAAAATTGGCCATATTTTTTTTTAATTTTTCAATTTTTTCCCCAAAAAAATTAATTTATTTTTCCAAAAATATAAAAAAAGTTGGTTTAATTTATAGAGAATAGATGTATTTACGTATTTTACCATCAAAACCTAGAATTTTCCCCTCCAAAACTAACAAAACATAAACAAAAATAAAAGTTCAGCTGCCCTCAAAAACTACAAATTTATCCTTCAACCCTAAATAAACTCTCTTCCACCTCATTTTACACCCTTAATTCAACTTCAAACCCGTTGTAAACTCTTGATTTGACCAGTTTTGTAAAGGCGAGGAATTAATTTTGACAGGACAAGAAGTCGTAAAACCCGATTGGTCAAGAGGAGACAACCGAAACGGAGGGATTTTAATTCCCCTCCCCTTCTGTACAAACCCATTCAAGCAAGACGCCGAACGAAATTACCATGCAAATTTGAATACTTTTGCGCGGTATGTATAACAAATATTGGGAAATGCGAAAAAAAAATATTTGAAAAAAATTTTTTTTTTTGCACAGTGCAGTCTCAAACAGACAAAAAGTTTTTGCACAGTGCAAAATTTTATAAAGTTTCCTCTGCACCGTGCATATTCATAAAAATGGAAAATTTTGCACAGTGCACTGATTTTTTTTTTGTAATTCTTTTGCACAGTGCAGTCTCAGAAAGATAAAAAATTTTTGCACAGTGCAAATTTTTTTTTCAAATTTTTTTTTTGTGCAAATTTATAAAAATCAAAAATGGCACAGGGCAAATAAGATATTCTTTTGCGCGGTGCAGTCTTCAACAAATTCAAAAAACGAACCAGAAAATTAACTAGAATTGTAAATAGTTGTTTAAAAGGCCAAACACATGAAACTTATCATAGTGCGTCTTGACATTTTTCGAAAATTTCGAAATTCCCGCAATTTTTGGCATTCTGCCCATCTTTCCAAAATTTGCAAAAAACTGCTTAAACTAAAGTTCTAGACTTTGTAGAGGCCAACATACTTATGTAAATTTGTAACAGTGCGCTTTGACCTTCTAAAATTCAATGTTCCCGCCATTTTTTGGCATTCTGCCCTACTTTCAAAAATCGATCAAAAACTTATTCAAACTTAAATTTCAGACCTTATGAAGGCCGCTTACCTCATGAAAATCACATTTAGTCTTGTTTGACACTTAAAAATTTAAAACTCCCGCCATTTTTGGCATTCTGCCCAACTTTCAAAAACCGGTCGAAAACGTACAAAACTAGAAAAACTAAGTTCCATAAAAGTCATTTATTAACTGAAAATGTATGAAATTATAATTTGACGTTCAAAAATCTCAAAATTCCCGCCATTTTTGGCATTCTGCCCAACTTTCAAAAACCGGTCGAAAACGTACAAAACTAGAAAAACTAAGTTCCATAAAAGTCATTTATTAACTGAAAATGTATGAAATTATAATTTGACGTTCAAAAATCTCAAAATTCCCGCCATTTTTGGCATTCTGCCCAACTTTCAAAAACCGGTCGAAAACGTACAAAACCAGAAAAACTAAGTTCCATAAAAGTCATTTATTAACTGAAAATGTATGAAATTATAATTTGACGTTCAAAAATCTCAAAATTCCCGCCATTTTTGGCATTGTGCCCAACTTTCAAAAACCGGTCGAAAACGTACAAAACTAGAAAAACTACGTTCCATAAAGGCCATTTACTTACTGAAAATGTCTGAAATTATAATTTGACGTTTAAAAATGCAAAATTCCCGCAATTTTTGGCATTCTGCCCATCTTTCAAAAATCGGTCGAAAACGTATTAAACTAGAAAAACTGCGTTCCATAAAAGTCATTTACTTACTGAAAATGTCTGAAATTATAATTTGACGTTCTAAAATTCAAACTTCCCGCCATTTTTGGCATTGTGCCCAACTTTTAAAAATCGATCGAAAATTTGTTCAAACTAAAATTTTAGACGTTACGAAGGCCGCTTACCTCATAAAAATCACATTTAGTCTTGTTTCACACTTAAAAATTTAAAACTCCCGCCATTTTTGGCATTGTGCCCAACTTTCAAAAAACCGGTCGAAAACGTACTAAAGTAGAAAAAACACGTTCCATAAGGTCATTTACTTACTGAAAATGTGTGAAATTATAAGTTGACGTTTAAAAATTCAAAATTCCCGCAATTTTTGGCATTCTGCCCAACCTCCCAAAATCGGTCCAAAAATTTACCAAAACCAAAATTTCAGACCCCATAAAGTCCATACACCCGTATTCCACCATATTTACACAGAAGACCATATAGCGGACCGCCGTAACGCCTAATACGACGCCATAACCCCGAAATGGATAGGGCCGGATATGTTTGGCCTGGGTGCCAATCTTTGTTTATTATGTTTACCGTTCGGATCCCCATAAGGCGACGCTGCCGATCGGCGCGCGACTCTTTACGACCCACGACATTTATATCATAGTTCGGGAATATTGGCGCGAAAAACCGATTAAAAATCTCAAACTGAGACGTTTATGGGAGGCAAATATAAGGATTTCGGGGGCCTTCAAGGACGGCATGGTATGATTTCTGAGGTTAAGATCAGAAAAAAAAGAATAAAATAAAATAAAAAATTTTTTTTTGAAAATTAAAAAAAATTCGAAAAAAATCCGAACATCAGATAAAAAATTTTTGAAAATACAGTAACCCAACCAAAATTTTTTGAAATTAAATCGAAAAAATTAAAAAAAAAAATTTTATTAAAAAAAAATCCAAAAAAAATCCGAACATCAGATAAAAAATTTTTGAAAATACAGTAACCCAACCAAAATTTTTTGAAATTAAAATCGATAAAATAAAAAAAAAAAAATTTTTTAATTAAAAAAAAATTCAAAAAAAAATCTAAAAATCCCCAAAAAAATTTTTTTTGAATCCTACAGTAACCCTACCACATTTTCTGAAAATAAAATCAAAAAATAAAATAAAAATTTTTTTTTTGAAAATTTTAAAAAATCCAAAAAAATCAAAAAATCCCAAAAAAAAAATTTTTTTTTAGAAATTAAAAAATTCAAAAAAAAAATTAAAAAACCCAAAAAATTTTTTTAAACCCTATTATAATCCGGCCAAGATTTTTTGAAATTAAAATCAAAAAAATAAAAAAAAATTTTTTTTGAAAATTTAAAAAATTCCGAAAAAAATCCAAAATTTCCCAAATTTTTTTGAACCCTGCAGCTGCATGCAGTAATCCGGCTAAAATTTTTTGAAATTAAAATCGAGAAATAAAAAAAAATTTTTGAAAGTTAAAAAAAATCCCAAAAAATCAAAAAACCCCCCAAAAAAAATTTTTTTTTGACCCCTACAGTAACCCTGCCAAGATTTGTTTCTCTTGTCCTTTGGTATGTTTTGCGTTGTAACGCGAGTCGCGTCGAGGGTCATTAAGGCGAAAAACGGCTTAGCGACGGACCCGGATTAGAGGCGGAAAACGGATTGGGAAAACAAATGGACAAGAAAAAAATGGTCATCAGAGTGTGTAATGAGTGTATTGGTTGCCATAAATTTGAAATTTAATAAAATAAATGTGAATAAAATTCGATGCACAGTGCAATTTTTGGAATTTTCTTTGTTGCACAGTGCAAGAGAAAAAATTTTTTTTTTACACCGTGCAGACAAAAATTCAGACTTTACCGGATAATTTTGAAAAAAAAAATTTTGTGAGTTTGATTTCAAATAAAAAAATTTTTTAATTTCATTTGTTTACCAAGTTGGTGGGGCCTTTGCCCACGTCAAATTCGACATGTTGTTCTTGATTTATGGTATGTTACAGTAACCCAATCTTTTTTTATTCCAGAAACCCGATCTTTTTTATGTTACAGTAATCCAAAATTTTTTCTGTTACAGTAACCCAAAAAAATTCTTGTTACAGTAACACCAGTTTTTCATGTTACAGTAACCCAGTCTTTTTAGAAAAAGTTCCTTATTTTGGCCACAACAAAGGTACTCCGCGAACTGCGCCCAAGCTTGGGCACTAAATTTAGGAAAAAACGCTTCGACCTAGTTGGCACTGAATTACTATAATAGCTCTATAGTTTTGAGGATACCTACGAAGGCTATGACGACTCATTTAGTTCCATACGGAGGCAATAAGTTTAGTTCCGGACATGTTTCATCGTATAAAGTGTAAAATCACAGGCTGCAGCCGTTTTTGAAGGGTAAAGTGGTACGTGAAAAAGAAGGTAACTCACTAACTAAATCCACTGTCCGGGCATTGACAACGATGAATTGAGCGTGCACGCTAAATTTGGGCTAATTCTGATCAGTTTCCGCAAAGTTATAAGTTGTGGCCAGAATAAGGAACTTTTACCCCCAATTTAAGCATTGTACAGTAACCCAGCCCTTATGTTACAGTAACCCCTTTTTTCATGTTACAGTCCCCAATCTTCTTACGGCATTGCAATTTAACTTTTTTATGTTACAGTAACCCATTTCTATGTTATAATAACCCAATCTTTCCATTTTGCGATATTCCAATTTTTCCGTGTTACAGTAACCCCATATTTTTACGCCATGGTAACCCAATCTTTTTGTACGACAGTAACCCAATCTTCCGGTCTTATTATGCTTCAGTCACCCATCTTTTTTATGTTACAGTAATTCAATTTTTTTTTGTGTTACAGTAACCCAATCTTTACTTTATAGTAATCCTATCTTTTTTATTTTACAGTAGCCCAAATTCTCACGGTTTTCTGCGCATTTTGCACCGGACTTTTGGCAATTTGGATTCAATGTGGAAATACTCGGAAGCCGAGGCAAGTTCAAGGAAAGCAAGACGTGTTCATCACCAACATTCCGATTGACGAACCCTCGGAGAGAAGTCAAACTGTGAGAATCAAGCAGCCTCCAGGCGCTTATAACCCCATGTATATGTGAGTTGACCCATGCTCCGTCAGATTATCACCTCGTATTTTACTTTTTTTTAGGAAATCCCCGAAATCCAGCACAGCCAAGAAGAAGGCGGACGCCGAGAGGTCGGGGAAACCGAATCCCAAGGAGAAACCAGATAAACAACCCTCGGAAAGGACGGCAATTCCTGGATCCGAGCTGAAGTCGAAGCTCTCGACTGTGTCCAAGAAGAAGGAGACAAAAAAAGCGGCGAGCGGAGTGGATAAAAGTGGAAAGAACAGGTAAAATACTAGCAGCTTATCGACGGAAATAATGAGCAATGGGCTCTGTAAAAAAGCGATTGAATACGGTAGATTTAGAGTAAAATATTTTGGGAAAGCCGGAGTACTTATTAGAGATTTCCACGGCCAAAATTTCGGCTAGGACTCTTAGTTCTCAGAGCCGGAGCCGAGGCCAGATTTGGGGCTTTGGCTTCGGCTCTTGGCCAAAACATAGGGGAAGTAAGTACTCCAAGTGCGACGCTCAGATTTTGATGAAACTTGGCACAAATTTAGAGTAATTTTTTCTAAGATGTATGCGATAATCCTAGTTCGCGCTTTGCAGAAACAACCGAGATTTTTAGCTCAAACGTTGACAAAAATTTGACACTTTTTGCCGAACTTTGGCATGAAAAGTTTTATGCATGGTGCTAAATAGTACTACCTGGTACTGTTTAGTACGAGGTGAAAATTTGGCCGGTAATGGTGTTGGTTTGGTGCTTAGTGCAGCCCAAAAACACATTTTTAACACTTCGTACTATATAGTACCAACTGGTACTGTTTAGTACGAGGTGAAAATTTGGCCGGTAATGGTGTTGGTTTGGTGCTTAGTGCAGCCCAAAAACACATTCATAGCACTTGGTACTATATAGTCCTTGAAATAGATTCCAACGACTTCTTGTGGCGAATAGTAAATATTATTTAAAAAATCTCTGATTTTTTTGAAATTCTTGGCCAGCTAAAACTATGGTATATGCATCAGAATGGGCTAGTCTCCCTTCAAGCCCTCGGGAAATGAATTCCACCTTTCAGTTCGACGACTGAGAGCTCCGGAAAACATCGAAAGTCGGGTCGGTCGGGACGAAAAAATGTGGTCAGAGTGGAGAGAAGAGGAGCGGACAGCAAGAGGTCGTTGGCGGGTAAGTCGATTCCTCAATGTTTAGACCTAGATTTCTGCAAAATCTTTGTAGAAAATCTCAAATTTTGGATGCCAAAAAAATAATTTTTTCACCCAGAAATTTAGCCCTGAACTCGGACAGAACGCAATCCGACGCCGAACACGACGATCCCAAGCCGATGACAAAAACCAAAAAAGAGCGAGACGAGTGGAAGGAAATCCTAAAGGCCGTGAACGATGAGAGCAAGAAGAACAGTACGAAAAATCCAAGCCATAAGCGGAAAAAGGAACCCGAAAAGAAGCCCTTTAAAGCTCAGAGAAAAGCCGAAGTCAAATCCAAAGGTAGGGCAAAACGATTTGAGAATTTACAAGTTTATCGCACAGTGCAATTTTGTAGAGTAAATTGGCCTAGGTTTTTGCACTGTGCAGTTTTTAGAGCGAGTCAGCTGCACTGTGCGTTTTGCGTTTTTTTCGCACCGTGCAGAAGAAAAGAGATTGTTTGTTGCTCCCGCACAGTGCAAAAAGATTTTTTTTTATTTTGCACAGTGCAAAGGATAAAAATTTTGCCGCCATGGTTGCCGTGCAAAAAAATTTTTTTTTCCATTGCACAGTGCAAAAAATGTGTATTTTTGCACAGCGCAGTTTTGTAGAGTAAATTAGCCTATTATGTTTTTGCACTGTGCAGTGGAAAAGACATTGGTTTGTTTGTCGCTGCGCCTGCACAGTGCAAAAAGATTTTTGGCCCTTCGCACAGTGCAATTTTGCAGAGTAAGTTAGCCTATGCTTTCGCACCGTGCAGAGGAAAGAAGATTGTTTGTCGCTGCGCCCGCACAGTGCAAAAAGATTTTTGGCTCTTTGCACTGTGCAGTTTTTAGAGCGAGTCGGTTGCACTGTGCGTTTAGCATTTTTTTCGCACCGTGCAGAGGAAAAAGAGATTGTTTGTCGCTGCGCCTGCACAATGCAAAAAGACTTTTTGGCCCTTCGCACTGTGCAGTTTCGTAGAGTAAGTTAGCCTACGAATTCGCACTGTGCAGTTTTTGGAGTTCCGCCCGGCTGCACTGTGCGTTTTGATTTTTTTCGCACCGTGCGTAGGAAAAGAGATTGTTTGTCGCTCCTGCACAGTGCAAAAAGGTTTTTGGGCTCTCTGCACAGTGCAACGATAAACTTGTCTTTTTCCATTCTAGCCGCACAGTGCAAAGGAATTTCTTTTTTTATTTTGCACAGTGCAAAGAAAAAAAATTTTGCCGCCATGGTTGCCGTCGCCGTTGCACCGTGCAAAAAAATTTTTTTTTCGTTGCACAGTGCAATAAAAATTTAAATTTTGCACAGTGCAAAAAATGTGTATTCTCGCACAGTGCAGTTTTGTAGGGTAAAAAAGCCTAGGCTTTTGCACTGTGCAAAATTTTTTTTAAGTCTTTTTTTTTTTTTTGATTTTTTTCAAGATCTACAAAGAACCCGTTTCAGTGACCAATCTCAGCGATATGATGACAACCAGTCTACGAAAATCAAAGAGAAGCAAAAAGAAGTCCAAAAAAGATTCGACGAAAGAGAAGGAAAAGTCGGCCAGATCTGTAAAATTCAGCCGGCATTCCAAGGAAAGGCTGAACAGCGTGAGGAGAAAGCTCCGAGACACACTCTCCTCGATGGCCGAGCAAGTGAAGACGGAGTTGGATGGTCCCGGAGCTCGGTTGGAAGGCGATAAAAAGCCAAAACCCGAGGATAAATCGATGAAATCAAAGAGTTTATTAGTGTAAGTAGTGTTTTTGAGACATATAATAATGAAAATAGAAAAAAAAATTCAAAAAAATGAAGTTTTTTTGATTAAAATTGACCTCAATGCCATGGATAATATAATTTTTATATTTTAAAGCTCAATGTATGATATGACTATTAAATTTTCAGCCCCCAACCGCCTTCACGCGGCTCACAAAGAACGCATGTGGATGCTGGAAGCGAAAAGAGCAAAGGAAAATCCACAAAATCTAAACGCAACCCGCCGAAGAGCAAAAAAGGGGAATAAAACAATTTTTTTAATTTTAAACATATGTTTTTACTCGCAAATATCACTCGATAAATAGTTTAGACTCTAATTTATTCATTGACATACCTTTCGGAACTGATAACGTTCCTTTATTAGTGAAAAATCCAAAAATTGTTTTTCTGCACTGTGCGATTTTCCAAAAGACTTTACCGCACCGTGCAAAAAAATTTTTTTCTCGTAAAATCCGCACAGTGCAAAACAATATCTTATAGAGCCTGCACTGTGCAAAAAAATAAAAGTCCACCGCACAGTGCAAAAAGATTTTTTCTTGGAATCTGCACTGTGCGGAAAGTATTATAATAAAGTTTCACCGCACTGTGCAAAATTTTTTTTTTAATCCGCACAGTGCAAAAAAACTATTTTATAAAGTCTGCACTGTGCAAAAACAGAAAATTTTTTTACTGCACAGTGCAAAGAAAATCTTTTTGTAAAAACCGCACTGTGCAAAAACAAATCAAATTTCGCCGCACAGTGCAAAAAAAATTATTTTCTTAAAAATCGCACTGTGCAAAAAATTTCCCAGCACAGTGCAAAAAAAATCTTTTCGTAAAATCCGCACTGTGCAAAAACAAATTAAATTTCGCCGCACAGTGCAAAAAACACAATACATAAAATCTCACAGCACAGTGCAAAAAAAACTTTTTCCTGAAAATCCGCACAGTGCAAAAAACTTTTTTCAAAAAATCCGCGCGGTGCAAAATTTTTTTTCTAAAAATCCGCACAGTGCAAAAAACTTTTTTCCAAAAACCCGCACAGCGCAAAAAATGAATAAAATTCTCCCAAATTCCCCAAAATTTCGAATGCCAAAAAAATTCCCCTCCCAACTTTTCCCCATTATTCATGGGGACAATTGTTTTTGCGGATGTGTTTACCGCGCCGCCGCCTTTTACGCTTTGGCACCATGGGTAATTTTGCGTAATCTCCACAAAAGCGGAAACGTTTTGCGGGGAGCGGAAAGACAAAGGGCAGTTGGCAAATGGATCCCAAATTGCTTGAAAATTTGCATACGAACGAAATTTCAAAAAAAAAAAATCAAAATTTTTTGGTTGCACAGAGCTTCACAAAACGTTTTTTTTTTGCACCGTGCAGAAGTCAAAAAATTGCACCGTGCGGTTTTTAGGTTTTGCCAGCTGCACTGTGCGTTTTTGTTTTTTTCGCACCGTGCAGAGGAAAGGAAATTGTTTGTCGCTGCATTTGCACAGTGCCAAAAGGTTTTTGTTTTTTTCGCACCGTGCAGAGGAAAGGAAATTGTTTGTCGCTGCATTTGCACAGTGCCAAAAGGTTTTTGTTTTTTTCGCACCGTGCAGAGGAAAGGAAATTGTTTGTCGCTGCATTTGCACAGTGCCAAAAGGTTTTTGTTTTTTTCGCACCGTGCAGAGGGAAGGAATTGTTTGTCGCTGCGCACGCACAGTGCAAAAAGGTTTTTGTTATTTCGCACCGTGCAGAGGAAAGGAAATTGGTTGTCGCTGCGCCTGCACAGTGCAAAAAGGTTTTTGTTTTCTTTCGCACTGTGCAGAGGGAAGAAATTGGTTGTCGCTGTGCACGCACAGTGCAAAAAGGTTTTTGTTTTTTCGCACCGTGCAGAGGAAAGGAAATTGGTTGTCGCTGCGCCTGCACAGTGCAAAAAGGTTTTTGTTTTTTTCGCACCGTGCAGAGGAAAGGAAATTGTTTGTCGCTGCATTTGCACAGTGCCAAAAGGTTTTTGTTTTTTTCGCACCGTGCAGAGGGAAGGAATTGTTTGTCGCTGCGCACGCACAGTGCAAAAAGGTTTTTGTTATTTCGCACCGTGCAGAGGAAAGGAAATTGGTTGTCGCTGCGCCTGCACAGTGCAAAAAGGTTTTTGTTTTTTTCGCACCGTGCAGAGGAAAGGAAATTGTTTGTCGCTGCATTTGCACAGTGCCAAAAGGTTTTTGTTTTTTTCGCACCGTGCAGAGGGAAGGAATTGTTTGTCGCTGCGCACGCACAGTGCAAAAAGGTTTTTGTTATTTCGCACCGTGCAGAGGAAAGGAAATTGGTTGTCGCTGCGCCTGCACAGTGCAAAAAGGTTTTTGTTTTCTTTCGCACTGTGCAGAGGGAAGAAATTGGTTGTCGCTGTGCACGCACAGTGCAAAAAGGTTTTTGTTTTTTCGCACCGTGCAGAGGAAAGGAAATTGGTTGTCGCTGCGCCTGCACAGTGCAAAAAGGTTTTTGTTTTCTTTCGCACTGTGCAGAGGGAAGAAATTGGTTGTCGCTGTGCACGCACAGTGCAAAAAGGTTTTTGTTTTTTCGCACCGTGCAGAGGAAAGAAATTGGTTGTCGCTGCGCCTGCACAGTGCAAAAAGGTTTTTGTTTTCTTTCGCACTGTGCAGAGGGAAGAAATTGGTTGTCGCTGTGCACGCACAGTGCAAAAAGGTTTTTGTTTTTTCGCACCGTGCAGAGGAAAGGAAATTGGTTGTCACTGCGCCTGCACAGTGCAAAAAGGTTTTTGTTTTTTTCGCACCGTGCAGAGGAAAGGAAATTGTTTGTCGCTGCATTTGCACAGTGCCAAAAGGTTTTTGTTTTTTTCGCACCGTGCAGAGGGAAGGAATTGTTTGTCGCTGCGCCTGCACAGTGCAAAAAGGTTTTTGTTTTTTTCGCACCGTGCAGAGGGAAGGAATTGTTTGTCGCTGCGCACGCACAGTGCAAAAAGGTTTTTGTTATTTCGCACCGTGCAGAGGAAAGGAAATTGGTTGTCGCTGCGCCTGCACAGTGCAAAAAGGTTTTTGTTTTTTTCGCACCGTGCAGAGGAAAGGAAATTGTTTGTCGCTGCATTTGCACAGTGCCAAAAGGTTTTTGTTTTTTTCGCACCGTGCAGAGGGAAGGAATTGTTTGTCGCTGCGCACGCACAGTGCAAAAAGGTTTTTGTTATTTCGCACCGTGCAGAGGAAAGGAAATTGGTTGTCGCTGCGCCTGCACAGTGCAAAAAGGTTTTTGTTTTTTTCGCACCGTGCAGAGGAAAGGAAATTGTTTGTCGCTGCATTTGCACAGTGCCAAAAGGTTTTTGTTTTTTTCGCACCGTGCAGAGGGAAGGAATTGTTTGTCGCTGCGCACGCACAGTGCAAAAAGGTTTTTGTTATTTCGCACCGTGCAGAGGAAAGGAAATTGGTTGTCGCTGCGCCTGCACAGTGCAAAAAGGTTTTTGTTTTCTTTCGCACTGTGCAGAGGGAAGAAATTGGTTGTCGCTGTGCACGCACAGTGCAAAAAGGTTTTTGTTTTTTCGCACCGTGCAGAGGAAAGGAAATTGGTTGTCGCTGCGCCTGCACAGTGCAAAAAGGTTTTTGTTTTCTTTCGCACTGTGCAGAGGGAAGAAATTGGTTGTCGCTGTGCACGCACAGTGCAAAAAGGTTTTTGTTTTTTCGCACCGTGCAGAGGAAAGAAATTGGTTGTCGCTGCGCCTGCACAGTGCAAAAAGGTTTTTGTTTTCTTTCGCACTGTGCAGAGGAAAGGAAATTGGTTGTCACTGCGCCTGCACAGTGCAAAAAGGTTTTTGTTTTTTTCGCACCGTGCAGAGGAAAGGAAATTGTTTGTCGCTGCATTTGCACAGTGCCAAAAGGTTTTTGTTTTCTTTCGCACTGTGCAGAGGGAAGAAATTGGTTGTCGCTGTGCACGCACAGTGCAAAAAGGTTTTTGTTTTTTCGCACCGTGCAGAGGAAAGGAAATTGGTTGTCACTGCGCCTGCACAGTGCAAAAAGGTTTTTGTTTTTTTCGCACCGTGCAGAGGAAAGGAAATTGTTTGTCGCTGCATTTGCACAGTGCCAAAAGGTTTTTGTTTTTTTCGCACCGTGCAGAGGGAAGGAATTGTTTGTCGCTGCGCCTGCACAGTGCAAAAAGGTTTTTGTTTTTTTCGCACCGTGCAGAGGGAAGGAATTGTTTGTCGCTGCGCACGCACAGTGCAAAAAGGTTTTTGTTATTTCGCACCGTGCAGAGGAAAGGAAATTGGTTGTCGCTGCGCCTGCACAGTGCAAAAAGGTTTTTGTTTTCTTTCGCACTGTGCAGAGGGAAGAAATTGGTTGTCGCTGTGCACGCACAGTGCAAAAAGGTTTTTGTTTTTTCGCACCGTGCAGAGGAAAGAAATTGGTTGTCGCTGCGCCTGCACAGTGCAAAAAGGTTTTTGTTTTCTTTCGCACTGTGCAGAGGGAAGAAATTGGTTGTCGCTGTGCACGCACAGTGCAAAAAGGTTTTTGGCCCCCGCACAGTGCAGCCACAAGCTTTTCTTTTTCCACGCTGGCCGCACAGTGCAAACAAGTTTTTTCTCGTTTTGCACAGTGCAGAAGGGAAGACACTTTGCCGTCGCAGTTGCACCGTGCAAAAAAGGAACGTTTTTACTTTACGCACAGTGCAAGGAAATCTTAAACTTTGCACAGTGCAAAAAATGCGTATTCTCGCACAGTGCAGTTTTGTTGAGTAAATTAGCTTGCAATTTTGCACTGTGCGAAATTTATTTAATTTTGCACAGTGCAGAAAGGCAAAAACTTTGTTTTTTTTTAAATCACGTAACAATGCAAAAAATTACTTTACACAGTATAAATTCATGAACCAAGCTCCAATTCGAAATAAAAATTTATAAAAAAAAGCCTGACTTTCGACGTGAATTTAAAAAATTGAGCCCCCCGGAGGCGCACGAGCCCATTAGGGGGAATGAGAACAAAGCGTGTCCACAATGTCCATTTATTTCAAATTATTCTAAACAAAGTTTCTTTTGCCCTCGGGGCATTATAAAAAGTCGGAGGTCCGCGAAAGAAATTGTTTTAAGGAAATGGACATTGAAATTTTTTTTTGGAAAAATTAAAATTTACTGAAAAATAAAAAAAATGTTTTGCACTGTGCGGTTGTTGCGACAAAAAAGTTCTGTTGCACGGTGCAGATTTCTCAAGACTACATTTCTTTGCTGCACTGTGCATTCAATCATTTTTGTCAGCTGCACAGTGCAAAACAAAAAAGTTTGTTTTGCACTGTGCAATTGCTGCGACAAAAAACTTCTTTTGCACGGTGCAGATTTCTCAAGACAACATTTTTTGCTGCACTGTGCGTTTCAGTCATTTTTGTCAGCTGCACAGTAAAACACAAAAAAGTTTGGTTTGCACTGTGCAGCTGATGCGACAAAAAAGTGTTTTTTGCACGGTGCAGATTTCTCAAGACGGAATTTCTTTTTCTGCACTGTGCATTCAAAGTCCTTCTAAAAACTGCACTGTGCAAAACAAAAAATCAGTTTTGCACTGTGCGGTTGTTGCGACAAAAAGTGGTTTCGCACGGTGCAGGTTTCTCAAGACTACATTTTTTTGCTGCACTGTGCGTTTCAATCCTTTTTGTTAGCTGCACAGTGCAAAAAAAGAAGAAAAATAGCGCACAGTGCAAAGCTGAGATTTTGATGAAATTTGGACTAAATTCAAATAAAATTCGTAAAGACGTAGATAGAGCTGATATTTAGCTCAATTTTCGCCGAAAAAATCAAAATTTTTAGGTGAAAAAATCAAAAAAAAAAATTAAAAAAAAGACAAAAAAAATTTTTTTGCAATTTTCGGGGACAAAAATATATCAAAACTGATTTTTATCCTCCTCGTTATAGCCTAGCGACAAAATTTCAGTATTCAAAAAAATTTTTATCTCCAAAAAATTTCCAAAAAGACCCTAAAATCCCAAAAATTACCGAGCAAGCCGACGATGGCATTTGATTAAGGCCCTGGGGGCATTTTAATGAGGGCAGAAGGTAAGAGAGTCCCCTTCGAAAACAAACCTCGACAGAAAAAAAAAAACTTTACTGCGTAATAAAACGGCCCCTCTCTGTCGCTTTTATAACACCTTGGGAGTTTTTAGTAATCGGATTTCCACTCCGCCGCCCAAAAACTATTAAACCCATAACAATTTGAGAGGGATTCGCAATGTTTTCGGATGTCGTTTTGGCACTTGCCCGAGGCAAAAATTGTCTTGAAAGCGAGAAATCATGATTTTACTGGACAGTTGCAAATTTTGAAGAGAAAAAAGGGGAAAATCCCAGATTTTTGAAAAAAATGTCTTGAAAAGTAGTAAAGTGAAGATGTAGAACAATAAAAAGTGATGTAAAATACAGAAAATTAAATTTCAAAAAACATTTTTTTTTCTCGCCGCACAGTGCAGTCCAAACAGCCCGAAAAAACCCACTGCACCGTGCAAAAAGCGAGCAAGAAATTATTGCACAGTGCAAAGTGAACATTTTGTTTTTGCACAGTGCATGTCGCTGAAATCACTCCAGCGGATTGAAAAAAGTCAGGGTGCGAGCGACAGCCCAAAAAAGCCTATTGCACCGTGCAAAAAGGCAAGAAATTGCACAGTGCAAAGTGAACTTTTGTTTTCGCACAGTGCATGTCGCGGAAATGCAAACTTTTGTTTTCGCACAGTGCATGTCGCTGAAATGCGAACTTTTGTTTTTGCATGTGCGTGTCGCTGAAATGCGAACTTTTGCTTTTGCACTGTGCATGCCGTCGATTTTATTTTTTCCGCTGAATTGCACTGTGCGAAAAATGTCAGGGTGCGAGCGACAGCCCAAGAAGCCTATTGCACGGTGCAAAAAGCAAAAAATGCACAGTGCAAAAGAAGCGCCGCGGCAACTTCCCGTGTTGCTCTAGCGACATGCTCTTTTCTGCAAGCGCACCACGCGACGTCGCCAAAAAATTCTACGGACTTTCTGGAACGACTAGTTGTAAGTGCGTCTGTTTCACACAGATTTGTCATTACCACGTCTTGCTTAATGAATATTTAACGAATCAGGCGTACGTATTTGTTGAAGGTGACTTTGAGGGCTTGCTTGGTTATTTGGAATTCTTGGACTGTGAAACAGGTTGTTTTTTGCCGACCAAGAGCTAAACTGGTTGTTAAAAGTTATAATTATTGGCAATTTTCGTACGGTTCGCAATACGTATTAGCATATCGGCTATGGAGCAAGTTTTGGGAAAGTTGCGGAAATGGTGGGATGAGGTAAGTGACAGCGACTACAGACTGTTTAGACAGACTACAGACTGTTTAGGCCCTGTGGGAGGTATGCATAAACCGTTTAGGGGCTGTGGAAGGAATGTATTTGAGTGTACGATTAAGAGGGAGACATTACGGCACCTCTCTAGCTATACAATGTCGAAAGAAAACCCAGTAAGCTCAAGAGCCAAGTGATTTGTTTAGTGGAAAGGAGGCCCACGTCAAAACAATTCTTTCAGAAAATTGAAAAAACAAGGAATCTCGGATCATTGATTTTTTGCGAAGTGCCACAGAATTATCGAGCTTGAAAAATTATTTTCCTCTTCGAAAAAACATTTTTCTCGAAATTCCCTGGGAAAGTTTTCTTTTGTGACTCGATAATTCAGCGACGTTTCGTGTTGGCGCTAAGCCCCAAATTTGCATAAGTTCGCCAATTCACTATAAAAGACACGGATCAAATCATTTTATAATCACTTTTCCTTCTGTGTGTGTCCAATAAAGACTCCTTCTCTTTGTCTTCTCGTCTTCCACGACCGGTCGATCCTCAACTTCATTTCTTCTCCTGGCCTGCCAGTTTTATGGGGGGTTTCGTCAAAAATCAATGGTCCGAGGTCCCTTGTCCTTTCACTTTTTCTTTGACGTGAGGGATTTTTTAGGAAAGCCCCACGTACGAAAGAACAATCAAATTTGAATAAATGCAGGTAGCTTCTCGTGGGAAAATCCTCGAAGCTCGGTCGTTTCGCCTCACATATAATAAAACAAGAGGCGTTGATTAGGCTAAATCCATCTTCATATCAATATGCCTCCGCCGAATACCAACGCTTAATCGTGTTGCTTTAGATCATGCAAATAAACCGCACAACAATACACTCATTTTTTGACACAGTGTTCTCGATATGGGGGATCATTACGTGCAGTCTGGTCATCTACCTGTCATTGACAAACTACAGAAATAAAGCTTTGAGAGTTTACAGGATTATGTTGGTCACTAATGCGACTGTCGACCTGCTCTACGCCATCAACACGTTGTGCACTTTTTGCGTAAGTTTTTATTGCCTCCTACTTGCAAGAGGCAATAAACCAGCGATTCTCGACTGGATAGTCTATTAAGAGTCTGTCGGGAAAATAGCTCATTATTATCCCGACAGACTGATAGCACATATAGCAATATCGTCACTACGACCGCGTGCAGAATAACCTTGTTTTGGAAGACACAATTCCAATTTTCAGACCGCCGCATTCGGCTACAAAGCCGTATTCATGCTCATCGACAACCCATACTGGCCGAAAACAGTGTGGTGGACGTATGCCGGCCTCTGCACGAACCTTTTTTTCATGTTTCTGAGCGTTGGAATGTTGCCACTGCAGTTCATCTACCGCTACGGGGTGATGCGGACGAAGGCGTTCACGCGGAAACAAATGTTCGGCTTCTTTTGCGTTGCGTTGGGTTTCGCCACCATGCATGGCTTTGCGTCGCCGTGGACGTTCACGCCGCCTTCGGCGGAATGGGAGCCCACAATCCGCGAGGCGCTGTCGTTGGGCGAGGACGCGGACTTGCCGGGTTATGTGGTGGGAGACGTGGTAAGGAAGCGTGTGTATTTCTGCGTAAACAGGGAGAAGAGTTGGCTGCCGCGCTGGGCCGGGCCGAAAAAAAATTGAAATGGGCCGGGCCAGCCCGAGAGCCATGCCTAACAGGAACTACAAAATCGATCGATATGGGAGGTAGAGCAGGCGAACACTCAAAAAAAAGGTGTAGTTAGTGCCTACGAGGCTTGACAAAGCCGTTGGATGGCCGGCGAAGACTTGGCGAAGGCTCGCGGAGACTTGCGATATGTCCACTTTTTCTAACTATAGCTATTACTAACGTTAGTTTTTATTCATCCTGGGTTACGGTTACATATAAAAGACCAAACCTTACGACAAAAAAAGCAGACCCGTAACTTTTACCCAGATATTATTAATGTCAGTACATGGAAGATACCTCAAAAATAGGTGATAAGCTATCCTAGAACCAGATAAATCTTATTATTTCTAATAACCAAGCCTTCTCCTAGCCTCTAGCATTGTCAGCGTTTTCGTAACACACCCCGTTTCAGAGAGAATTTGGCGTGATGGCGTTGCACTTCATCGACATCTTTGTCATCATGTTCCTCTCGTACGCAGTGATCATTATAATGGTGGTCTTGTCCAAGCACACCATCACAATGGACGAGGTGGCGGCCGCAAGTCCGCTGACCAAGGCCGTCCAACGACAAGTCACCCGGATCATCTACGTCCAGGTAAAATGTGCATATTATTGAACGGTTTGCAACTGTTGGTGATAGTGCCAAATTTGCATAATGGATTTGGCTATAAAAGCCACAAGAATACACTTTTATCTCACTCTTTTCTCGTCCTTGACGAATAAACTCTCTGTTTTGAGCGGTCGATCTCGTCTCCAGACTACCCAATCTCCTCCTTTCCGTGATCATCTCGTATAGTAACAACAAATTGCAGGCGATCTACCCGCTCTTTGTCATATGCGCTCCGTGTCTCGCCTTCCCGATCCTGGCCCTCAAGGGCGCCGAGGTGAAGTTCTTCGGCGAATGGGCCATGCTGTCCATGCACACGCCGCCGCTGGTCAACTCGCTGTCGGTGATCCTGTGCGTGCCCAGCTACCGCCGCGTGGTCACACATCCATTCACGGCGGCCAAGGTCCGCTCTCTGTAAGTTCTGTGGCGCACTGTACAAGATTGCTGTAGCTGCCGTGCGGTGCGACGGCACTACAGGGTGTATCACAAAAGACCGGTTGTTCGTTTGTGTTAAGCTATTCCAAACTCACTCTCATGCATCAGGAGAGTAGAAACTAGGCGTTTAACGGCTTTACAGTAAGTCAGGTGTGCTGAGATGGGGAGGTGTTCGAGGTGCGTTGCTCACGAGGGAAGCTGTATCGAAAACGTCAAAAAAATCTGTCGAGAGGCCCGGGGGACAACCGCACGATAAGACGAGAAGCTCGAGTTCAAGTGATTTATTGAGTGAAAAGCGGCGCTTATATACTGAAATCCCACGTGGGAAAGTACAATCAAATTTGCATAATGAATGATGCTTTCCGTGGGAATTCGGGCTCGAAGTTCGTCGTTCCGCCTCACATCTTCCGCCTCACAAAATCTGACATGATTTTCGACCGAAAACGTCCGAAATTTCTCGATCATTTTCAACCGAAAAACACCCCTTTTCAGGGTAGAAATGCCCCTTCTTCAAAAGGTCGTAGCGACCTTAGTTTGAACTTTTAAATCTTGCTGTTTCATAGACCAAAGTTAATGTCACTTAAGAATACATATTCCAAAAACGAACTCTCTACGCCGCCTCCGCCGCAAGTTATAGCCACTGGGGATGAGCAACGCATCTCGAGCGACTTATTGCTGACAAAAAATTTTTAGAAAAGAAAAGTTGTTGCGATGCTTCCACGGAACCAAGACGACTTTCCCCCAGCTACACCCCTCCATTACTGCCCCAATCTCTTCCAATCACGCCACATAGTGAATCTCAAAGGCATTTGTATAAAAAGGCGTAAATAAACTACAATTTCCGGCGCGTCTAACTTATAAATTTGTTTCATCTTTAGCAACAGCTCGATTAAATTTGAATCTCACGTTGAAATGTCACAGAATCTTTGCTGTCCCAAATTTCTTTTGCACCCGGCAAACGCTCTTTGCATATAATTTTTTGACATATATATGTCTAAATGCTAGGCATTTTTTAGCAACAGGTGTAAAAAGGCGGTTAAATAACCAAACCATGTTTAACCATGCGACAAACTGGTGGTACCATGTTGAAAATTGGTACCGTAGACGAAGCAAGAATGATATGAATTGTAAATAATCTATATACAAATGATTTACAATTCAGCGTTTTGCTGAATAAACCGGGATTTTTAGATTGAAAGTCGGAAGAGTTTGGCGCTTCTTGCCAAGTTGCGGCCCGGAAAGTTTCATATTGCATCCCGCGACACCGCCAAAAAAACATTCCACGAACATTCCGACTAGTAGCATTTTCATAAAGTGCCTGGACATTTTTCCGTTTTTCGCACAGTGCATCTTATTTTTGCAAAGTGCCGAAAATTGCACGGTGCGAAGCAAACTTAGGTTTCCGCACAGTGCATATCGCCAAAGTCACGCTAGCGACTTACGAACCGATTGCACAGTGCAAAGTCAACTTTTGTTTCGCACAGTGCATTCGTCGATTTCATTCCGACGACTTGCACCGTGCCAAAACAGTCAGGGTGCGAGCGACAGCTCAAAAAAGCCTATTGCACAGTGCAAAAAACAACAAATTGCACAGTGCAAAGCAAACTTTTTTCCGCACGGTGCGGCCACAATAACAAGATCAAATTGGCAATAAAAAAGACAATAGAAAGTTGCGTAGAGGTCATTTTACCCCCCAACAGCGGAGTATTTTGAATTATGTCGGAGCCAGAAAAGAAAATAAAAACAAAGGAAAAAGGCCATGTTTTAATATCGGCGGAAGAGAGAAGAAAGAAATTATGCGCGAAAAAAGTTCCATGGCAATCCCAGGGCAACCGAACAATCGGCAATTACATGCGAACATATGTGTGTACATAAGGAAATAGTAAAGGGAGGTATTTGAAAAAACATTTTTTCGGGATTTTTTGAATTGTAAAGGGGGAGAAATGGGTATATTATAAAGTTATAGTCTTTTTTAAGGGTGTAATATCACTTAGTTGTCTGAATTAGTCCTGAAAAACACTTTAAGGCAAGTTGTTTATTTCAAAATTTAAATTTCCCGCCATTTTTGGCATTCTGTTTTAAGTGTCGTAAAGCAAAGAGAACGCCGTCAAATAACCCTTTACATAGGTGTGATACATTTGAAATAAATTTTTAAAGAAACTTTCAATATTTTTAGCCTCGTCGGAAAACTATCAAGATTTTTAGGCCGAAAAATACCTCAATTTGTAATCTTTTGGCGTTTTCCAAAAGAAAAATTGACCTTTTCATCAAGCAAGTGTTTGAAATACCCTTAAAACCGCCTCAGAATCGTTTTTCCAACTTGAAAAATTCAAAACTTCAAACTTCCCGCCATTTTTGGCATTCTGTTTTACCGGTCGATTTTAGGTAAAAACGTTGTCGAAAATATCAAATAAATCTTAGAATTGCATTTTCTATACCTAAATTGAATTTTAATTCACCTCCTTCTTATTTTTAAGTCATCAATTTATATTATCCATGACATTAATTTTATAAATTGCCTCAGGCAAAAACCCTAAAACTCCCTCCAAAACAATGAAAACAAGTCTAAAATCCCTGGAAATCAGCCGAAATCCATCCTCATGACCCGTATTTCGAAGCCATTCACAAACAAGCGGGAAAGCTCTTCAGAACTTTATGCAAATTTTAGTAGCTTCCGGCAAGCCGAAGAAAGGGATGAGGGGAATCTTGTCCGGCGGCGAGATTTCTTTGAGCGAAACAAAAGAATCGCCAGCCCGGAAATCTCTCTCTCTCTCTGACAAATCATCATTATTATGACAATATTATGAGAGAGTGGAGTAAATCGGGGAATAATTAGGGAAAGTTTGGTTTGGGAAAGATTTTATTTTATTTTGGGATTTTTACTAGTCTGTTCGTAAAGTTGCTGAGGTGATTTTTGACGTTCGTTGTGCGAAAATAGTCGGGGTGCGAGCGACAGCCGAAAAAGTTTATTGCACGGTGCGAAAAAACAGAAAGCTTGCACGGTGCAAAAAAAAAACAAAAAATTGCATAGTGCGAAAAAATGGAGAAATCAACTGCACTGTGCGAAAAACAGAGGAATCGCACTGTGCGAAAAGTCAATTTTTTCGCACCGTGCATTCTCAATTTCGTCTCTGTGCTCTGCACGGTGCGAAAAATGGGGGCGAGCGACAGCCCAAAAAAGTTCATTGCACGGTGCGAAAAAAACAAAAAATATGCACGGTGCGAAAAAACAAAAAATTTGCGCAGTGCAAAAAACATACGAATAGCACAGTGCGAAAAAATGGAGAAATCAACTGCACTGTGCAAAAAAACAAAATAATTGCACTGTGCGAAAAATCAATTTTCAATTTTGCACTGTGCAAAAAATGGGGGGCTAGCGACAACCCAAAAAAGTTTATTGCACGGTGCGAAAAAACAAAAAAATTTGCACGGTGCGAAAAACATACGAATTGCACAGTGCAAAAAAATAAATAAATCAACTGCACTGTGCGAAAAAACAGAGGGATCGCACTGTGCGAAAAGTCATTTTTTCGCACCGTGCATTCTCAATGTTGTCTCTGCGCTCTGCACGGTGCGAAAAAATAAAAAAACTCAACTGCACTGTGCAGTTTCAACCCTTTTCAAAAGAATTCATTTCGCACTGTGCGTGATCGCCGGAGTATCTCTCTATTCAAAAAAAAGCCTATTGCACGGTGCAAAAAGCATGGAAATGCACAGTGCAAAGTGAAATTTCGTTCTTGCACAGTGCATGTCAAGGAAATGACCCCAGCGACTTTTCTAACGAACTAATAAACGTTCAACAACAAAAAGCAGTCCAAGGAAAGCCCTGATCCCCCTCCGCTGACATGGCCCCCCTTTCTCGAGCGTTACATCAAGAGTCATTTCCTTCCGTGTCCATATGTTCGGGACTTACGACGAATGCGGTAAATCGGGACCTATTAGCGCATAAGCTATGCATAATTCGTTGCGTTCGCTAATCATCTTGGTCATACCTAATTATACGACGAATGGGGGAAAAGAAAAAGTGAAATACGAAAAAGCAAAAATGCACTGTGCGAAACGGAGGGAATCGCACAGTGCGCAAAAACAGAAAAAAAACGCACAGGGCAAAAAAGTTGCACCGTGCAGAAAAGGGCGCGAGCGACAGCAAAAAAAAGCCGATTGCACGGTGCAAAAAGCAAAAATTGCACAGTGCAAAGTGAACTTTTGCTTTCGCACAGTGCATGTCGCTAAAATCTCTGCAGCGACATTGCGAAGGATTGCACGGTGCAGAAAGCAAGGAAGTGCACAGTGCAGAGTGAAATTTTGTTTCCGCACAGTGCATGTCGCTAAAACCTCTCCAACGACTTATGACGATTGCACAGTGCAAAAAGAAAGGAACTGCACAGTGCAGAGTGAAATTTTGTTTTCGCACAGTGCATGTCGCTAAAACCTCTCCAACGACTTATGACGATTGCACAGTGCAAAAAGAAAGGAACTGCACAGTGCAGAGTGAAATTTTGTTTTCGCACAGTGCATTGTCGCCGAAATAACTCCAGCGACTTATGAAGGATTGCACGGTGCAAAAACCCAAACATTGCACAGTGCAGAGTGAACTTTTGTTTTCGCACGGTGCATGTCGCTAAAATCTCTGCAGCGACTTATGAAGATTGCACAGTGCAAAAAGCCGAAAATTGCACAGTGCAGAGTGAAGTTTTGTTTTCGCACAGTGCGCGATAATGCAAAATCTCATATTATATAGTGAAAACTGTGTATAGTTGCAAATCATCGTGACGTAACTGATCTTAAAGACCAAACCAAAGTTCTTTGCCGCCACCCACACATCACGTTGTTGGTCTTACAACTTTTTCGAGCAATTTAGCCAACGGTTCTGATTTGTTTCCCGTTTCCCTTCGGGAACGAAAATTTTGACTGATAAGAGGCGCATTTAGCGTGTGGTTATCGACGACCTTGATAATTTGGGGAAGTTTTGATGTCATTTCGGTCAATGGGGTGGCTATAAAAGATGGATTTTTTGATCAAATAAGGCAGATTCTTGAACCTCAAGTATGATATTAGGAGGGGAGAGTGATTTAGTTAGCTGAAGGATGTATTTTACTAACGTAAATTCGCCTCTGATCCACGTTATTTTCGGTTTTTGTCTAAAATGAGACACTTGACTCAATGGGTCAAGTGTTCTCTCAAAAGTAAAATTATCTTCGTGAATCCTCGAAGCCGAGTTTTCTCCGTTCTTTCACGCTGTTTCACGTTGATTGAGGGTTTATGAGTTCAGAAAAATGCTTCGACAACGACTTCCAGTCCTAACCACCAAGAGATTCAATGGAAATTTCGTCAAAGCCGCTGGTTTTGACGAAAAGACGAAAGACAAAGAGTACGGGTCGAGGCCGTTGTTGATTCGAGACGAAATGAATGCGTTGACCTATGAAGGAGTTAATTTGAGGGTTGGGCAGTACGCAAACTTGCTCAGCAGCAAGTACGGACTCGGTGTAGGTTCATTTGATATTGTACTTGAAGTTTAGACGATATTGCACTTGAAACTGGTGTAAAATGGAAGCTGATAAGCTAAAAACGAAGTCAGAGCTATCCTCTAACTTTTATAACGAGCAATTGCTTTTTTACACGTATTTTTTCATCAAATTCGTTAAAACTATCTTGTCCATCAAGTGCAATATAAATTTTGGCCATTTCAGAAAGGAGACCGACTGCTATCGAGAACCACGAAAACAGTAGATACTGTAGCCTTATATCTCGCTACTCTCAGACTTGGAGCCATCTACATTCCTCTCAATCCGGATTATACGACGAAAGAAACGACCCACTTTGTGAATGTAAGTCAAAACATTTTTCGATTATTTTTCTGGTGTTTAGGATGGAGAGCCTAAAGTCTTGGTCTCCTGTGAAGCCCAGAACGATAAAGTCTTCGAAGACAAAGGAGCTCGAGTTGTTGATGAGAAAGAGCTGGCCAAGGAGGCGAATTCCCAAAAGCCCGCATTGGAGGTGGAGAATGTCAGTCAAGACGATGTTGCGACAATTCTATACACTAGCGGGACTACTGGTGAGCTTTATTAGCTACTTTGAACGTTGAGGCGTCTATTAGAAAAAGAATTGGGCTGTTTTACATTGTTTTAGATTGATTTTTTTCAATTTTGGCATCACATGGCATAGATAATATAATTTTTTGCTCAAAACTTACTTTTCTTTTATTCTTTTTGTTTCCAGGTCTTCCCAAAGGAGCCATGTTGACTCACAGATGTCTTCAAGCGAACGGCGAGGCGCTGGCGGACTTGTGGAGGTTCACCAAGGACGATGTTCTTCTTCATCAGCTCCCCTTCTATCACATTCACGGAATGTGCATTACTTTCAGCACAACCTTGATGAGCAAGTCCTCGACCATCTTCAGACCCAAATTCGATGTCGATGACGCTTGCCATTGGATGCCAAAGTCGAGTATTTACGTCGGAGTCCCGACTTATTACACGTAAGTGATCTTGGATTTTTTTTTGATTTTTAGATTCCTAAATCACTGATTCTATCGGATTATTGAGCTTCATATGACAGATTATGATATAGTTTTTCAATTTTAGCCGATTGATGGCTGATACGAACAAGTTCAACAAGGAGGTTTTCAAAAATATCCGAGTTTTCATCTCCGGATCAGCGCCATTGACTCCGGCGACGTGGAATGGGTTCAAAGAACATACCGGACATCCGATCCTGGAACGTTATGGCATGAGTGAAAGTAAGGATCTTAATTTGGCTGTTTTTTAAGGAAAAATTTTTAAAAAAGTACCATGTATAATATAAATTTGTTGCCAAAAATGGCTGGAAATTTGATTGCCACTCTGAATAGGTTTGAGAATGATAGAGGATGAATGATTTTTTGATTTTTTCACTTTTGGACATTGTTTTAGACGGAAAAAAACATTATGCCAAAAATGGCGGGAATTTGAATTTTTAAATTTCCCAATACCGTAGAAAGTGGGCCTATAGGCTTACTAGATAATTGATGGTGTTTTTTTCACGTTTTGACATTGTTTTAGACGGTAAAAACATAATGCCAAGAAAGGCGGGAATTTGAATTTTTGAATTTCCTAATACCGTAGAAAGTGGGTTATAGGCTTACTAGATAATTGATGGTGTTTTTTCTTACGTTTTGACATTGTTTTAGACGGTAAAAACATAATGCCAAAAAAGGCGGGAATTTGAATTTTTGAATTTCCTAATACCGTAGAAAGTGGGTTTATAGGCTTACTAGATAATTGATGGTGTTTTTTCTTACGTTTTGACATTGTTTTACAAGGGATCGGCAAATAGTTGTACCCTGCTTTCTTAACGAAACCTATATCATTTGAAAGAGCATTAAAAATAGTTCACAGCGCAAAAAGAATTAGCTGCCTAAATTCACTTTGGACAAACTTATGGCCAAAATACAGATTTTAGCCTAATTTCCACCTCGCTTTATAAGCTCTCGGAACGGGAACAGAGTTGTGTCCAGTTGGCCGAGTGGTAGTGGGCCCACTTCCGGCGCGGCGAGTCCTGGTTTCGAATCCGGTCTTTGTAAAAATTTTGCGCTTCGTCTCTTATATGCCACAAAACCATGGTATGTTGACATTTTTTAATAATTTTTGTTCCTCTGCAGACAAAATCCATGGTTATGCAATTTTTCTGAGTTTTTGAATTTTTTTGAAACGACCACAAATTTGATGGTGATGAGAGTGGGTATGTCACTATCGTATAATTACAAGGGTGTTGTGCCAGTAACCTGACCGATTATAATTACTGGAGGATAATTCAATTTACAAGGGCCTATAAATATACATTTTTTCGAAAAAATACGAAGATAAAATTGTAAAATCGGCCAAAGACACTATTGCTGACACAGTGGACCAACCATTCATTTCCTAGCATTGGTAAGGCTAGGACATAAGAAATTTTCGATTTTGAAATTTTCGTTTGTGAATGACCACGACGATCATATAAATGTATTTCCAAAGCTTTTTGCTCCAATTTTCCCCTTAACCTAGTTTTATTTACAATTTACTGTAACTAGCAGTAATGTCTAATAACATATAACCGAGGATTGGTAAAGCCATAAAACGACCGTGATAGACGTTTTTGGATACCAGGAAATTAATAAAGACGATTTCAAACCGCCAGTATTACTGTAATATAAGGAACCGGCGTTTTGGCCGCATATAACCCCTTTCAAAAAGCGGTCGTATCTATGCCCTAAGGTAATTTAGGCAGCTAATTTTTTTTGCGGTGTGTACTATTTTTAATGCTCTTTCAAATGATACATGTTTCGTTAAGAAAGCAGGGTACAACTATTTGCCGATCCCTTGTTAGACGGTAAAAACGTTATGCCAAAAACGGCGGGAATTTGAATTTTTAAATTTCCTAATACCATAGAAAGTTGCGAGAAAGGCTTAGTAGACAATTAATGGTATTTTTTCACTTTCAGACAGTGTTTTAGACGGTTAAAACATAATGCCAAAAATGGCGGGAATTTGAATTTCTTAGTCTGATGGGTTGGGGAAAGCACTATAAATGATGAATTATGTGTTTAAAAAGTGTTTATTTATTTGTTCCAACAATTCTGGGCTATTTCCGACGCCTCGAACGGAATGCCAAAAATGGCGGGAATTTGAATTTTTTAATTTCCTAATACCGTAGAAAGGGGCCTGTAGGCTTAATAGAGAATTAATGGTATTTTTCACAGCCTTGGCATCCATTTCGAACCCGTACGAGCCCGAGAAACGCGTCCCCGGCTCGGTTGGAGTGCCCGTCCCGGGAATGTCGGTGCGCCTCGGCGAGAATGACGTCATTGAAGTGAAAGGTCCATCCGTATTCAAAGGATATTGGAAGTTGCCGGAGAAAACGAAGAGCGAATTCACCGCCGACGGCTACTTCAAAACCGGCGATGTTGGGCAGGTCGACGAAAATGGATACTATCATATTATGGCCAGAGAAAAGGACATGGTCATCTCGGGAGGGTTCAATGTCTATCCAAAGGAACTCGAGGACACCATCGACACGATGAAGTTGGTCAAAGAGGCTGCGGTGATCGGTAGGACGAGAATTTTGAGGTTGATATTGTAGTAGTGGGATCAAAAAAAATTAGTGTAATGTGGAGATGAGTGGGTAAATAGGGTAGACAATAATTTTATGAGGTGTTTTAGATGCTGAGAGTTTAATTTTATCAAGTTTTGACCGAAATATCGCAAAAAATTTTTGATGGTTTTGTCATGGATAATATAATTTTTTCTTTCTAAAGGGCTAAAATTAAGTCAAATTGGTTAGTTAGTATTGTAAGAGTAATTCTATGATCAATTGCGCTGATTTGGAACGAAAAAAATGGATTTTGGACCTAATTTTAGACACTAATTTTTAGGCGTTCCCCACCCCGATTTTGGCGAAGGTGTGGTCGCGGTTTGTGTCCCACTCCCCGGCACCAACAACGAAGAAACGGCCAAGAAATTGAAGGCCGAACTCAAGACCCGGCTCGCCAATTACAAACGCCCCAAGAAGTACATCTTTGTGGAGGAGTACCCGAGAAATTTCATCGGAAAAATCCAGAAAAACAAGCTCAGAGAGCAGTATAAGGACCTGTTCAAGGCCTAAAAGTAGATAGATAGTAAGTATAGGGAGAGTTTTTATACATTTTTATGGAAATGAATTTGTGATATTTGACTATCAGATGTGCCTTTGTGAATTTCCGGGTTTATAGGAGAAGTTTATATTGTTTAGAAGTGTAAAATAAAGAGATGAATAGGTGTATGAACTCATGGAGAATTCGAGATTTTGATAATTGTAAAGTTTTGCACTGTGCGGAAGTCCAATTAGATTTTGCACGGTGCGAAAAATGCCAATGAAAGTTAGGAATTGCACTGTGCATAAAATTCGAGAAAAATGAGAGTGAAAGTGCACAGTGCGAAAACGGCGATGAGAATTGCACTGTGCACAAAATTGGAGAAAGAGCGGAAGAAAGTGCACAGCGCAAAAAAGCGACAAAAATTGCACTGTGCGCCCCAAAGAAATGGGCGGAGTCTCCGAATTCTTGCACTGTGCAATGAAAAAAAACAGCGACAAAAATTGCACTGTGCACAAAATTGGAGAAAAATTGCACATTGCAAAAAAAAGCGACAAAAACTGCACTGTGCAAAAAATTGGAGAAAAGTTTAATGAAAGTGCACAGTGCGAAAACGGCGATGAGGATTGCACTGTGCACAAAACGACTGCACTGTGCGCCGCAAAATCGAAAGAAATGGGCGGAGCTTAGCAAATAAGTAATTTTTTATTACACTTGCACTGTGCAATAAAAAAAAAAAAAAAAAAAAAAAAAAAAATAATAAACTTACAAGAAACAGACCCGATTTTCCTTCAATAAATCTCTTTATTATAAGTTAACATGCTCAAAAATTTTTATACAGTAATTGTACTAACAATATATAAGAATTACTTTGATTTGGAAGGCCGGTTCTGAGGTACCAGTTCTGTATGACAATGTAAAATACGAAACAAAAGATGAATGAAAGTAGAGCGTACAATATTGGATATTGCCAGAAAATTATGCCAAGGATTATGTTATGAAATATGCTGAGATACCATGGGGAAAATAGTTGTAAAAAAGTGGAGAGGAAATACGAGAAAATTATGATGAAAAAGTTGCAAAAAATGTGAAATTTGTACAGTAATCGTGGGGCTGTTTTACAGCAAATGTTACAAGTCACTCAACAGGCAGTAAGACAAAGTTTGACGCGAAAAGAATGACAAATTTGTGGAAATTCATCAAAAAATCTCTCGAATTTTTGAGATTTTTTGATGAATTTCCACAAATTTGTCATTCTTTTCGCATCAAATGCTCCTAATTGCGTAATAATATCGTATAAGGGCACCTAATTTTCCTCGGCATTGGCTTCGGCCTTCGCGGCGCCAAACGATGGGATCCGTTTCAACGTGTTGGTGGAGAAGGTCGAGGAGGGTTTTTTCGGCGGAATCAGTGGGCTTTGGCTGGCATTCGGTTTGATTTTCGAGTTCTGGACCAGTGAGAGCATCTTCTGGATGGCCTGAGGGGATTCTACACCTGAAATTGGAAAAAAATTATTGGGATTTTTTACAAAATTTTAGTAAAAATAAACTATATAACGAAAAATTGAAGGGTTATTAGTGATAAAATTCGTTTTTTGCACAATTGTCATACTAGAGGAGACATTTTATACGAAAAAAAAATTTTCCCAAAAATTTTTTTTTGCAAAATTATGCAAATTTTTCGTGGTAATTTGAGGGGTTATTAGTGATAAAACTCGTTTTTCGCACCCTTCTCACCTTAGGAGACATTTTATACGAAAAAAAAATTTTTCCGAAAAAATTTTTTTTTTCAAAATTATGCAAAATTTTTTGTCGTAATTAGGAATACACGTTGTATTTTGACTACAAACGATGCTCTTATCACATTTCTGTGTCACTAGTATAGTAAAACTTCATTTTTTTCCAAACTTTTCATCCAATGTCTCTAGTGTAATATAAATTGCTCCAAACTCACCAAATTTCGGATGTTGCTGGAAGAATTTCTTGTTCTGATCGCTCTGATTGGATTGCGACGATAATGAGGAGGGTGTTGGTGAGGGTACGCGTCTTCTCGCCAACGGGACACTGCTCTGGCCCGCCGTGGACTGGCCCGGTTCGCAGGCGGCGCTCAGCTGATCCAGCTCGTTTTCGTTGTCAATAACTGGCATTTCCGTCAGATAGGTCTTCACTTTTCGTCGCATCAGTGTCTGTTCGTAGAGCTTTTTGCGCGACAAATTTCCCAACGATTTCACGGTGCCGTTTATGGAATTGGCGCCGTTCATCGCTTTGCGCACCGTCCCAGCGCCGTTCATTTCGTTGATTGCGGCCTGAAAATGGAGGGATTCAAATTTTTGACGTTTTAAAATTGGAAAAAACGGTGTGTAAAACGAATTTTGGATGTTGAAAAATTGAACTGTGCGATTAAAAAAAATTTTTTTTGATTAAAAAAATGTTTTTTTTGAGATTGCACAGTGCAATAAAAAAGTTGTTTTTTTTCTGCACTGTGCGAAAATTTTTTCTTAAAATTGCACTGTGCAATCTTAAAAAGTGTTTTTTTTTCTGAGATTGCACAGTGCAATAAAAAAGTTGTTTTTTTTCTGCACTGTGCAATCTCAAAAAAACTTCTTTCGAGATTGCACAGTGCGTGGAAAATGATTTTCAATTGCACTGTGCGAAAACAACTTTTGTTTTCACTGCACTGTGCGATAAAAAAAGCGTTTCCTGCCATTGCACAGTGCGGGAAAAAGTTTTTTTTCTGCACTGTGCAATCTCAAAAAAAAAAAAAAAAAAAAAAAAAAAAATCAAAAAAAAATTTTTTTTGTGACTGCACGGTGCGAAATTTTTTCCAATCGCACAGTGCAGCCAAAAAGATTAAAAATTCAAAAAAAAACCAAAAAAAAAATTAAAAAATACCAAAAATTTTTACCTGTGCGCTCATAAACTCCAGATCGTATTTCACCGAGCAGAGCATCGTCACGCTTCGAATGATCCGTGCGATCAGTCGCAATTTGTCGAAATTGATCAGTGCTCCACAACAGGTGGGTTTGCTTTCGTGGGCAAAGGTCAGATCCTTTCGCATTATCGGGTAGATCGGGATGACCGGAGGGGTGGGTGAGACGCTGGCCAAGTGCTGACGGTATTTGGACATGTTGCGCGAGGGGTCCAGCAGGCTTTGGATGTCGGCCAACATTTTCATGTACTTGCTGCAAATGATTGGAATCAAAAATTGTAAAATACAAAAAAATTGTAAAATACGTTATTGAAAAACCATAGTTACTCACTTATATTTCCAAAAAATATGTCATTATGACATAATTTTTGGAAATTTAAAAATCGTTCAATTTTTTGTGTCATTTATGCATTTCCGTCATCACGACTGATTTTTGCCAAAAAATATGTCATTATGACACATTTTTTGGAAATCTCAAAAATTTATTAGGTTTAGAAGTATGACTCCGCCGTTTTTTTTGTTTTGTATTTTTTACATGTTAGAATAGGAGTTTAGAATTGCTGTTTATATCATCTAAAAGAACGTTGAAAACGCTATCTAATGATATAAGTTTTGTATGGTAAGGCTTTACACAACAGTTTTTATAAGGCTTCAAAGATGGCCAACTTCGACCCTCGAAAATCGTCATTTGCGGGGAATTTTACTCTGCACGTGTAATGCGAAGGAACATGTCACTAACATATCAAATGCTTACAGAAGCTTACGTTAGTCGTGCATGGTGAGAAAAAATCCTTGGGGAATGGGTTCAACGGTGCAAAACCGGTGGTCTTCAAACCCATCTAAAAAATTGGAAGATGGAGATTACTGAATACAAGACGATGCCCATACGCAAGAAAACGAAACCTAGAAGCTGAAAGTGACGCAGAAAGGAGTTTTACTCAGCTTGCAGCAGCTAGGAAAAAATCAGAGAGTCGGAACTTGGGTACCATACGAATTGACCTAACACAACATGGGGAACTTGCGAAATTATGACAGAAATACAGATAGGAAGTCGTAGCTGCATTGTTTAGTGACCGTAGACGAACAATGGATCGATTTTGACAATCCCAAGCGCAAGCGATAGCAAAATCCAACATTACCAGGAAGGAAGTGTTGCACTGTATATGATGACATAGAGAAGATGTTCTTTACTGCGAGCTCTTAAAACCCGACAAAACGGTTACTGGCATCCGTTGCCAACAATAGTTGGTGCAATTGAACGGAGAGCTATGATTACAGCGGTCGGAACGACCAATTTTTATTTTGCTGCATGATCACGCTAGACCCTATGTTGAAAAACTGGTCAAGGACACCCCAAAACAGCTGAGGTGGGAGGCCATATCCGACCCGCTATACTCTCCGGAAGCCACGCTTTCAGGTTATCACTTGTTTTGACCGATCGCGCACGAACTGAGGAAGCAGCGCTTCGCTAAACTCAATGATACCAAAAATTAGGTTGATATTTGGATGGCTTCAAAACGGCCAAAACTTTTCTTTGGTGGATTCTAAAGTTGACCAAGTTATGCAAACCCTTCGTAATTATCAGTAAAATATAAAAGTGGATAAGCTTTAGTGTAAAAATTTCTTGTTATGATCAAAACAATGACCAGAAAAAAACGGCGGAGTCATACTTCTAAACCTAATATCAAAAACCATGAAAACACCTCCAAAACTTTGTAATAATTCATATTTTCTACAGTAAAAAAATTTCCAAAAAACCCGTCATGATGACACATTTTTTGGAAATCCCAAAATTTGTCTAAACCGTGAAAACACCTCCAAAACTATGTAACACAACGTTTAGACTCTACTAGAAAAGCGGAAGTCGAGCTAAAATTGCGCCATTATCGATCGAATTTTTGTGACACTTCGCTCCAAAAAGGTGGTCTTAAAGATACGATATTTTCACCCGGTCATCCAAAATTGAGCGACTTGATAAATGGTGAATTGGAAAGAGTAGACAGTTATCTCTCTGTTAGAGGTTCAGAAATTTGTATGTGTTATTCAGTCTTTGAGATATTCGACTTCAAACTTCCCAAAATTGAGAACTTTGCAATCGCCTAGCGGGCGACGTTTAGTCACGAATCCTACAAAAATGGTCGATCAGCACTACAACATCATTCTCAATCATCATGCAAAGTTTCAGAACTTTTTCTGGCTCGAAACTCGACTTATTGAGACATCTTTCCTGCTATTATAATGATTGAAATCGTTGCCCGGGCTTTTCGCAAAATGACAAAATCCTTGGCATTCCGCAACTAGAGATATTTTAATTATCAAACTCATCAAGCATGGTGTTTTTGAAAGACAAACCAGACCTACTATAACAAGAAAAATTCACTGATAGGGTCTATAGCTTTTTTCTGTCAAGATTTTGTTCAATACTGGGCTAAATTACAATTTTTGTAATTTCTCGAAGAAGCCAAAAAACATTATTTAACAGTACGCCAAACATTTGTTTTCGTGGCGTGACGCGACCAGAATTCCGTGAAAAAACGTTGTGTAATAATTCATATTTCCTACAGTAAAAAAGTTTCCAAAAAATCCGTCATGATGACACATTTTTTGGAAATCTCAAAATTCTTCAAAAACCATGAAAAAACCCTTCAAAACTATGTAATAATTCATATTTTCTACAGTAAAAAAGTTTCCAAAAAATGTGTCATCATGACGGATTTTTTGGAAACCTCAAAATTCTTCAAAAACCACGAAAAAACCCCTCAAAACTATGTAAAAATACATATTTTCCACAGTAAAAAAAAATGTCTAAAAAATCCGTCATGATGACACATTTTTCGGAAATCTAAAAATTGTCCAACATCCCAAAAATTCGAGTCATTCAAGTGAAAGCTCTCACTGACCCCGGAATCCTCTCCCAGGTGTGGGTCAGCCTGCGTACGGCCGGCTTCTCCAGTCCGCTGATGATGGCGAACATGCTGTTGAAGTTGCGCAGATCGCGGCAATGTCGCGCGATCTTGATGAACTTCTTGATGGTTTTGGCGCGTTTGGAGACGGCTCTCTCCAGGCAGATTTCGGTGACCACCCACCACATCTCCTTGTTGAACTGCTCCTCGAAAATCTGCAGTTTGGGCCAGCGGTAGCGGCTCTCCAGCTTGAACAAGTTGTCCACGTATTCGGTGGCCTCGATGGAGGAGAAGATCTCAAAGTCCTGCAGGGTCAGCTGGATGGCGACGAACTGCGCGTTCAGGGCGTACAGGTTGATTTTTGCTTCTTTCATGACGTCGGGCGCCAGCTCGTCCGGCAGCAGGGTCTCGCTTCGCGAATTGGACTTCAAATAGAGCCTCGAGGCGAGCCCGATGCGCTCGGCCAGGTTTTGGAGGTCGTCGGGGAGGCGTCGTTGTTTGATGAAGACGCGTTTTTCGGCCACGGAGCACACACATTCGCAGAGGGACCATTCCTGAAAAAAATTGAAATAAAAAAAAATTTAAAAAAATTGAAGTAAAAATTAAAAAAAAAAAAAAAAAAAAAAAAAAAAAAAAAATTGAAAATTTTTTTTTGAAATACTGTAAAAAAATCCCCTCCACGTATTTTACCCTCAATTTCAGAGTTAATAATTTTTAAAAAAACTTGCGTCAATGTCTTTTTCGAATATTTTTTGTCAAAATTTTTACATTTTCGACATAAAAACCTTGGGAATTTTAGCGGCTAAAAATCTCACAGATGTTTTAAAAAACTCCTTTCGTAATCAGGGCCAAATTTCAGCAACATTTGACCTTCAGATTTAAAAAAATTTAGATTTTTCCGACTGCACTGTGCGGTCAAAAAAATTTTTTGCACCGTGCAAAAATCGAAACAATAGTAAAGTTAAGCCCCCATTCAGTTGTAAATCGACTAAATCAACGTGTAAATTACTCAAAAAAGCGAAAAATTCCCAAAAAATATAAAAAAAAAAAAAAAAAAAAAAATTATAAAAAAAAATTTTTTTGCACTGTGCCAAAAATCAAAACTATAGTAAAATTTGGCCCTATAGGGCCCTACAAGGTTCTACATCTACTAACTCGAGCTGTAAATTACTCAAACGGACAGAAAAAAAAATTAAAAAAAATTTTTTTTTGCACTGTGCAAAAATCGAAACTATAGTAAAATTTGGCCCTATTCGCTTCTAAACCGAGTAAATCAAGGTGTAAATTACCCAAAAAAAATCCAAGAAAATTTTTTTTGTCAATTTTCCCCCAAAAAAATCGCAAAAATCCCCCTTCTTCCTTACCTGTTCATTATGGCTCGCTTCTGATTGCATTCCAAACTCGAGCAGGGCCATTTGGACGATTTGTCTTGCGGTTGTGTCGGGGAAAACGGTCACAAATCGGAAGGATTGGTCGCTTCGATAGACCTTGACCGCGTGCTCCGGGAATTGGTTGGGATTCCGATGCTGGAGGGCGGGAGAATGATGGGATGGGTAGAGATGGGGTTCCCGGAGGTTGGAGGAGATGTCCGGATTGGATCTGCTGGTCCGGAGGGTGCCTGAAATCGAAAAATTAGAGAGAAAATTGGGGAGAAAAAAAAAATTAAAATAAAATAAATTTTTGTGTATAAAAATCAAATTTTAGCTACTTTTACATAAAAATCATCTTAAAAAAAGTCGAAAAAATCTCCGGACTTTCCCAAAAATCCCAAAAAAATTTTCGAAAATCCCCCAAAAAAAAATTTTTTTTTGAGGTTTTCTATAAAATCCCTTCAAAAAACATGTTGTTATAGAGAGATTTCGCGAAAAAATTCATTACAAAACCCGAAATCAATTAAAAATCGCAAAAAATTTTTCAAAATTTTCAAAAAATCTCAAAATTTTTTATGTTCGTTATATCGAGTTTTTGCCTAAAAACACTCCAGTACATCCTAAATGCCTCAGAAATTCCTAAAATCCTCTAAAAATAGCAAAAAATCTCCAAAAAATCGCCAACAATTCGAAAAAACTACCTAAAAATCTCAAAAAAAGCCCAAAACTCACCAAAATTCCTTGCTTCATCGGGCGAATCGGTGGCCAAATCAATCTCCTGCACCGCTGAGGGTCCATTCTGTCCTTTGAGCATGGTCTTCAGCTTGTCAAACATGGACGCCTTCGCTGCGGGTGTGGTTGTGGCCGACGAATAGCCGGAGGAAGCGGATCCGGCCCCATTCCTCTCCTTCGTGATGTCCGTCTGACTGCCCGCGTTCGCCATTTTGCTCTTGTAGGGCAGGGTTTTCTTCTGGTATCGGCCCATGGTGCCGGTCTGTTTGGAGTGGTCGATGGAGCCGTTTTCTTGGCGCATCAACATCTCCTAAAATCATATAAAAGATTTTAAAAATGTAAAAAATATATTTTTTTAATTTAGTTTACATCAGATTGCGAGTGAAATTCTTGAAATTTTTTTGGTTTTTGCACGGTGCAAAAGATTTTTTTCAGATTGCACAGTGCAAAAAAATTTTTTTCGATTGCACAGTGCAACGAAAAGGTCGTTTTTTGTGTGCACTGTGCATCGAAAATATTTTCTGACTGCACAGTGCGAAAAAGTTTTTCGACTGCACAGTGCGATAAAAAACAATTGTTAGGAAAAAATTGTTTTCTCTGCACTGTGCAATGAAAACAGTTTCGTGATTGCACAGTGTGAAAATTTTTTTTTCTTAAAACTGCACAGTGCAATAAAAAGTTGTTTGTTGACTGCACAGTGCGAACAAATTTTTTTCCTAAAACTGCACAGTGCAAAAATTTTTTTTCAGATTGCACTGTGTTACAAAAAAGTCGTTTTTTGTGTGCACTGTGCATCGAAAATATTTTCTGACTGCACAGTGCGATAAAAAATTGTTAAGAGAAAGTTGTTTTGTCTGCACTGTGCAATAAAAAAATTTCGCGACTGCACAGTGCAAAAATTTTTTTTCAGATTGCACTGTGCAACGAAAAAGGTCGTTTTTTTGTGTGCACTGTGCATCGAAAATATTTTCTGACTGCACAGTGCGAAAAAGTATTTCGATTGCACAGTGCGCGAAAAAAACATTTTCGACTGCACAGTGCGATAAAAAACAATTGTTAAGAAAAAATTGTTTTCTCTGCACTATGCAATGAAAACAGTTTTTATGATTGCACAGTGCGAAATTTTTTTTTTCTTAAAACTGCACAGTGGGAATAAAATTTTATTTCTTAAGACTGCACTGTGCATTAAAAAAAACTTTGTGACTGCACAGTGCGAAAAAAAAAATTTCGGCTGCACAGTGCGAACAAAATTTTTTTTTTCTTAAAACTGCACAGTGCAAAAAAAAGTTGTTTTTGTCTGCACAGTGCAACGAACAAAACTAATATCTTCCGATTGCACAGTGCAAGAAAAATTTTTTTTTTTTTTTTAAATCCCCAGATTCTCTCCAAAAACTTCCATCAGCCTTCTAAACTGCCTTCCAATCTCCAAAAAAAAAAAAAAAAAAAAATCAAATAAAAATAAAAAAATTCCTTTTCTCACCTTGTAATTCATCATATTGCTCTTGATGGTCATGCTCAAATGAGTGCTTTCCCTCAAAATGTCCAGCGCCCTGGTCAGCGGGATGGTTCTAAAGTTCTGCCCGTTGGCTTCGATGATTTCGTCGCCCCGTTTCAGGCCGTTTTTCTCGGCCGGCGAGCCGGGCTCCACGTTGGCGATGAAGATTCCGTCGGCCGCCGGCTGATCGGGATGGTGGGCGTTGCCGCCGATGATGCTGAAGGCCAGCTCCTGGTCGCGGTTCGACCGCGTCAGGGTGGCTTGGCGAGCGTGGGACTTCACGCTGCAGGTGATGTTGAGCAGGCTCTGTTGGTGGTACAATTCGAACTTTTCGAGGCTCTGAAAAATGTAAAAATGAAGTTTGTGGGGAAAAAAATATTAAAAAAAAAATTTTTTTTGAGTGCACAGTGAACATCAAAAAAGAAAAAAAAATTTGCACAGTGCAGTCGAAAAAAAGAAATTTTCTTATTTTTGCACTGTGCAATCAAAAAAAAAAAAATTTTTCTACGCACAGTGCAACCAAAAAATTATTTCCTATCCGCACAGTGCAGTTTCCAAAAAAAATTTTTCTGCACAGTGCAGTCAAAATAAAATAATATTTTCCTACCCGCACAGTGCAGTTCACAGAAAAATTTTTTTGCACTGTGCAATCAAAATCAAAAATTTTCTACGCACAGTGCAGTCAAAAAATATTATCCTATTCGCACAGTGCAGTTTCCAAAAAAAATTTTTCGCACGGTGCAGTCAAAATAAAAAATTTTCTACGCACAGTGCAGTTGGCAAAAAAAAATTTCTTGCACGGTGCAGTCAAAATAAAATTAAATTCCTGCACAGTGCAATCAAAAACAAATAATGATAATAATAATCCTGCACAGTGCAAAATTTCGCGCTCAAAAAAACAAAAACAAAACAAAAAAAACAAAAAAAATATAAAAAAAATCTTCAAAAAAAAAATCCAAAAATTTCCCACCTGTTCAAAGGCATCGAGTAATTTGAGCATTTCCTGTGAGCATTCAAAGTCATTGAAGTGGCTGTTGACCCAATGCAACAATAAACAAGTCACTTTATCCCTGTACCTTCGGTCTTGAAACCATTCCAACAGTCGATGCATTATGATTGTGGGATCGGCGATGAAGACGCGGTACATGAGGAAGAAGTCCTGCGCGAAACTGTCGTCAATATTGTTGGGGTCGGTCTCGTCGACCAGGTGTTGGATGAGGCGGTCCGGCTTGGCTTTGATTATGACTAGGGCCACCTGTGAACCGACAACTCTGCAAAAAATTCAGTAATTTTTTTTTGGTAAAAAGATGTTTTTCCAAAAAACCCGTCATGATGACACGTGTTTTCGACGTTTTAGAACCATCAAAATTATGTGAAATTAATTTTAAACCTTACTTTATTCAAATTGAAGGCAATTAAAAAATTTTCCAAAAAATCCGTCATGATGACACGTTTTTCGGAACCCTCAAAAAAGCATCTAAAAATGCATAAAACTCAAAATATCCCTATTTTCACTTCAAATCGAAGTCAATTTCAAAATTCCAAAAAAATCCGTCATGATGACATATTTTTTGGAAATGTCAAAAAATCGTCTAAAACCGTGTAAAACTTGATTTTCCTACATTTTCGCTTCAAATTCAATCAATTTTTCAAAATTCCAAAAAATCCGTCATGATGACATATTTTCTGGAAATGTCAAAAATCATCTAAAATCCTATAAAATTTGATTTCCTCATCTCTTCTTCAAATTCAATCAAATTTTCAGGTTTCCAAAAAATCCGTCACGATGACACATTTTTCGGAAATCTCAAAAACCCCTTTTCTCAAGACTTACCGTCTCTCCGCTTCCCGGACAATCTCTCCGGTGATGTGATCGCTCTCCTGTTCGATGTGCTGATCCAGGGTGGACATGATGGAGCAGTAGTCCTGGTGTTCCACGAGCACAAACTCGCAGTCATCGCACAGGGTTCGGGTTTCGCCGTCGTTGAACTGGGGCTGCGGCTGGGGCTGGGCGCCGAACGCGTCGCCGAGGCGGTATTCGAGGCGTTCGCCGTTCGGTTTCACGGTCTCCACGGCCCCGTTCACCACCACCGACCAGCTGTCGATGCGCTCCGAGTCGTGGAGGATGACGGTGCCCGCCTCGGGCACCACCGCGAACACCATTTTCAGGCACAGCTGGCGTTTTATCGACAGCGGCAGGGAGGCGAGCGCCGGCATTTGCTGCATGAACTCCTGGAATTGGCGAGATTTAGCCAATAAAATGCAAAAAAACTTGATTTTAGGTATATTTTTGGGTAAAAATCTCAAATTTTGGCAAAAAATAAATTTCAAATTGCCAAATAAAGGAAAATTGTTTAATTCTATGCCACATAATTAAATTTTTGACACTCCAAACTTATGAAATTTTACTATTTCCACCAAAAAAATGGAAAAAAACATGATTTTAGGTACCTTTTTGGTTAAAAATCTCAAATTTTGGCAAACAACTTGCAAAAAACAAGTAAATAACTTCGTTAAAATCAATTTGCGATATTCCATACTCTTTAAAACCCCAGAAAAACTCCCCCAAAACTCCTAAAAACCGAAAAAGTTTGGTTTCAAATTAAAAAATCCCATTTAATCGAGTTCCAATCAACTTCAATGGCCAAATTTGGGCCAATTTTGAGTGTGAGGTAATTTGGCGGGGTTTATAGCGTGATAAAAGGGGATTAACTGGGCGTTTCCAGCAAATCCTTTGTTCGGAAATTTGGATAATCTCGAAAAATTTTGGTTCAGTGCATAATAAACGACGCCATTTTACGTGGCGGTAATTGCCTTGGGGGGAAATGAAAACATGAACAATTTCAACGTATTTGGGAGCAAAATTAGTGAAATACGTGGGATTTTTGTCTAGAAAAATACGAAAATTGCAAAAAATTGCCAAAAAATCTCAAAAATACAATTTTTTTGGATTTTTTGGCGAGTCAAAAGCTTAGGCTGGCTTCCAAATGTCACCATAGACTTTATATTCTGCTTACCAAGCCATAATTTTACACAAAACCCCTAAAAATTTTGGAAGAATGAAATTTTTCCCCAAAAAACGGGAATTTTTCGTAAAAAATTGCAAAAACCTCTAAAACACGAATTTCAAATCCTCGGACGTGTTGTCAATTTCTAACACAAGGTCCAAAAAACTCTTATCCATCAACACTTTTCACAAAAACGGCCCAAAATTTTAAAAAAATCAAATTTTTCCCCAAACAACGGGAATTTTTGAAAAAAAATTGCAAAAATCTCTAAAACACGAACTTCAAAAGGTTGTAATTGCAGTCAAATTCTACTACAAGGTCCACAAAACTCTTACGCATCAAAAGTTTCATCAAAAACTGCCCCAATTTTCTTGAAAAATCAATTTTTCATCAAAAAACTCGATTTTCCGGGGAAAAATGGCAAAAACCTCTAAAACACGAACTTCAAAAGGTTGTAATTGCAGTCAAATTCTACTACAAGGTCCACAAAACTCTTACTCATCAACACTTTTACTAAAAACGGCCCAAATTTTCTTGAAAAATCAATTTTCCTCAAAAAACCCAATTTTCCGGGGAAAAATTGCGAAAACCTCTAAAATACGACTTTCAAACTGCTAAAATCACCCGCCAAATTCTACTACAAAGTCCACAAAACTCTTCTCCATCAACATTCCTATCCAAACGGCCCAAATTTTCTTGAAAAATCAAATTTTCCTCAAAAAACCCAATTTTTCGGGGAAAAATTGCAAAAACCTCTAAAATACGGCTTCCAAACTTCTAAAACCGCCCACAAAATCCGCTACCACACTCCTCCTTCCCTTCTGCACCCATAATCTTACCATTAGGACATGAATATCATCGCTGCTCCGCTCGGCCGGCTCTTTTTCCAGGCATTCGCGGACATTGTCCTTGAGTTCCATGTAGGAAAAGTCATGGGATGGGATGGATTCCTCTTCGTCGTCATCGTCGTCGCTGTCCACCGCCGCTTCCGGCAGGCCCGCGAATTCGTCGCCGTCGGTGGTAGATGAGGAGGCCGTGGAGCGGCCGCGGAACCGGCGCGCGTTCAGCAGCGAGCTCTGCACATTCGAGTGACTGCGCATTCGGATCGAGGAGTTGGAGTCGTCGGAATTCTGAAAAAAAACCCGGTGAAAAAAATGAAAAATTTTTGAAAAAAAAAACTTTTGTTTTTATTGCACAGTGCGATAAAAAGCTTGCCTTACCACCGCACAGTGCGAGAAGAAAGTTTTTTTTTTGCACTGTGCAATGAAAATATTTTGTCATTGCACAGTGCGGGAAAAGCCATTTTTTTGCACCGTGCAAAAAAAATTTTGCGACTGCACCGTGCAATGAAAAAGTTGTTTTTTGCACTGTGCAATGAAAATATTTTGTGAATGCACAGTGCGAAAAAGTTCTTCGACTGCACGGTGCAATAAAGAAATAGTTTTTTTTTTCTCTGCACTGTGCATTAAAAATACTTTGTGACTGCACAGTGCGAACAAATTTTTTTTCTTAAAACTGCACAGTGCAACAATGAATTTTTCCAACCACTGCACAGTGCAATAAAAAAATAGTTTTTTTTGTCTGCACAGTGCGATGAAAATATTTTGTGACTGCACAGTGCGAAAAAAAAATTTCTTTGACTGCACAGTGCGAAATTTTTTCCAATTGCACAGTGCGATCGAAAAATTCAAAAAAAAAAATAAAAAGAAAAAAAAATCGACTTCCAGAAAACCTAAAATACGATTTTCTCACCCCTAAAGCCCCCTAAAAAAGTCTCCACCAAAAATTTCCTTACCTTCCGACTCAATTGGACCCGCATTTTGTTGATTCTTTGTGCACTTGGGGCCAAAAATCGGTCTTGGCTTCCGTTTTCGTCCATGTTGGAAAAGTCCGAAATGAAGGGTGCTGGTGGTGGGGGTTGGGATGAGTTGGAGGAGGAGTTCGATTTCAGTTGGACGCCGGAATCGAAGGAATCCGTCAGCTGGGCCAGCTGGTTTTCGTGGAGGGAGGAGCGTTTCGGCGGCGCTTCTGACGCTGAAATCAGCGATCGTATTTAACAAAAATTATATCAAAACTTTTGTAAAGGCCTCAAAATTTCATTTTCAGCCTCTTTTCCCATAAATTTAACTCTAAACTGCCAAAAATATAAAAATATCAAAAAATATCGAAAAATTGCTTAAAAAAAGGCTAAAACTCGAATTAAAACATGGATTTTCGTATTTTAAAACCTTCAAAAATAAAATACACACCCTATTTCCACATACGACACTCATTTCACATCCATAAAGACCCAAATTTGAGCAAAAATCGATAAAATTCACCAATTTTGCCTAGTACAATATAAAATTTAAAATTTTTCATCCTCTAACCACTTAATTTAACTGTCAAAAACCAACATCTATCCTATCCAGCCACCATCTCACATTTATCCAACCTAAAACCCTTTAAAACTTTGAAAAATTCGCATTTTTCGGCTCAATTCCACCTAGAAACAGAGAAACCCGGCGAAATTGTCTGAATAACCTCTAATTAGGGACGGGGCAAGTTCGCTGCTTGGCCATGACGTCCATTGACATCATTGCCGGCAATAAAACCCATGGTTTGGGTTCAAAAAATTGATGAATTTGGGGCTGGTCTAATATACGGACCTCCAAAATAATATCCCAATTTGCCCAAAGTTGAGGCCAAATGTTACTAGTGCAATTAAAAAGTAATTCCGGCAACTTTTTACTACGTTTCAGCGGCAAAAAAGTGTTCAAATTCCGCTTTATCCCAAGTTTTAATCAAAAATTCGAAAAAAATTCGAATTTTTTTCAAATTTCTCAATTACAAACGCAATTTCCGGTGGGAAATTAATCCCGTATATACATAACACAACTTTTTATTATAATAACAAGGCTGAAATTGCCTTCGGAGACACCTAATCACCGGATTAGACGCCAAAACTCACCATGATTTGAGGGAAAAGCATTAGTGGAGGCTGGAAACGGGCGATTAAAGTGGTTCGATGTGGAGGGCAAGGCGGCCTGCCACATGTCCTGCTGAAAAATTGGGAAAAATTAGTTCGAATTTGAAAAAATTTGCATAAAATTAAAAAAAAATTAAATAATTGGGAAATTTGCGTTAAAATATCGTTAAAAAAGTATTAAAAACTTTGTTGGTAGGTCTCAAAAATAGTTGTAAAATACGAGACAGCACTACACTTCAATTGTATATTAATTTCCCCAAAAAATTTGCATATTTCCCCTCAAAATATTTAAAAATCTCAAAATTTCTTCGTTTTATCGCCAAAACCCTGCAAAAAATGCTGAAAACTCGGCTAAAAGTATAGCAAATTACTAGCTAAACACGTAATTTTTAATGTCCACCCATTTCCCGGCTGTATCAAGTCTGCAATTGAGGATTAACTTGAGAGAATTAGTCTAGCAAATAATATTTTACCCAAAAAATTGCATTAGTTCCAGTAATTCCGCCGGGAGGAATTATGGAAGATGACCAAAAATTGTTACATTACATTGATAGCGAAATTGTAAATAGACCATAAAGGCTTTAGATTGAACTTTTGGGTTTCTTTGGGTGAAAAAAATCCAAAAAATGGACGAAGATCTCTTGGATAGTATAATTTTTTTCTCACAAGGAAAGTACTTCTATGGGGTGTGGAATTACCGGTCGAGATACATATCAAAAAATTCGCAAAAATTTTCTGATTCAGAATATATATAAATTAGCTGCCTAATTTTGGTCTGATGACATGTTTTTGTCCTCAGAAGTTTTCTCGCGACACCATGCAAGTGTCTTTTTGGCCGTGTTTTTACCAATAAAAAAATTTTGTTTTGTGCTAAACTAAATTCTGAGGCCTTGACAAGCCTTAAAATATCAAATTGGATTACAACTACACCTTAAAAGTAGTTCCAATGTAAAAAATGGGTTTTAGTGTGGCAAAAAGAGTCGAACCCGTTCCTCTCGGATTCCTAATCTAGCGCTCTAACCACTCGGCCACACCGCTCTCTTCCGAAGGAAGAGACCGAGCGCGCTTTTGTTGCCGCAGATTTTTTTCCTCGAGAAAAACATTTATTGAAAAAACTCGCTGATAGACCAAAATTAGGCAGCTAATTTATATATATTCTGAATCAGAAAATTTTTGCGAATTTTTTGATATATATCTCGACCGGTAATTCCACACCCCATAGAAGTACTTTCCTTGTCAGAAGCGCGAATTTTGACTAATTTTGGCTAGACTCGGCGTTAGGATTGAACATGCGGGCATTTAATTTACAGACCGAGGTGTTTATCTCGGATTTTACGCAACTTTTTCAAATATTAAATGAAAAATCCAACGAATCAATCCAAAATTGTCTTTATTACCCCATCTGTACAGTGCCGAACCTGATCCAGTGGCAAAAAACGTGCCATTTTGCATTCGGTAAGTATTAAAAAATGTAGCAAAATGCCTCCTCCCAAAGTAAAAAACTCGGATTTCAAAAACGGTTTTTTGGAGAGGGAGGCATTTTGCTACGTTTTTGATACTTCTCGGATGCAAAATGGTACGTTTTTTGCCATTGGATCAGGTCCGCTACGGCACAAACGGGATAATAAAGACAATTATGGATTGATTCTTTGGATTTTTCGTTTAATCTTTAAAAAATTTGCGTAAAATACGGGATAAACACCTCGGTGTATAAATTAAATGGCCGCATATTCAATCTTAAAGCCGAGTCAATCCAAAATTAGTGAAAATTCGCGCTTCAGAGAAAAAATAATATTATCCATGAGAACTTCGACCATTTTTTGATTTTTTACCCAAAAGAACCCAAAGCTTCAATCTAAAGCCTTTATGGTCTTTTCAATGTCATTTCAAATTTATATCCACCTTTAAAATACAAATTTCCATCGAATTTATATTATCCATGACAATTTTGACCATTTTTGGCTAAAAAATCAAACTTTTGGATCCCAAAAGGACCCAATTTTTTTCTGACCACACTAGACTGTTTTCAATGCCATTACAAAATATATTACACACCTTTACACCACCAATTTACATCAAATTTATATTATCCATGACAATTTTGACCTTTTTTCGATTAAAACTCAAAATTTCTCGCCGCAGCCTCCATGAAATCCCTCAAAATCGCTAGCCAATCATTTTTCGGGGCCTTACCTTCTCCACGGGCGCGTATTCCGCGGACCGGCGGTTCTGCGGGCAACAACAACTTTGGGGTTTGGTGGGCAAGCAACGCATCGTTTCGAAGCGACGACGAAAGTGAAAGGAGACAAGAGTATCAACGCTGGAATTCCTTTCTCGATCGACGCTTTCGATTCGGAACTTATCGTTTCATTTGCTCCATCAAAAACAAAGGAGAGATGGAGAGAGAAAAGTTTCGTTTTCGTTTCGTTCGCTTGGATGGGTGGAAAAGTTTGCGTAATTAAGCCGTTTTGGTGCGCGATCACATCCAGCGGTGGCTGGGGATTAGCTTGCGGTTAAGTGGGAAGCCTGCTACGAACATCAGCGTCAAAATTAAGGGGGAAATTTCAAAATTTTGCCATCAAAAATGCAATGGACCAGAGATATCATGGATAACATAAATTTGATATCGAAACCTCATATATCTATTTAAAAATATGCTTATATATATTCACCACAGCAAGAGGATGCGTATTTTACCCTGATATTTATTTTTACACCTGTTTTGGAGCCTTAGCTGCTCTTGAACACAATGCCAAAAATGGCGGGAAATTTAATTTTTCAAAACTTTTTAAGCCCTTGACTGTTCTAAACCGTCATAAAAAGCAAATTCAGCCTTTGTAAAACACGAAATCTAAAGTTGTCGGCCTAATTTTAGAAAAAATCATCAAAAATCATGATTTCATACCTAAAACAATATAAAAATCTCAAAAAACAAGTCTAAAATTTCCACAAAATCAAAGCTGGTCTCTAAAATACGCCAACTGTTACTGTTTTTCCTTTTCAGGGTTTTTTTTTCAAACCGCGGAAACCCAATTTCGCATTCTCTCCTAGACATTTGACCTTGTAAGGTCTTCATAAATAAGACTGGAAAGATCACGGTCTAATGGATTTCGCAATGAGCGAAAAATGCATGAAATTTCCGCTTACGGAAATTACAGCTTGCGTCAGAACTTATTAAAAACAACGTCTTCGGGAAAACTGGGAATAAAAATTTGTCATGGATAATGTAATTTTGGTGTCTCAAAATACTTTGTCTACGATTTCCTTACTCAAACAGACATAAAAAGGGGTGTTCGACCCAAAACTTCAATTTTAAATAGGTTTTTAGCAAAAAATTATATTACTTTAGGTAAATTTTTTTGTCAAAAAACGTATGTTTACGTTCTAAAAAGGCATCTACTACTGTCCCAAGTTATTTTAAAGTCCAAATATCACCTTCTATTTGCTATACACCACAAAACTCGGCAAAAAATCGCTTCGAATTGGCTAAGATAAGGTCGGGAAGACCGCATCGCATGTGGTTTTTATCTGTTTTGGATGCGAAACAACCCCCAAGGCGTGTCGGATTAGCTTTCAAAAACTTATTGAAAGCAAAATTCCGACCATGAAAAATTTCAAGACATCAAAAATGAGTAAACATTTTGGGGAAATGTGATGTCAAACAAGCCGGAGATGGGGAAAAACAACAACCACGCGTCTTCCGGTGCCACAAATACCCATTTTTGGGGTCTAAAAGTGTTTTTGCGAGGTTTGGGGGAGACTTTTTATATTACACTTGACAAAAAAGAGAGAAAAAGTTGATTAAAGTAATGAGAACTGGCAAACACCAAGCGTATAAAAGAAGGAAATGACATTACGTGCATTCTATGAAAATACCAAAAAAAAACAAATTAAAATCATCAAAATTAGTCCAAAAAAAAGATGATGCTTGTCTAAAACAAGGTAAAAATCTCATTTTCCTCGCTTAAAATGCCTTCAAATTAACTAGCTACGACAAAGGACGACGTATTTTACAACCAAAATCCCTTTGCAGCCCTAACAAATCCCAAAAGTCGAAGGAAAAATCGGAATTCCCACAAAATTCTGGAGTCAAACCCATTCCGAGGCGGGGGAAATGACATACCCCCCGATCACCCCCAAATATCGCCACTGTTATCCTGGAGACGCAAACGAAGAGCGGGCGGATGGAGGGGACCGCTTTCACGCACAATAAAAGATCGCTTTTCGCTGTTCAACGCGTGTTGGGCAACCCGGAGATAAGGCGATAAAAAATTACCAAGTCGGATTGTTTTGTACTCGGAATATCGCTGAAATGTTCGCGGGGCATGCGAGTTGCTATCAGAGACCGATAACATTGGGGGTTTGGGTAAACATTAAGGATTTTTATGAGTTTTGAGGGGAGAGGGAGCTACAATAAGATAAAATAATATTGAAAACTCAAAATCTTCGATTTTACAGTGGCGTATTTTACCTTTTTATTCAGAAAAATCCCGTGTGAAATAAAAATTTTTGATTTTTTGACAATTTTTTGTCGTTTTCGGTCGAAAAATCAAAATCGATGAGTCAAAATCGGCAAAAAACACGTTTTTAGGGGCTTTGCTAACCTTTTACTGTCTTTCTCTTCAACGAAAAGTCCATTAGAGTGACTGACCTGACCCAGTGGCAAAAAACGTACCATTTTGCATCCGGGAGGTATCAAAAAATGTAGCAAAACACCTCCTCTCCAAGTGAAAAAACTTCGACTTCAAAAACGCGCCTTTGAAAACGGAGTTTTTTACTTGGAGAGTGAGGCATCTTGACACATTTTTGATACTTCCCGGACGCAAAATGGTACGTTTTTTGCCACTGAATCAGGTCCGTCACTGTAATGGACTTTTCGTTGAAGACAAAGACAATAAACAGTTAGAAAAGCCCCTAAAAACGTCTTTTTTGGCCATTTTCACTCACGGATTTTGACTTTTCGATCAAAAACGGCAAAAATAATGTCAAAAAACCGAAGCTTTTAATTTCGCACATGATTTGTCTGAATAAAAAGGTAAAATACGTGCAAAAACACCTGTCCGATAATCTAAAACTATTTCAAAAATAAATTTCCCACCAAAACTATGTGAAATACCACTTTTTAGCACTAAAATTCCTCCAAAGTTTTCGCAAAAATTCCTCCAAAAATTCCAGACATCTCCGGTTCGGTGTCGGGGATCGCTTTCACAGCCCGCCAAATTAATCGAAAAAATTACGAAAAATAGTGGAATAAACTCGAACATGGGAAGAAGAAAGGATCAACTCAACCGAGAGGGATTCGAACAATCAGACGACGGAACCGGGCGGTAAACAACGCAAGTGGAAAGGGTAATGCGAATTCCAACGCTAATCCAGAAATGGTGCCTGGACTGCTCCCGGATAACACTTTTCGAATTCGAAGACCGTGTTTTCGGTGGTACTTTGGTCGTCTGAGGGCACCGAATTATTTTGTCGAGCGGATTAGGTGGGGGAAAAAGGCCGCAAGTTCGCTGCGAAATTAATGAGAATTTTTCGAACATTCATTAGCATTTTTTGGTTCGTACCTTTAAAAACTACTAATCAATTGCTGAATTTTTCGCTGGACTTGGCACAATAATATTTTTAGTCCACCATTGACAGAAACAAACGAGATTTTTAGGGCAAAAATTCCAAAAAAATTGCTTTTTATCGGAAAGCTTGCCCTAAAAATCTCGGTGATTTCTACAAGTTGTAAGCAAAAAAGTCAAAATTATAATGTTACAATGAGGGACCTGATCCAATGACAAAAAACGTCTCATTTTGCATCCCGGAAGAGACCAAAATGACTCCAAACCTTTCCCTTCTCAAGCTAAAAAACTCCGCTTTGAAAAGCGCGCCCTTTCCTTCAAGGCGGGCTCTTCAAAGCGGGTTTTTTAGCTTAGAGAAGGGAAGGGTTTGGAGACATTTTGGTCCTTTCCGCGATGCAAAATGGGACGTTTTTTGCCATTGGATCCGGTCCCTCACTGTAATTTCGCAACAAATGTCTTCGAACTGTCCAAAAAATCCAAAATTTCTGGCACTGTCCAAAAATCTCTAAACTTTCCATTTCCCCCCCCCCTCCAGACCTCCAAAAATCCCCAGTCAGATCTGCACAAGACACAAGACCTTGTCTTTCCTAACGTTTCCTCCAGATTCGACAAAAAAAAATTATGAACAAGATCGAAATGAAGAAAATTCAGACGTTTAACGCGAAGGTCAACAACGGAAAACTGGGGGGACTTCCGAAAGAAACCGGGGGAAAAATGAGATTTCCATTCGCGGAGTACAATATTTTTAATGATGAGAAATCAGAAATCCGCAAACATATTGGGCCTTGGGTCAGCCCATTTTTGTTGTATTTTATATTCAAATTCATCCCCAAAAACCTAAATACATGTCTAATCAAAATTTCTCCCAACTTTCATCCAATTCCACACCATTTGTTCCCAAATTGAACTTCAAAAATCAAAAAAAAATTCAATCAATATGATAATAATGAAACAAAAAATAATATTTTCCACTCCAAATTTTGCTCAAATTGCAGCATCGCTAGCTCATAAATCCGGACGAAGAAAAATTACAAAAAAATCAATCAAGAAACGCGGGGAGAGAAGAGCAAGAAGGATGATTGAAGAAGCGGCGGCGATTTTGCGACTTTTTATTGGAATCAAAACACGCCGAAAATCTCTTCCACGAGATCGGGGGAATCAAGAGCTTACAAGAGTGGCCTTGACTAAATTACAAATCCGGGGTGGATAAAAACCATTAATTCCGGAGGCTGTATTTGCTTTGAATCGCAAGTTTCGCCATTTTATACAGTGAGGGACCTGATCCGTGGCAAAAAACGCATCATTTTGCATCCGGGAAGTATCAAAAATGTGGCAAAATGCCTCCCTCTCCAACTAAAAAAAACTCCGTTTTGAAGGGCTCCCTCACAAAAAGAGGGGGCGCGCGTTTGAAATCGGAGTTTTTTCACTTGGAGAGGGAGGTATTTTGCTGCATTTTTGATACTTCCCGGATGCAAAATGGTACGTTTTTGGCCACTGGATCAGGTCCCTCACTGTATAAACGTATCTTTAAAAATGGCAAAACTTGCGATTCAAAGCAAATACAGCCTCAGGAATTAATGGTTTTTATTCACCCCGGATTTGTATTAATTTAGTCAAGGCCACTCTTGTAAGCTCTAGATTCCTCCGGTCTTTCCCCCGTGGAAGAGAGGGATCTGGTCCGCCATTGTATTATTCATGGTAAAATAGATCAATTTCCTTTATTTCAAGAGCTTTCTTTGGGGTTTATTGACGTCTCATTAATTGAAGAGACAAAAAATACGTATTTTACCCCCGCTAAACCAATTTTAAGGCGTTAAAACGACCTCATCCTTCCCCAATCCCCCCTAAAAGTTAGTCAAATCCCCTCAGCTTCAGCTAGCCTCGAATCAAATCGAGACCTCTCCGATTCCTCGCCCCTGGAGGGCTTTTCGATGAGGGCGACTTCAGTGATTCTTTTTGACAAAGCCGCGCGCGATTTGCGCCAAAAAATGGTGAGGAATCGAAAAGCTGCAAAAGCGAATAAATACCCAAAGGGCAATAAACATGACGGAGGATAATTACATTGTTCGCAGTGTTATAATAACGCGCTTCGCGGTGCCGTCATGGAGTGTACTGTTTTTGGGGCGATAAAACGGGTAAAAACAGCGGTCATGGAGGAGATTTTTAGGCAGAAACAGGTGAAAAAAAATGTCTAAATCAATGTCAGAGATTTATGAAAATCACTTTTCGCAGCAAACTTTCTCTATATAAGGGCTTATTTTAGTATTTTTAAGCTATATAGAAGCAAAAATCCCCCAAAATTTGAAAATTTATGATATTATTCATGACATTTTGCTTACTTTTAGCTCAAATTATCTCTTCCCAAAGATAGTATTATCATCCATTACCCTTAAAATCCACAAATTCACAAGAAAATCGATCAAATTTGCGAAAAAATTCCGCAAATCTGCTAAAATAAGGTCAACCAAAAATTTTTCAAAACTCCCCAAACTTTTTGATAAATCTGATATTTTCCGGTGTTTTTCAAGGCCTTTATGAATCGCTGCGACCGGAAGTCGCCTTCAAGTTTATCAATTTATCGTTTTCCCATCAACTTTTTCATTTTTTCCAAAAAATGAAAAAAAAAATCTTTCAAAATTGATCTGATTTCCAGCCGAACAACAACAAAATGCAGCTACGAATTCTCAGAAAATCCCATTGGAACCTCAATGAAAGCGAAAGCCCATCAGCAGAGGATGGAAACCGCAAATTGACCCGTTCGGATATGATGAAGTCGTTCTGCGGAGCAAGAAGAAAAAAAACAAAAGAAACGAGAGAAATTTCGAAAAATGGAGATCGGAAATGGTAAATACGTCAAGGGGAGGTGTTCAAGAAGTCATTCTTGACATGAGGTTTGTAAATATGGGGTTTTAGCGAGAGATTTAGCAAAATTTTTGGTCGCACCGTGCAATAAAAATGTGAAAAGTGATTGCACTGTGCAGAAAAAATGCAATTTGTAATATCGCAAAACTTCGAAAGCACCGTGCAAAATTTCAAAAAATCTACCGCAAGTTCCCAAAAAAATTTCTGCACTGTGCAATTCCCAAAGTTTTTTATTGCACAGTGCAAAATTTCAAAAAAGTTTTACTGCACTGTGCAAAATTCCCAAAAAGTTTTATTGCACCGTGCAAAGTCAAAAACGCTTTTCTCACGCACTGTGCAAAATTCCCAAAATTTTTTTATCGCACTGTGCAAAATTCCCAAATTTTTTTTTATCGCACTGTGCAAAATTCCCAAAAAAGATTTCTGCACCGTGCAAAATTCCCAAATTTTTTTTTATTGCTCTGTGCAAAATTCCCAAATTTTTTTTATCGCACTGTGCAAAATTCCCAAAAAAGATTTCTGCACCGTGCAAAATTCCCAAAAATTTTTTTTTATCGCACTGTGCAAAACTCCCAAATTTTTTTATCGCACTGTGCAAATTCCCAAAAAGTTTTACTGCACTGTGCAAAATTGCCCAAAATTGTTATCGCACTGTGCAAATTCCCAAAATCTTTTATCGCACTGTGCAAAATTCCCAAAACTTTTTATCGCACTGTGCAAAATTCCAAAAATTTTTTTGATCGCACTGTGCAAAACTCCCAAATTTTTTTTATCGCACTGTGCAAAATTCCCAAAAAAATTCTGCACTGTGCAAATTCCCAAAAATTTTTATTGCACAGTGCAAAACCCCAAAAATTTTATTGCACTGTGCAAAATTCCCAAAAAAATTCTGCACTGTGCAAAATTCCCAAAAAAATTTCTGCACCGTGCAAAGTCAAAGCTCTTTTCTCTCGCACAGTGCACAGCCAAAAACAAATAAACGCTTTGGTAAAAAGTCAAAACCCGAGTTAAGAACGGATTGTTGAGTAAATAAGGGTCTCAAAGTGAGCAATTCAAGGAGGAGATTGATCCTTTTCATGTTGAAATTTGCGCAAAAATATAACCAAAACATTCACTGTCATTTTTCTACAGTGAACATAGTTTATACCCGTGCTACAGAGATTTTTTTTTAAAAATGAAGAAAAAAATTATGGTTAATATTTATAAAAAGTTTCCCTTTCCCCAAACTATCAAACTATCCATTATAGCCTCCATTTTCTCCCCAAAAAATCGCCAATTTTCCGAAAATCCTCACCTGAGCCGGCCGTTGAAAGTTTTCGTGGTACGTGTAGGACGTTTCCTTGGCTGGGCCACAAACCGAGATCGAAGCGGAGCGCGGCGCAGGCGAGGGTACCCTTTTCTGGGTGTAGGTCGGCTGTCCGAGGCTGTTTCGTTGATGATAATTCGTAAGGGTGGCGTCGGCGTAGTCTTCGGGCGGGTTTTCGGCCGCCACGACGCCCACAAAGGTTTGGAATGGGCGCGTGGGGCTGGGATTGTAGCTTCGATGGACTGGGATGCTGGTCTGGGGCTGATACTGATGATGTGGATGCTGATTTTGGAGCTGATGCTGATTTTGAAGCTGATGCTGATTTTGGAGCTGATGCTGATTTTGCAGCTGATGCTGATTTTGGTGCTGATGCTGATTCTGATGGTGGGAGGTTTGTGCGGCGAATTGCTGATGAAATTCGTAGGCCAGATCGCCGTTATGCCTCAGGGGATAGCCGGCGCCATTCGTCTTGAAGGCCGGCTGCGGGAAATGATAGGGTTGGGTTCGGTGTGGGAGCGGAGGAGGGATTGATGGGGCCGGCGGTGGGGCGTGGTTGGCGGGGCGGGGTCGGCCAAGAGTCGCGGAGCCGTTTCCGTAGCGGACCGGGATCCGCTGCACGTCGGGGTAGTCGATCTGAAATTGAAACAAGATTACAGTGACGGGTTAATAATGGGTGATTTGAAAATACTAATAAGTTTGTAAGACCTTTCTCGTCATGGGTAATATAATAAGTGGTCGAAATATCCGAAATTTTGATTTTTTAGTTCTGAATAAGGTTTGAAATAGAAAAAACAAGTCATATTTTGGCGACTGACCACGAAGAGGTTTGGTGAGATAGCTTTTTAAAACCTAAAATTACCGAAAAATTCGATTTTCTACCTAAAATTTAACTTTTTTCAAAGTTTTTGGCGCTTTTTTGTATTACAGTGATGGACCTGATCCAGTGGCAAAAAACGTACCATTTTGGTTCCGGGAAGTATCAAAAAATGTAGCAAAATGCCTCCCTCTCCAAGTAAAAAATTCCAAAGGGCCCCTCAAAAAAATCGCGGGTGGGTTTTTGAAATCGGAGTTCTTTCACTTGGAAAGGGAGGTATTTTGCTACTTTTTTGATACTTCCTGGATGCAAAATGATAGGTTTTTTGCCACTGGATCAGGTCCGCCACTGTAATACAAAAAAGGGCCAAAAACTTTGAAAAAAATTAAATTTTAGGTAGAAAATCGAATTTTTCGATAATTTTAGGCTTTAAATAGCTATCTCAGCAAACCTCTGCATGGTCAGTCGTCAAAACATGACTTGTTTTTTTTATTTCAAACCTTATTCAGAACGAAAAAGTCTAAAGTTCGTACATTTCAACCTCTTATTATATTATCCATGACGAGAAAGGCCTCACAAACTTATTTCGAGTATTTTCAAATCACCCATTATTAAAATACGGCCCTAATCTGTAATTTTAAGGACTCTCCGACCATCTACAACTCAAAAATCTTCAAAAAAATCAGCATTTTGACCTTCTCCTTGCCAAACAAAGGCTAAAAATACAAAAAAACCAGCCGCATTTTCGCCGAAACCCCCATCTTTTGGCCATTCTAGGCGCTTTTCAAAGCCTTTCTGGCCTTGTATTTGGTCAAAAATCAAAAAAAATCTTTGAAATCAGCAAAAAACCAATTTTTGGCCCAAAACCCGATAAAAAAGTCGGTTTGTGGCCCAAAATCAGTCGAAATCGACGTTGTAAAGCGCCGCTTTCCCACACACATTAACCCGCCATTAATTTCGCGTAAAAATTATGGCCAGCAAAGAGAAAGGGGACAATGAAAGGAAGCGTTTTTTCGAAAGGCAAGGGCGATTTATTGGGGGGATTAAACTCCCAATTTATAAACTTTTTTAAACAAAACTGTTTATTTACTGCGGCGCTAAATCGAAAGGGGATGGTGCGCAAGGGCGAGGGGCGCGGAATACAAGTGGAAAATAGGGCTGGGATTAACATTTTGATTTATATTATTTTAGGTGAAAAATTTGAAAAAAAAATGTCAAAAAGTTTGTTTTTCAAGTGAAAAATTAAAATCCCAGGGCAAATAGGATAATTTTAAACAACGTCAAACCATTACAAAGGCCGCCAGAGGCATTTAAAAAAAATAAAATAAAAAATTTTTTTTATTTTTTAAAATTTTTCTTACCACAATCATATCCGATTGTTGGATGACCAAACAGTCACTGCTTCGGCGGAGATTCATTCCACTGCGCTTGCCAAAACTGAAAAAAACGATCAAATTTATCAAAAAAAAAATTAAATTTTTGAAAACTACCGAAAAATCAATTCACATATCTTAATATTTAAAAGTCTTTCCCAATTACAATATCAAAAAAGACCATTAAAGATAAAAACGGATAAAAATTATATTGAAAATCACAACTCAGAAAAAAAATTTCAATTTTGAACTCTACTACTGTGACGGACCTGACCTCGTGTCAAAAAATGTACCATTTTGCAACCAGGAAGTACCAAAAAATGTGGCAAAATGCCTCCCTGTCCAACTAAAAACCTCCGTTTTGAAAGGCCCGCACAAGAGTGGGCTTTTGAAATCGGAGTTTTTTCACTTGGAGAGGGAGGTATTTTGCTACATTTTTTGATGCTTCACGGATGCAAAATGGTACGTTTTTGCCACTGGATCAGGTCCGCCACTGTACAATACAATTTTTTTTGAAAATATCAGCCAAAATTGCAAAAAAGCCCTTTAAAATTCCAAATCTGGCTCCACCAGCTTTAAAAGCCCTATAAACCCAAGAAAAATTTATGCAAAAGAACGCACAAAGTTCCTAATTCGAGGCGGCGGAAAGCTCGTCGCGCTCTCTTTAATCCCACCGAATTTGGGATAAGCGCTCGGACTTCATTAAGGCGTTCCAAACGGCGCAAATGCTCGTGGAGGCTGCTAAATAAATCAAGAGTCGGAAGTTATGGGGAGGAAATTTATAGTAGAATAAGTTGATAAACTGCGAAAAGTGGGGAGATAATCGATCAAATAGGCGATTTTATAGTATAAAAAGTTGGAAATGAGGAATTTTATAGTGTAAAAACTAACATAAGCTCAAACATTTTCTCCGGAAATTGTGAAATAGCACTTTTTTAGAAAAATTTCATAGGATTATGGGGGGAAAGATAGAATATTTAGAGGTATTTTTGAGGGATTTGAATATTTTATGCCCTAAAAAGGGAGTTGCGATACATTTTTGGGAAAATAAATGTTTCGCATCGTTTTTTACTCTACACAACAGATTTTCGTCCCAAAAATTTCAAAAAAATTTCGAAACAATGAAGTTTTTTTCGAAGTTTTCGATCAAAACTCGACAATTTTTGGAAATCCCAGGCAAAAAATACCCCGTAGCTCGTAAAAAATTCTACTCAAACTTTACATTCATTAAAATCTGAACCCAAAAATTACAGCCCAAAAACAAATTTTCCTTTTATCAAATCGTAAAGCCATCCTTTCCCAAAAAAACAAAAAAAACATTCATCGAGATACTGATTTCCCCATTTTGAAAACCTCTGAAAAGCAAAACCGTACGGTTTACATTACTTCCGACGTCAAAAGACGAAGAAACAATGACCGCCGCTCGAAAAAACGGCTTATCTCTTTGCGAGAAAAAGTTGTGGCCATTTTTCGGCCCCAAGCTTCGTAGGGATCCTTTTTCGGAGTGTGGCCGTTACTCATTTATGTCCATTCATCTTTTGGAGAAAAAAGAGAGGGGACGGAGAAAATGCGGCTAATTTTCGTGGGAGATTATGTTACAATTTCGCGGATTTTGAGGCCTGAGAAAGTCAGATTTATGGGTATGAAAGTGTAAAAAATGGGTGGGGAATGGGTTCGTTGTATAGTTTAGACCAACAAATCTCAAATTGAAAGAAATTTCAAATTCAAAAAACATCTAAATTCCAGTTACTTTCAATCCCAGAAAGCCCATAAAACGTCTCTCTCAAATCTTCAAGAATTTACTTTTCCAAAACCTCCAACTCAAAAGAGAGAATCTTCGGTTTACCTCCCACGGAATCCCTCGACCTGTTGATCTTTATCTCTTTTTCTCCAAAAAATATTGAAAAATAGGGTAGCGGCTGGGGAATAGGAAAAAAAAAGAAAAAATTGCAGTCATACTTTTAGACCAAGTACTTCCTTGTTCTAAAAGTAGCCAAACAGGCGATATTATTGTCGGAAAAGATGGTAAAGTTGCGTAAAGTAATGTCTATTGAGAGATACAGACGTCGAGCCTCGATAAACCAAATTGTTCAGCTATCTTTTTATGCGTCGCGATATTGTTTCAAATCAAGTCTGCGCTTATTAAAGAGATAATTTTTATCTCTTTTTAACCTCTTTACCGTCTGGCATTAGTCTCAGTCAAGCCCATATAGCCAAAAACAAATCCCACCGCCTCTCTGATGCAATAAAACGAATCCTTATGCATCATTCTATGACCGAAATTCTGTTCAGCACCATTTTCGGGCATAGGAGGATGCATAGACGTATTTATTTGCACCAAAGAGGCGTTTGTTTTTGGCCATATGAGCCGCGTGGAGACTAATCCCAGCCGGCAAAGAGGTTAAAAAGAGATAAAAATTATCTCTTTAATAAGCTCAGACTTTATTTGAAAAGATATCGCGACACATAAAAAGATGGCTGAACAATATGGTCTTTGAGGTTCGACGTCCGTATCTCTCAAACGACACTACTTTACATAACTTTGCCATCTTTTACGGCAATAACATCGCACATGTTTAGCATGACGGATGGCTTTACCACCCGCATTCCCAGCCATAAACTTCCCGAAAACAATTAAGTTTCCGAGATGGGCGAAACTTTATATAAAACAATGTGGGATCAACCCAAAACTTTTGCGGTGGGATGTTTTGTGGGTGTTGAGGCGAAACGAACAACAAACTGGTTTCGTTACAGAAAACAGTATTTTTATGGCTCTTTTAAACAGTTGTAAACACATCAAACAATCAAGCGGATGGGGGGAAGATGAAAACCGTTACTAATTACGGATGGAACTTCCGTTTTTGGATTTATCGCCTAAGGAAAATAGATTTTGGTCCTAAAAACTTGTTTCTGGGTCTATTACGGTCTTAAAAATTCCATTCGAAACCACAAAATTCGTTGATACAAACAATTCTTGTTGCAAAAAACTTATTGCAACAAGAACTATCTGCAACAAACGATTTCAGCGGTGTCCAGCCAAATTTCTAGGCCAGCAATAACCTTCCTCCCCACATACGCCATACTGAAAACAAAAAAAACCCAGAAAATCCAAAAATACCCTCAGCCTTGGCTATATGATATCCGTGTTATTTTTAAGCCGTTTGCAAGAATAATTTGCGAAAAATTTATGGCATTTCCTCTCTTTTTTATTGGATAAGGATTAACCGCACACGAAATATAATTAGCGGTCAACGATTATGCGAAAAACGATGTGTAACAAGGTCATATGGGCATGCAATCTCGAATTTTCCGGGTTTTTTATCATCTCAAAGCTTTTGGAATACGGTGAAAACAGTGGGGTTTGGATTGCCTTTTCCTACGACGTCCGTTGTACAAAATGGTCTCTTGAACCACTAATTAGCAGTGTTCTCTTCTCGCAAAAGTTTTATGACTCAGGACGTACAAGAGGATTTTCGGCTTTTAACATGTTGTTTTTGTAGTTGTACGTGGAAAGGAGATCAAAAATTGAAAAAATAATATTAGAAATTAAAGGCTTTTAATGTATAATATGTTGCCCTATTTCTTGGAGGAAACTTCTGAGCTGACTCACAAATCTCCTCCTTCAAAACATGGACAACATATTGCACAGTAAAAACCTTCAATTTCTGATATCATTTTTTGCAATTTTCAGTGTCCTTTGCACGTACAACTACAAAAACAACATGATAAAGGCCGCAAATCCTCGCGGACGTCCTGAATCATAAAACTTTTCCGAGAAGAAAATACCGCTAATTCTCTGGCTTGTTTTGGAATCGTATCAGCAGAAATGAGTCATTTCCTCGCCGCTTCCTATTCAAATAACGAATAATAAAAGAACAGAAAAAGCAGGTCCAAGGTATGAATAAAGAGGGCGAATGAAGCGCCAAGGAGAGGCTGGGCTCTTCGCTGGGATTTCTAACGCCAGATGGTGAAAAAAATAAAGAAGACGGCTTTGGAATTATAATACGCGAATTTATGGAGGCGAGCAAGATGGCGGGACCTGATGGGTGTATCAATCTGGTCCAACTTCGGATATCCCTCCAAAAAATCGACCAAACAATATGGTCAAATTTGTAATATGCGGGGTAATGCACTTAGAAAACATGTTTTCAAAGTCAAAATGCCAAAATACTTCCGAAAATATTCTTTTCAATGCGTTGGCTAATGTCTACAGACATACCCATTAAGAAGATTAAAATTTGAAACTTTTATTCGGTCTTATTGCCAGGCATATTAATTATTTCGAGGAATATCCGGTGGGAGTACAAATGCTGTCACGCATTTGAACTTTCGCACATTAGTAGAGCATAATATTGGGGAAGAAGGAAGATTTCGCTTATTCCGTTCGGGAATTTTGAATTTTCAGTACTGTTGTAAGATTCACGGTAAGAGATCAATTGTAAATCTTCAAAATTAGGAGTTTATTTCAGTATAATAATTTTATGTTATCCATGGGAAATTTCCCAAAATTTCTTGCAAAAATCCCCAAAAAAAAGGGAAATACTAGCAAAAAATTAATATACCTTCACCCACAACTTTCTACGAGAAAAACCCATTTACTTTTTCGTAAAATTAACTAATCATCGAGTTTTGACCTTTTGCTGCTTTCCTCTAAATAACAGCTATTAAAAAGTAGTAAAAGGTGGTGGAAATCCAGTCAAATTTCACTTGTTTGGAACGAGAATTCTTCCGGTAAAAGCCGAGAATTCTTTCAGTGTCCTTTCGCTTTAATGAGGCGCTCTGAATGAGGAGGAATGGAAGGGTAAAAGTTAATGGGGGTGCTAAGGCAGATGGAAGAAATGATTTATTCTGGTGACGGTCGGTAAAATCTGGGTAAGAGAGGGAAATTGCGAGAGCTTTGTGGGGCGATTTTTGCATGAAAATTTGGAAAGACAATGGAAAAAAGAATAAAAAGTGAATTTGAAAAAAATAAGTTAGAAATAACACAAGAATTTTCCATAAATCAACTCATGATTTTTATTTTATTTTATGGGATAAACCACTGAGTCTCACACTTTGAAAAAAATGCCAATTTCCGTCTCCAAAATTTTTTTTTTTTAATTTTCGTCATTTTCCAACCTAAAAATCAAATTGGCCTTGGCTAAGAGGGGCCTAAAAATCTCCCATATTTCTTCAAAAATCCCAATTTTAATTTGTCTCACATTTTATCAAAATTTGAGCCATCTTTTGAGATTGCCCAGTGCAAAAATTTTTGTTTCTAATTGCACCGTGCAACTATCAATTCTGTCCGGAAAATAGTGGCGGGTCGTCGCACATTGGAGTCGTCGATCATCGCTTCGACGAGAAACATTTTGCTGCGACGACCCGCCACTATTTTCCCGACAGCCTGATAGTTGCACGGTGCAATCAGAAACAAAAATTTTTTTGCACAGTGCAATCTCAAAAGATAGCTAAAACTTTGAAAAAACTTGAGACAAATTAAAATTGGGATTGTTGAAGAAATATTTGAGATTTTTAGGCCCCTCTTAGCCAAAACCAATTAGATTTTTGGGTTGGAAAATGACGAAAATTCAGAAAAAAAATATTTTTGGGGACGAAAATTCGCATTTTTTCAAAGTGTGGAACTCAGTGGTTTATCCCAGAGATTTTTTAAAAATCATGGGTTGATTTATGGACAATCTTGTATTATTTCTAACAAGTTTTTTTTCAAATTCACTTTTCATTCTTTTTTCCATTATTTTTTCCAAATTTTCATGCAAAAATCGCCCCACAAAGCTTTTGGAGAAGAAAATTCGCACTTTTTCAAAGTGTGGAACTCAATAGTTTATTCCAGAAAATAAAAAAAATCATGGGTTGACTTATGGACAAAGTCAGAGAGACTTGAAAATAAAAATTATATTATCCATGACCATATTTTCGATCAAAAAACTGCCATAACTGGTAAATAAGAAATCCCCCATTTCAATCCAATATTTAAAAAGCTCAATATATTTTTTTTATTTTTCATGTATACAATGCGCAATTCGATCAGTTTTGATCTGGTTTCCTTTTTTTTGAATAAAGAAGATTCAATTAAGAACCAGTGGGTGCCCCATTTCCTTCCCAAAAAAATCTGATCCAGAACGGGATTTCCTCCACATCGTTACGGAGTTTGAATTTGTTTTTGAGAGCCGTGAGAACTACAGAGGCTGATTTTATATTACTGTAGAACAGCAAAAAATATTTTTAAAAATCTCATTTACAGAAAATAAAAAAATTCTCACAATTCAAATTACTGCTTCCTAATCTACTGTAAATTATTTTAGAACCCAAATTTGAAGCCTATGCCCTCAGGCGGTTCAAAGATTAACCAAAAAAACTTCAAAAATAAAAAAATTCGAACGCCTCAAAAAATTTGAAATTCGCAAAAAAACGCTCAAATTTCAAAAAATGACAGTTGAAATGGCACAATAAGACACGCCCGTCTTCTTTACAAGGGGTTTCTCGAGATAAACGAGATAAAGTTCCATCTATTTTTCGGCCCAAAAATAGACCAACAATGATGTGAAAATAGACAAAACAGGATGTTTGAATGCAAAAAAACATGTTACATACAACAAATTGGGTCGGGACTTTTCCAGGAACATTGAGTCCGGTCTAATTTTAGGGTAAAAAATATTGTTTTAGATCAAATCAAAGTTGTCATGTATAAGATAAATTTTGTTGCCAAAATGATTTGAAATCAATCGTAAAGTGTCAAACGGGGCTTCCTAGAAGCCTCTAAGATCTGTGCTCGCATTGTAAAAACTGGCTTCATCAATATCGGCTATTATAAAAAAAATAAAAAAACGGCGGGAATTTGAATTTTCAAAATTTTAAACCCCCTAAATACCTCAGATTGCTCACATTAGCCCTTAATAAACCCATTACTCCTCTTTTTCCAAACAAAAAGCAAAATTTTTGATGTTTCATATATTATCCATGACAGCAATGATCAAATTTTTGAGACTTCTGACGCAAAACAGGAAAAAATTTCATTTCCTCTTGCAAAAATACGACTCTATGAATATTTATTGCGCCTTTACATCGAGTTGTTGTCAGATTTTTGAGACAATTTGCATTTGCGTACAAAAAAACTTCCCCGTTCGAATAAAAACTCAATTTTCTTTTGGGAAAATAAGTAAATGATGGTGAAAATACACCCCATCTGGACTGTGAATTTGTTTTTTACAGCTTAGTGATAAACTCCGAGGATATTTCGATATTTTTTTGAGTAAATTTGTGAAAAATGTAAGTTATCGTCCAAAAATTGACGATATTTATGAAAATCGTATAAAAAATGATAAAAACCCAGCGTCAAATGTATTCATTATAGCCCAGACACATTCTATGGAATCTGATTGCCCTAAAAATCAAAAAACGCAAATAAAAACAACACCTACCATCCACTGGGAAGATAAATTTGATTATTCATGAGGACTGATCCGCTGATCAAAATGTACCAACACGTTGCTGACTGGCCCTTCCTAAAATACGAAAATTAGCCTTCAAACGTCTCTAGCTTCATTAAATTTTAATCCTGCCAAAATAAAGTCATTTCAACAAAAAAAAATTATATTATCCATGATACCTGAACAAAATATGATCCTTGGGATGTCGTTCGTGCCTCGCCGTCTCCGCAATCGATTTCAACGGCCCATCGGCGAGGATGCGGAACACATCGAGCTGTCGGAGGTATAAGAATATCAACTTGATGTCCTGGAAATCAGTTATATTATTCTAGGCCAGCTTGACGAATAATATAAGAAAAACATCATCGATCAGTCCGATGTGACCTAAAAATCAAAGAGAAAAAGGGCAAAGCGACCTACCTCGTCCGTTCGTTCTCTCGATGGACGCCTAAGGGCATCAATCACCTTGTTGTTGTTCATGGGTGAGTTTATCGCGTTGTCATGGGCCAGACCAGCTAAAATTAGGTGAAATAGGTTTTTTGAAAAGCATAAAATTCGTTTTCAAAGCTTCACGGACGAATTTCACAGATGAAACTGCAATTTTAAGGTAAAAATTATATTATCCATGACGAAAAAATTATATTATCCATAAAAAATCAAAATAATTCAAGTTCAAGAGGCTCCTGGAAAGCTGAAAAACGACTAACACAGACACCAAAACATCAAATCCTTCAAGAATCATACGTTTTTCGGCTTAAAAATGGCCAATAAGCGATTTTTAAAAGGCCGATCGTGTCAAACCGAAAGCACTCAATTATGACACAAACGGCCCAGCAATCCTTCGGACATGTGAGAGAAGTGACGAATTTTTATCCGACAGATCCATTTCCCAATCAACTCGAAAAAATTATATTATCCATGATAAGTCCAGAAAAATTTGATAAAAAACGGGTTTCCCGGCGAGTTGAGGGCGAGAAATGAAAGAATAAGATAAACTGGAGCATAATCAAGGTAAACAACAGTTTTATCAAGGCAAATGAAATGGGAATTGATCAAAAACCGAAGGGAATTCGGGAAATTCATCTGAGCGAAGAGGATTTTGACAATTTTTCCAACTTGAACCGATCGCGTCGATCAAGCTCGCCCCTCTCGACAAAGCATAAAAACCACTGGTCCATTCAAAGCATTTGCACCTCACGAAAACTCCTCTCTCCCATATAAAAAGCCCTTCTTCTCCATTGTCTCTGTGGGACGCACGAAAAATGGGGGAATTCGGACGGAACCTCCTCGAATCACTGATCAAGACCGCCCGAGGATCGAAGGGCTGTGAATTGACTCGCGAACACCCGCCGAGATTAGCGATCAAGCCCTTGCTTTTCGTTCGGATATTACTTTAGATGAAGGTGCAGGTAATTCGGCTTAATGAGGCGCTGTTTTTGCGAATGATGTGGGGGAAATTAGCCAAGAAATTAGTGGAAATGCAGTTGAGAACGTAATAAAATGGAAACCGATTAATTTAATCGGATTTACCTTCAGGAAATTGAATTTCCTCAATTTAGCAACAAAAATTGAAGGGTAATGTCGGAAATGGGCGAAAAAATGAACTTCCTCCTCAAAATTCTCGGAATTTCCTGGCCTCTCACCTAGAGCAATAAAATCCGCTTATTTTCGACATAAATCACGGGTCCAAACCGCCCGTTTGCAGCCATCTTCCACTTGATCTTCCGAGAAAACACCTAAAAGTGGAAAAGACGGGGGAAAAATCAAAAACAAACCGAGTAATGATCCGAATGGAGAAAAAGCGAGTTAGACTGGACAATGACGAGAGTGTCGCGCGCTTTTCCTCACCCGCTGCTCTCAACCAACGCGCTCTTTTCGCAGCCGAAAAGATCGCGCACCCCGAGTCCGAGGCAAAACATCCGAAGTGGCTCGCTGGAATCGGTTTCGAGTGCCGCAAATGATGTCATAACACAGAATGGTGGTCAAATCGTCGAAAACAATGATGCGCCAAGGTCGAGAAGCACGGAGATTTCGGGGAATTTGTTTTTTCTCCAAAAAATATTATTTTCGCACAGGTTTCATCGTATAACATCTCCCAAGTAGGGCGAAATGCCACATAACCCGCGGATTTGATGAGAAGAATTTGCTGCGCATACCACAATATAAATAGAAGAAGCGAATGTCTTCTGACAACAGTATGAACACATTTTTACCACTTTTTATATTACACTAGATATCAGATGTAAAAAAAATAATTTTTTTTGCAAAAAATGAACATTTAATGTTGCAAAACACTTCATTAAAGTTAATACAGTATCTTCAACGACTGCGTGTAAGTTTATTAGTATTTTTATGGGATTTTTTGGCCAAAAATTTTGGCCTTCGTGCAGGTTTCATCGTATAAGATGTCCAAAGTTTTATTAAATCATCACAAAGCCAAGCAATTTGATGGGATCAACTGTGGAAATGACAATAGCGACCATTAGACAGCAGTATCGTTGGTAGCAATGATTTGAATGATTCCTGTCCCTTTCCGATATTACACTAGGCATCAGATGCAAAAATTTGCCGTTTTTCTTCAAAAAACAGGCGTTACATGCTTAAAAGTGCTTTATTACAGTGAGCACTCCATTACGCATAACTATTTACGATCTGAATCACATATGCTCAACAGCATTTGCAATACGACAATATTTTTGTCGATGTGTCGAGCGCACTGTGCATGAATTTGGGATTTTCACCGGGAACAAAACTCGAGCAGGTGCAATCGCTAAATTCATTATGTGTTTTTTTGTTTTGTCAGGGCGAGGGTTCTCACCTGTTTTGTGGCAAAGAACGTTTAAAACTTTCTCGGCGATGGGGATTTCACCTGGTCTGGCTGAAGAAATTTCGAGGTTTCATAAAGTTTAGGCCGGCTTCCGAAGGCCGGTTGGGTCTTGTTGTGTTTCTAACAGTTTTGTTCGACAGTAACTTTATTATAGTTTGTTTAGTTCGCTTTTGGTTAAAAATCAAATTTTTTGCATTTTGGTTTGATGGTCATGGATAATATAAAAAAATGTCGTATAGCCCCAAAACTCAAAAAATATTGAAAAATTTACCTCAAAAGCGTCTATTTCTAGGCCGTTCGCAAAGCCGCTGGCGAGGTTCACGCACTGTGCGAAAGCAAAAGTTTGCCTTGCACTGTGCAATCTCTTGTTTTTCGCACCGTGCAATAGACTCTTTCTGCACAGTGCAAACTTCAAAAAAAGCGCTCCAGCGACACTACGAATGTTAGGTGCCATGCCTCAAAAACGAACCTTTAATTTTTGCCCATGTGGACGTGAGGGTGGAAGTCACGATATGGCATTTCCTTTTTTTGGTATTTTACAAAAAAGGACTTTTGATGTTTAGAGTCACGCAATAGAATACTCGGTATCTTTTTGAAGTTCGAAAGGCTTATTTCTAACATATGTAAAGTCTTCGGGCAACGTCTAGAACAACACTTTCAGATTTTTCGATATTGCTGCGCCATGTACCGTAAATTGAATCTAAATTGTTAGGCGATGATTTGGATGGTCGGCGGACGCTCGGCGAAGGCTCGGCGGAGACTTGGCGAAAGTGTTTTACTTACCTTCGGTTATTATAACATATAAAACACTAAAAAACGAAGATCCGCAACTTTTATCGAGAAATTATTGATGTGAGTACAAGTAAAAGCTATCCTAGGCCCCGATCAATCTGTCGCTGATTCGGAAATTCCTAATTTTCCATCTAGTATTATATTAGTCAGTCCAATTCCTCATTTCTCTGGAACCCATTTTTATTTCTTCTTTCCATTTTTTCCAACCCAACTATTCGACTTTTCCCTTATCACCATTGTAAATAATTATAACATACTCGGGTGAGCGCGTAAATATATTGTGGTCACGACTTTCCCATAATCAACTTTCCGCACAGCCCCCCAGAACACCGCACCACGGGCCATGGGTAACATCGAAGGCAAAGAGAGCAAGCCCGCCGCCGACAAGGCCCAAATGACGCAGCCGGTGGGCGCCAACGACCGACAATACATGCTGTACACGCTGGTGGACATGCATGGGGGCGGCGAGCTGATCCCCTGGATGCGGTATGCGCTGAACAGCGGCGATCACAGTCTGATCGATGGGTACATGGAGACCAAAGTTTGTGTAAGTTGGAAGATACGATGGACACGGAGAAAAAAATAAAATTCCGCTTTCAGGACATGACCTACAACGGCGGAAAAGGTCGTCTGGAGTCCGTGGCCGAGCTGGTGAAACGCCGGAACAAGGAGAGAAATGAGAGGCTTGGAGCGTTCAGTCGAAAGAAAGGAAAGGGGAAAAGCGGCCCAAACATTTTGGATGACTTCAATCAGGAGAACAATCAAGGCGATCTGAAAAAAGGTACGGTAATTTGTAGGCACTGAAACTTGCTGTTTTCAGCGTTGAAACTGCTGGATGGAGGGAAAGGAGGAAAAGGTGATGCGAAATACCGAGAAATCGTTTGGAAACTCGATTCTAGAGGTAAGTTTGTGTGAAAAATCAAAAAAATGCCTTGTAAGACACTGCGATTAATGTCATACATATTCTCCTGGATATACATATACTTTCGCATCCCGACTTTTCGGGTCGACGACAGTCCGAATCAACGCAAAATCGACTGATACGGGCAGGTGAATACACCAAAAAAAAGGTTGTAGGAATTGCCTACGAAGCCTGGTAAAGCCGTTCAACGCTCGGCGGAGACTTGGCGAAGACTTACAATATGTTCATTTTTTTTAATTTTAGCTATTTCTAACTCTAGTTTTCTTCTTTTTTTGAGGTGTTGTAACATATACAAGACCAAAATTCACGGGGAAAAAACAAAGATCAGTTAGGATATTATTGATGTGAGTACATAGAAAATACCTCAAGATAGGTGATAAGCTATCCTGGGACCCGATCAATCTCATTATCTCTACTAAATAGGCCTTCTCCTAGCCTGTAGGAGTCTTGCATACATCATAGAAAAAATAATCTAAATGCTCATCGTCAGATGTATTGCTTTGGTTTGTAAAACGCAGGTGTCCTTTGTGTAGTACTATACAATGGTAAACCTGATCCAGTGGCAGGAAAGGTACCATTTTGCATCCGGGAAGTATCAAAAAAATGTGGCAAAATACCTCCCTTTCCAAGTGAAAAACTCCGATTTCAAAAACACGCCGGCTCATTTTGTGAGAGAGCCCTTCAAACCGGGGCTTTTTAATTGGAGAGGGAGGCATTTTGACACATTTTTTGATACTTCCCGGATGCAAAATGGCGTTTTTTACCACTGGATCAGGTCCACCACTGTATCTATATTCTATTTCCAGGCTCCATGGGAGAGAGTCTCCTCGGCTGCTGTCTGATGCAAGGCACCGCCGTCCACAACCAACTGGCCATCAAATTGTTGGAGCAATTCCCCAAACTGGTCAATGACATCTTCATTTCCGAAGATTACTATGGCTTATCGCCATTGCATCAAGCCATCGTGAATGAGGACCCATTCATGGTCAGTTACCTGCTTCAGAAGGGCGCCGAAATCAATCAACGTTGCTATGGCGCCTTCTTCTCGCCGGACGATCAGATCAGCAGCAGAACGGACTCGCTGGAACATGAATACGTGGAAGTGAACTTTGATGACACCAATTATAAAGGGTGAGGTTTTTTCAATTTTTAAATAAAACAAAATTTTTTATTTTTTTTTTCACAGTGCAAAAAATTTTGAGAAAATTTGCACAGTGCAGATTTTTTTGGTCTTTGCACTGTGCAATTTTATTTTGTCGAGTTTTTTCGACTGCACAGTGCAAAAAATATTTTTTTAATCTTTTCCACCGCATAATGCAGATTTTTTTGTCTTTGCACAGTGCAAAAAAAATATTTTTTTCGCATAGCGTAAAAAAATTGAAACAGTAATTTTTTTAAATTTTTTATTTTCAAAAATCAAAAAAAAAAATTGCATCGTTTTTTCGGCAAAAACTTTGCGAATTTATACTATGCAGCTCAAAATCTCGAATAGGCCATAAAAAATTGCAATTCCAATCTTTTTTTCACAATTAGCAAAGTTTTATCATTGCACCGTGCAAAAATCCAAGTTTTTCACTGCACTGTGCGTTTTCCAAGAAAAAAATTTTTCGCACTGTGCAAAAATCCCAGTTTTTTCTACCGCACTGTGCGTTTTCCGAAAAAAATTTTTTTTGCACTGTGCAAAGATCCAAGTCTTTTTCACCGCACTGTGCGTTTTGCAAAAAAAAAATTGTTCGCATTGTGCGAAAATAATTTTTTTTTCATCGCACTGTGCGTTTTCCAAAAAAAATTTTTTTTGCACTGTGCATTTCGAAATACAAGAAAATAGTCAAAACCACGTTTAGAAAAATGTATTTTGGCGAATATCCCTTGGCATTCGCGGCTTGCACCAATCAAGTCGACTGCTATCGTATTTTGCGAGCGCACCGTGCGGATCCCAACGCTCAGGATACGAATGGAAATACGGTGTTGCACATGACAGTGATCCATGAGAATTTGGTGCGTTTGGATTGTAAATGAAGCAGCAGGCTATGAATTTTTTCTCAGTCGCTTTTGAGGTGACTATCACTGATAATTTTTAGGATATGTTCCGATTGGTCTACGAGACCGGTGGAAAATTGCAAATAATGAATAAACAGAACTTGACACCTCTTACACTCGCCGCCAAACTGGCTAAAAAGACGGTAAGTTCTGTTTAGCGACCATTCTATTAGGTTTTACCTTCGTATTTAGCTATTTTTCACCTTGAATTTAAAAAAAAATATTTTGTCAAATATTTCGAGACAAATTTTTCCCGTATTTTACAAGTCCTCACCTTATTATTTCACCCATTTTCAACCTGATTTTGCCCAAAAATGACCTTACTTTAGCTGAAAATCACCTGATTTTAGATGTTCGAGCAGATCCTCCAACTCGAAAGCAACGTAATCTGGCATTATGGGGATGCAGCTTCCACAGCCTTTCCGCTAGCCAAAATTGACACAATTAATCAAGAAACTGGCGAGCTGAACGAGGATTCGGCCCTTTCTTTGATCGTTTACGGCGACAGCAAGGAGCACTTGGACCTTTTGGATGGACTTTTGGAGGACTTATTGCAAGCGAAATGGCAAGCGTATGGTCGGAGAAGGTGTGTCGAGCATTATTCTTGAAGTTGAAATCGAAAAATCGAGAAAAAATTTGAAAATTTATTTTCCCGCCAAAATTTGGCATTCTGTTTTATGGGCAGATTTGGATAAAATTTGATTAGATATATCATCTAGAAGTCTTTTAGAGACATTTGACACTTTTTTCCAATGGTTTTTTCACCGAAAAAATAGAAAAATCAAGATTTTTTTTGCATTTTTCCCACAAAAATTCGGTGATTTTATCTTTCAGCTGGCAAAAATCCCTCTCCGCCTTTGTTGTTTACTACCTATTCTACTTTGTCGCCTTCATGACGCGCCCATTTTCCCTCAACACCTCGATTACGACCGACTTTTGGATCGAGGATGGCCAAGTGGACAATCGAAGCCATTCAACGCTGATCCATCTCACCGAACTGAACGACATCTACGAAAAAGAGACACACAACCCAATGTCGACGTTTTTGTACAAGTATTGGGCCAGCAAGCCGTCCTGTTTTTTGTTGATGTATTCCAGACAGGGATATCAGGGATATGTAAGAACGCAGTTTTTGCACTGTGCAGAAACGGATTTTTTGTTATTTTTTGCAAGCAGTGTAATTTCTAAGCATTTTTTTAGTTGCACAGTCCGAAATTTTAGAGAAATTTTTTGCACAGTGCATTAAGAGTGGCGACGATTTTTTTGCACGGTGCAATGAAAAAGGTGGCAATTTTTTGCACAGTGCAATGAATTTTTTTTGCACAGTGCAGTTTCTGAGCAATTTTTTATCTGCACTGTGCGAAGTGTTAGAATTAAAAGTGTTAGAGCAAAAATTTTAGCACAGAATTTTTTTCTTTAAAAAAAACAATTTTTTGCACAGTGCAGTAAGAGAGGCCACGTTTTTTTTTGCACAGTGCAATTTCTGGGCAATTTTTTGTTTTCACTGTTCAAAATGTTAGAGGAAATTTTATGCACGGTGCAATAAGAGAAGAGACAATTTTCTGCAGAGTGGAATAAAAAAATTGCACAGTGCGGTAAGAGCTTCGACTAAAATTCTGCTTTTTTTTGCACAGTGCAGCCACAGTGGCAATTTTTTGCTCGCACTGTGCAATCAAAAAATTGTCTTTTGCACCGTGCGGCATTCGAGAAAAAAACTTTCCGCACCGTGCAGATAAAATACCGCCTTTCTGCACAGTGCAGGTTAGGAGAAAAAAATGAAAAATGAAAATTTTAGGTCAGAGCCTTCTGTGAGACCACGATAGTGCTGCTGGTTCTGATTCAAATCGTTATTGAGATTATTGAAATTCGCAGTGTTGGGAAGAAACGATATTGGCAAGTTTTGGTAAGTTGCTCGAAAAAAATCAAAAAAAAATGTTTTTGGCATTTTTCGATTGTAAAAGCTTGAGCTAAAATAAAAAAAAAGCAAGATTTTTATTTTTTTTGTCGGGAAAATAATGAGCACAATGTCTCGAAAAAACGTCAAGAAAATTGAACGACATTGCGCTCATTATTTCCCGACAAATGATATTTTTGTTAAAAAAAACTAAAAATATTTTTCATCATCTCAATTTTAATCCCTAAAAATCACATATTTCAAAAAAAAAACTCATTTTTTCAGAAAGCTTTCCCCGCCAAAATCATGTACAAGATCAGCCTGATCATCACCATACTGGTCGTGCCGGTCCGCTTTTCCTGCGGGCTCGACACCACCTTCAACGCGATGCTCATCGCCGAGAACACGATGATTTTGGTGGCCGTTATCTTGACCACAATCCACTTCCTCTTCTACTGTCGCGCGATCAAGTTCGTGGGACCGTTTGTCTTAATGGTATATACAATCATAACACGCGACATGTTCCGCTTCTTCATGATCTATTTCATCTTTTTGATGGGCTTCTCGCAAGGCTTTTATTTGATCTTCCTGACCTGCGAACGCAGCTACCGGACGCACCTGATCGAAGTGGAGAATAAGACGTTCGATGAGGCGCGAAGGAGTGAGTTGACCTTTTGAGTTCTCAAATTCCAGTCGCGGAAGACAAGAACATAATGTCGATGCCGATCGAGTCCATGCTGCGTCTGTTCATCACCACCATCGGAGAGTTCACCGTCTTCTACCGCGAGCTGAACTCGTGCATGGCGCGCGACATGGCGGTGCTGGGGAAGGCGCTGTTCTTCATCTTCGAAATGTTCGTAAGCCTTATGCAGTTCAATCTTCTGATCGCGATGATGACGAGGACATACGAACTGATTTATCGGACGCAAAAGGAGTGGAAACGGCAGGTAAACTGATATATAGAAACTGCTGTGTGGCCTTTTCCATAGAAAAAAAACGAATTTTATCTTTTAAAATTTTTGCGTAGGGCAGGTGGACCAAAAAAAGTCGTAGGAAGCGCCTGCGAGGCCTGGAAAAGCCGTTGGATTCTTGGCGGGCGCTCGGCGGAGAAGTATATAATAGTAATAAGACGTAGTTTTTGGAACTTTGCGGTATTCCTCTCCTTCTCATTACCCACATCTGTCTCTTCTTCCGTCGTCATCCTAGTTCCTCAGATGGGCGGATTTTTGGGTCCACTCCTCACAAGTTACAGCAGGCAATTGCTGCTCTTGTTTGTTGACCACCGCTTTGGCGATGATCAATGCGAAAACAGTACTTATTTGAGCGTAGTGCGCAAGAAACTTGTCAATTACCAACCTAGAGATAATTTTCAGTGGGCGCAAGTAATTTTGATGCTGGAGCTGTCGCTAACGCCCAAGGACCGGCTCATGGCGTTGCTGAAGTACTCGCGGCCCATTGGGACGGATAAGCGGCGCAGAGCGTTCGTTGTGAATCGGAAGGTGAGTTTGAACCGTTGTCTATCAATACGTTGATAACCTTCAGATTGATCCGCTGAACGAGAGCGAAAGGATTTTGAAGGAGCGACAGGAGAGCGAGAAGAGGAAGGAGAAGAAGTTGTTGCTCAAGAGGAGATTGAAGGTAGGTGGAGTTGTTTTCAACGTAAGGTGAAACCGCTATAAAAGGCAGTCATGTACAATAAAACCTTCAAAAAAACGACTGTCACGGGTTGCATGTGTATGAGGGTCCCTAGTCTAGGTCCTATAAGTAAAATACAACGCAGGACAATAGACAAATTAGGAATATATATTTATTGCTTCATTAGCACAACCGCCGCAGCAAGGGAGAAACACACAGAATAATTCACACTTCTTCACACTGATTGGTTGGACGATTTCCCTTCCTTTTATAACAATTTTTCGGTAATTCCATGGGAATATGCAAATTCTCACGCGATGTTGTGACACTACAACACATTATTGTCCCGACAGACTGAGATGAGTCTGTAGGGGAAATAATGTGGATTTGTCTGGAGCAGGACATGAAGTCTGCTGTACTTCATAAAATCTTTTCAGGGCTTCAAAGACGTCAAAACGGGTCTCCGTCCAATGACTTCGTATCTCACGGCGCCATCGCCAATGCCGCCGAGACGGTGAACACACTACAACGGTTAACTTTATTACAATGCAAATTCTTTTATAACTAAGTAAATAGTCTACCGGCCTTGGTATTAAATTGGAATATGCTGCCAAAAGTCGGACGTTCTCTAATTTTTATATGCACGTATCTCCAGAGGGGCTCATTATTTCTTCTCTTTCTTTCAAACAGCTAAAAAACTCATCCAATGACAACTAAAGACCATCGTCATCAAATATGAATGGACCTTGCCAAAATGCCCGCACAGATGAGCTCTGCAATCATTAATGCATACGACGGAATGCGCCGAAAATTTGTTTTTTATGATCTTCTTCCTTTTGTGTTTAGTCTATTTGTCCTGTCATTTGGGGAAACATGGAGGTCAACGGCGACTTGTCATCGGTCTTGGGAAACAAATTGGTCAAGTTGGATGGGATTCAACTGCAACAGTTGAGGTAGGCGATGTTTCTGTGCCTAGCAAGCGAGCATCAGATTAAAAATTGGCTACGTATTGTACAATTTTTCCTTCTCTACTCTCGCGGCAAAAACTGGGAATTTCATGCAATTCTGCATAACGCGATAATGCGATTGTGAGATAATTGCGTCGTTCTTCCAGAAACCCATTTCGCATTGTGCACCAAAAAAGCTCTTTCAGTAAATCTTAGCATTTTTGGGCATAAGTGACAATTTATACGAAGAAAAGTTTTCATCGTATAAAATGTCGCCTCTGTGCATTTTTTGCACCAGGTCGCGATTCTCATTTTCCGAGCGTACGATATCCCGGTCTGAATAGAATTTGAGGCCGGGGGATAAGTTCTCAGGATTTTTTGCGCCTAGTAATGTGTCACGACATAAAGTCCTGACACATTTTGTCGCGGGTGTCGCGCGAGAATAGTGGCAAGTTCGCGCGAAAGTGCATGTCGCTAGTGCAAAAACGGGGAATTGCCGCGACGGGTCCGAAAGAAAAACAAAATGCACTGTGCAAATGTGTCAGGACTTTATGTCGCGACGAGTATGTAGTATGTAGACGCCCTTTTTCAGACGACCGGACGTCACACAAGCAATAGACACCCTCGGCAGACTCTCTGCGGACTGCTTTGGAGCCAGAGATGTCTACACCAGCTCGGAAAAGCTCCTTCAAAATCTCGATCAAAGTTTGTACCTCAGCTGGGAATACGATCCGTAAGTTGCGATCAGTCTGTCGCGAAAATAATGGCCATTTTATCGCAGCGAAAATCGCATTGCCACCGAGAAAAAATAGTTGTGTCGGGAAAAAAACAAATTGCTTTTCACTTCAGCGACGAGCGACATTGCGCATTATTTTCCCGACAGACTAATAATACGTGAAATTTCCAAAAAAACTGATGGGTTTTTCCAACTTCAAGCTGATTTACAGACGTCTGACAACTATATTCTCATGTAAAATTTCTTGCAGAAGCCTCGACAAGAGCTTTATCATTGGCTACATCAAGGTGGGCAAGAAGCACCTGTTCCTCTACGACAAGCTTCTCGAGGCGTACGAAGGCGACCTCTCCGTTGTGATGGACATGTTCATCCACACAACGAGACAACGACGGGGCCATGGAAAGGCCTTGTTCGAGTTCCTGTTGACCACGGAGAACTTGCCCGCGCATCTCGTGGCATTGGACAATCCCACCGCCGCGCTGTTGAGTTTCTTCGCCAAAGCCTTTGGGCTGGAGAAGCCCGTGTGGCAGAACACCAACATTGTCGTGTTTCAGAAGCTGTTCGACTCCATTCAGCGGAATGGTGAGCGTCTTGCTGTTTAACGAATATAGTCAGCTCTGTGGAGAACGAACCGAAAGCAAACAAAAAATTAACTTCCTTTGGAAGGGTTTTGCTCTATGGAGGTTTATCACTCTGTCGCAAAACAAAAAATTTGAATTTTTAAATTCCCGCCGAAGTTTGGCATTCTGTTTCAAGGCGTTTTTAGTGTCTGAAGTTTCAAAAAATATACTGGCTGACAAAAATTTCTTTCCACTTCGTATCTCGGGAACCGCTGGGCCTAGAACCTCCAAATTCGGCATAGAAACATCCTGAGACAATCTAACACCATACCCAAAAAATCATATTATTTGATGCACTTTCAGTGCACTTTTTATCCAAAAGGCAAAAAACGGGATGACAAAATTTTCTTTCCACTTTGGAAAAACGTTTGTAAATCATAAGCCAGAGGGCGCTAAGGCATGATTGTGGTATCGTTGTGTTCGCAAATGAGTCCTCTCTTGATCCGTGTCACAGTTTTACAATAGTTTTCGTTTGTTCGTCCTTGGGCGTCTGTTCATCGTCGCCTTGTCCGTTTTCAGCTAAACTCTTGGCCAGAAAAGCTCGCAGAAGGCCCAAGGAGACGAAACTGCCCGTATTAAATCTGGTATTTATGGTTGCAACATTGTTTACTCCGGCAGTAGAATTAGATTTAATTTAAGCGTGTTGCATAGGAAAATGTGCACTTCCAGGGTTCTCGTTTCCAGAAAATTACGTTATTATGGGAACACTGCAGACAATTCAAGTAACTTTTTTTGCTGATATGTTTTCTATGATACTACAGCCTTAAAAAATAGTGACGATTTTAGTCTCTGATGTCGCGTTTAGGTTTGAGCAGAAGAAAGATTCCGCATGCCCCATGTGCAAAATTTGCAACCCTAAGCTACCCGCGCAAGCAACTTGTCGTGCCAAAAACGTTAAAAGCAGGACAAAGTCACTGTATTAAGGTAGTCCGGTAGTCAAAAGTTCCAATATGTCAAGCTTAAGTAATGCCAATTCCTCCCCGTCATATAATGCAACAACCTGCGTTACTAAAGACGACATAGACCAGAGGGGGGTAAGATAAGGTAGTAGATTTCAGCACAGACTGTCGTATAATACCTAAAATGCGCCATATGTCCAGTAAACGCATATTATTTGGACTTTTCCATTCTGTACATAAGCGATTTTCTGGTTTCGCGAACCCTGGAAGTGCACATTTTACACTTAAATTGAATCTAATTTTACTGCTGGTGTAAACAATGTTGCAAACATAAATAGCAGATTTTTTAACGGCAGTTTCATCTCCTTGGGCCTTCTGCGAGCTTCTCGGCCACGAATTTGGCAGAAAACGGACAAGGCAACGATGAGCAGACGCCCAAGGGCGAAAAACGAAAGGTCCTGTAAAATTGTGCCACGGATCGAAAGAGGACTTCTTCGCGATCACAACGACACCACAATCATGCCATAGCGCCCTCTGGCTTATGATTTACAAGCGGTGGAAAGAAAATTTTGTCATCACGTTTTTGCCGTTTGCATAAAAAGTGCACTGAAAGTGCATCAACTGATATGATTTTTTGGGTGTGATGTTAGATTGCCCCATAATGTTTCTATGCCGAATTTGGAGGTTCTAGGCCCAGCGGTTCCCGAGATACGAAGTGGAAAGAAATTTTTGTCAGCCAGTATATTTTTTGAAACTTCAGACACTAAAAACGCCTTGAAACAGAATGCCAAACTTCGGCGGGAATTTAAAAATTCAAATTTTTTGTTTTGCGACAGAGTGATAAACCTCCATAGAGCAAAACCCTTCCAAAGGAAGTTAATTTTTTGTTTGCTTTCGGTTCGTTCTCCACAGAGCTGACTATATTCGTTAAACAGCAAGACGCTCACCATTCCGCTGAATGGAGTCGTTTGCGCTTCGAAACAGAATGCCAAGATTTGGCGGGAATGCAAAAATTTAAATTTTTTAGTTCTGCAAAACCTCGCAAAGCAATTTGAGTTTGTCGCGCGCGACACAATTCATGTTATCGGCGGCGATACGATACTGGATGCGACAGAGTGCTCATTATTTTCTCGACAGACTGATGTGCCCCGTTTTCAGACGAATACACGCCTGAGGGCTGGCGCCGTCCGCAAGCGCCGAGAAATCTGTCGGGAAACGGCGACGTCTCTCTTCGCTATTTGGACAGTGCCGCCTCCGGACACCCGTGCAAGAGTCGGCTGAGCCGCGACTCCTCGCTGAGCTCGTCGATTGACTCGGCCGACGAGACCATGTCTCAGCGTCAGATGCAGGCGCGAAACCGAAAACAACAACTCTTGAGTAGTAAACCGCTGTGGTAGAGGGGGCTTGGATTGCTTATTTAATTGTAATTTTTGTCGTAGTCGCTTCGTAGTGGTAGTCAAGCTATTTTATTCCGCCGATAAAACAATTTTAGTGCGTAATTCACAAGGACTAAAACGAACAATTTTTTCGCACTTTTTGGCAAGCTTTTTAACTAAAACTTTTAAAAAAATTCAATTTTTCAGTTATACTTTATTGCCGATAAACTCGAATTTCTTTGGTCCTATATACGATTGCAATGCATTAATAACAGCTATTTGAACGTCCCAATCCGAGCCCAAAACCAGTGTTCAGTGGAATGCCAACTCCGATTAGCCACGGCTCCAGCCATATTGGCCTGCAAATTGGCCTCCGTACTGTCCTTGTCCTCCGTATTGGCCGTATGGGCCTCCTCCGAAACCGCTGCGGCTGGCTTGAAAGTTGGAGTTGTAATTGGCGTTCACCGGGCCTGGAAACGTCATTTTGAAATTGTCTTTAACGAAATTTTTTTTTTGAAAAAATTATAAGGATTGTAAAATACGCGAATCCAGAGCCGTTTTTTGAAGTATCTCTGTGAACTTCACGGCGAAAAAATCGATTTTTGGCAAACCAGATGTTAGAAATAAGACAAAATTTTTTTCTAAACAAGACAAGCTCGTTATAAAAATGTCAAATTTTTACCAACTTTCGGACTCCAAGAGGAAGATAAGCCTAGTCGAGCGACAAATCTGAAACCCATTGCTTGGACCTCTCCATGGGCCATCCCGCTCTCATAAACTCCCCAATTTTCTCTGGTCTCTCATCAGACTCCTGTCACGATTCCGTGAAGAATTCCCAGAAATTAGCATAAACCGACGAATATTTTGATATAAATATTATATAATGGACCGATCGCTTTTCGGTCACTCGTTTTGGAAATAAACCAAGTATTGTAATTTGTTGGAAGTCCCCTTGATACAGTCCGGTGGTGGTCCAAGCTCATTGGAATCAATTTGCGTGAGTTCGCAGATTTTCAGCTAGAATTCTCTAGTTGTGGTCTCCAGGTTATTAGGGGTAGTTGATACTAGGAGTAGAGGGCAAGTTAGGGTCCTCATTAGACCTCGACGTTTATTTAGCTTAGTCTTGACACTCCATCACCCACGATGATCTTACTGGCGCCAAAACCCGCCTCAAGCTCTGACCCAGCTGCCTATGCATACATATAAGAGCGCCTTTCTAACTATACGGCGGATAGTTGGGATCTCAACCAATTTCCCAAGAAATCTGCATAAACCCAGAACTATAAATACCACCGTTCGACCCTAAAATCTCTAATTCATTGTCTGCCGCCCGCTCAGTTGGGTGGTGTTATCTGTGTTGTGTCTTCAATAAACTCTATCTATTCTAATTTGTGTCTATTCCTTCGGTGGTCAACTGTCCTCCCCCCCCCTTCAAGAGCGTGCAAGACGTTATAAAAACACATGCACCTACCTTGGACTTCAAAACTCCGTTGTCTGGAAAATTGGCCGCCTCCGAAGCCGCCTCTGGAGTCATAATTCACTCCAATTTGGGCCGAGACCAACGAAAGCGCCAAAATTGCCAGAAAAACAAGACATGTCGAGAAATTCATTGTTTGCGAACGCTAATACAAAGTCCAGTTGACAACAAAACTCCGACCTTTACAACGGCTTTTATACCGTGCGTTTAACGGTCACTCAAGGTCGTTTGTTTAGCGAAGAAACTTGTTGGGGCGTTGAGCGTTGAAAAGATAAACAAATCATTCGAATTCAACGAATTGAACGGATTTATCACGTCGAAGAAGATGAAGACAACCGGCGGAAAAATGATGACATAAAAGTTAATTTTAGACCAGTTACTTGTTGAATAGTAAGTTGAAACATTGAGGAGTTAATGAGAAATTCGACGAATAATGATTACTCTCCTCGTCAAATGTGGAAAATCAGTCGACAGTTGCAAGTGGGGGGTAAAACAGCGAGCTTTCGAAATTTATTTGTATGGGTTGCATGGTAAAAAGAAGTGTGATTTCGGTGCAAGTTGTTTTTTTTGCTTTGAAAATTGTTTTCTCGGAAAATAGCCGTGGAAGAGCTCGAAGAGCGACCTTCAGATTTTGCCGAAACCTGACCCAAATTTACAGGTAGTACTCCAAGTGCGACGCTCAGATTTTATTCAAATTTTTCACACATGTCGGGCGTAGGTGACATATCAATTTCCGAAAATTTTGTCTCCCGCTTTACAGGGGCAGATGAGATATTGAACAATCTTTAGAGAGTACGCGAAACGCGGAGAGTCGGAGAGAAAAACACATTTAAGCCATATCTTTGCCAGTTTTCTGCAAAAAAATGCTTTTTTGTGGAAACGTTGACCTCTACAGTAGAAAACGGTGAGAAACTTTTCATTCCAAAATTCCCTAAAAATGGCGCATTTTGCCGGTTTTTGGTCTAAAAATCTCGGTCTTTTCTGCAAAGCGCGGGCTAGGAGTGATGTATATATCCTAGAAAAAATCAGTCTAAATCTGTGCCAAGCTTTGTCAAGATTTGAGCATCGTACTTGATATACTTCCCCTGTGAAAAAGATATAAAAATTTTTAGCCCAAATAGCGGTGAAAATTCGACGAGTTTTTTGCGAGTCTCTGCACGAAAAGTTTCAGCTCTGTTTTAGCCGAGGAGACTTTCCTGAAAAAACGAATTTTTCCGCGCAAAATTAGCAAAGATACGGCCAAAAAAAGGGTTTTTATCTCTTACCACAGTAGATATAAGATACTAGACTACCTTGAAGTGAAAAAACAAAGCCCCGCAAAGTTTGTTGTCAAAAAATAGGCATACGGTGGCCCTTTTTCTCCAAAGAAAACAGCCCAATGAACGGGGAGAAGGGGTGAATTGTAACGCTAAAACAGTTAAAGTCTCCTTTAACGTGAAAAATCTCATCTTGTTTTCCAAAAAATTTATTTTACAATAAGAAAACAACTAATCTAACGAGAACAATATGGAGATCCAAATAAAAATCCGTTCATGGCTTCACTCACTACTTCTTGCCCCATCTATGATGATGGCCCCATCCACGTCCGCCAAAGCCGCCGCCATATAATCCGAAAGCGGCGCCGAATCCGCCATAGCCGTAGCCGCCGCCATAGCCGCCGCCGTAACCGCCGCCATAGTAGGGGTAGCTGTAGCCGGAGCTGTAGTAGGGATAGCTGTAGCCGCCGTAGTACGGGTAGCTGTAGCCCGAACTGTAGTACGGATATCCACCGTAGCCGCCGCCATACCCTCCGCCATAGCCACCGCCGTAGCCGCCGCCCACGAAACCTCCGCCAATCAGGAATCCGCCGCCACCGAAGCCGCCAAACCTATGGCAAGTCGCCAATTGCGCCACAAGCAGCAATAAAATCAATGTTACAGTAATCCGCATGATTCGAGTCGAAGACACAGTAATCTCGGAAGCTTCAGAGAGCCTCACAGAAGCTTTACACAAGTTTTCCAACAGTAACTGACTGAACAGTCGAGTATTCATCAAAACTTGAGGGCCCACCTTATATATCCGATAATTACAGCAAATTGTCCCAAATTACTGTCGAATCGCGCCGTTCCCCCAACTCCCCGCAACGCCAACCCCCGACGCCACCTTTAATGGTCAATTTGGCGAAAGTTTCAACTTTGTTACTACTTTGTTTCTGCCGCCACAACTCTTGGTAACTTTCGGGGGGCGCAACGCTACAATACACGTCGAAAGTGCGAAAAAAGAGTATTTTGGGAACGGCCGGTTGGCGGAACACTGGTTGCTTAGTAAGTCATAGGATCCACAGTCTTCGCCAAAGTTGAACCTTTCCACGGAATCAGCGGCTGGTTAAGATACAGTATTCACAAAAATCACAAGGTCGTTAAAGTTTTTCTAGCGGACGGTATTTTATTTTTTTTTTGATCGTTCAGGCATGCCAAAAGGTAGCTCACGTCAAAACAATTCTTTCAGAAAATTGAAAAAACAAGGAATCTCGGATCATTGATAAAAGAAAAGCGAAGTGCCACTGAATTATCGAGCCTGAAAAATTGTTTTCCTCTTCGAAAAAACATTTTTCTCGAAATTCTCTGGGAAAGTTTTCTTTTGTGACTCGATAATTCAGCGACATTTCGTCAAAAATCAATGATCCGAGGTTCTTTGTTTTTTCACTTTTATTTTGACGTGTAGCTGCGATGGTTTGCAGCTCAATTTTTGTTGATTTGAATATCCAAAATTTGAATTCCCGCCATTTTGGCATTCCGTTTTAGTCATCATATCGGGTCGACTTTGGCCGAAATGAAGCTGACTGAACTGTATATGTTCTAGGACTAATACTCGACACAATTTTTGTGTTGGATCTTTATTTCAATTTTAATTCCCGCCATTTTGGCATTGTGTTCTATTCGCTGTTATCGAGTCATTTTTGGCTGAAATTAAGTGCTGACTGAACTGTATATGTATTAAATGCAATATTAGACACAATTTTTGCGTTGAATGTTTATTTTAATCATGTTTTTTTTTGATTGTCTGAACCCCCGTTTCCCGAATTTAGTTGTGCGCTAGAGACTAGAATTTGTTTGGGTTGTATTTTGTGCTGCGTAGTTTATGCAGACGCCAGCAACGTTTCACAAGGTTTGAATTTTTGAAAAGGAAACATTGTCAGAACCCAAAAACATTTTTTTTTTTGTAATATAGCACGAAATTATAGAACCAAAAAATCGGTCTTTCGTCGGTGCGCGACTTCGACTAGGCTAGACATCTTTTAACAAAGCCTTCAAAAATGTGGCAAAATGCCTCCCTCTCCAAATGAAAAAATTTCGTTTTTAAGAGCGCGCTTTTTTCTCGCGAAAAGAGCGGGACACGTCAATCCAGCGCATTTCCTGAACCATTTCGAAACTTCGTATCGTTTTCATTGGTTTAAAAGAGAGACGAAATGTCGCGAAATTATCGGCACTTTTTCTCGCCCGAAATAATTGTTTTTTCTCGAAAAGGAAGAAGAAAGATAAGCAAATGCGTTTTATCGGGTACTGAAATTTCGTTTTGAACGAATCACCAAAAAGGGGCGGGAAATTTTTTCTTCTATTTTGGATTGACGTGCGGGAGCGCTTTTTAAATATGAGTTTTTTCACTTGGAGAGGGGGGTACTTCGCCACATTTTTTGATACTTCCGGGATGCAAAATGGTACGTTTTTTGCCACTGGATCAAGTCCCCCCACTGCAATAGTATGATTCGTAATACAGAGTTCACTATATTCACTAGAAATTCAATTCTTCCGAATTCACTGAACATTTTGTATTTTCTAGTCCCATCATATCTTACACCTTTTTTATGTAATACCCTCATTTTTTTCAAGTATAACACAACTTGCCGAACATGAGCTCCTTGAAGAGTCGCGTCCGCAGAAGGCTCGGAACACAAACTGAAAACGGTCTTGTTTTTAACTGATTAGTCATCAACGCTTTTTCCAGACACCCTCTGTGTTCGCGCAATTTGCCAAACACCATGGCAAAGGTTTACCCCAATGTCTTACAACGCTCCTTGCAATTAGGTTTGCTTAGCGAATGTGAATGTGTCGATTGTAAAAGGTCAGGATCTTTATTTTTGTAAAATTTTTTCCCGTTTGATCAATTGTGTTATTCAGTTAACAGAGAGAGGACACCAAGTGCGACGCTCAGATTACTTCAAATTCTGCACACATCCCACGCGTGGGTGACATATCATTGCCGAAAATTTTGTCTCCCGCTTTACAGGGGCAGATGAGGTATTGAACGATCATTGCGGCCGGGAGAACACGCAAGAAGCGGAGGCGGAGAGGAATACATTTTATTAAAAAATACATTTTTACTTTATGCTTCAAAATTGACTTCCATGGAGCGTAATGATTCCACAAAAACTAAATTTTTTCCGCACGAAACTTGCAAGGTTATGGCCAAAAAGGGGGTCGAGAATATTCGGGTGGTGCGCACTCGGGTGGTGAAAATTCGGGTGATGGATATTTGGGGAGGGTGAATATTCGGGTGATGAAGAAAATATTGTTTTGGTGGTTGCTAAATATGATGTAATATTGTAAAAGTTTTTAATTTGAAATTTTTTGCATTTTTATTCGTTTTTAGGGTTTTCGAGCATAAGGAATCCAAAAAATGAGGTCCGTTTCGCTGGAATATCAATGCCAACACTATTATTACCGTGATAATTGTTCGGAACACTGAAAATCTCTGTAAAATTTTTGGAATAATTCTAATTTTTCATTTTTTTTAGGCGGATGTTCTGGACAATACCACCGAGGAAGATGAGTGGATCTGGGTTGTAGACTTGGAGCACCTTCTTGAACCTTTCATTGGGAGTGTAGTAGACATTCCGCCGGATGAATGGCGGGACATCTCCAGCTAACGCGTGTGCAATGTCCAGATTGGCAATGCCTTCTTCCTCCTTCAGGGCTTTGATCAGGACTTCTATGGTTGGGTGCTTCTCTCGGATAGTTTGTTGAATGGCCCGATGCCACGCCTCGACATGGTTGTTTGTCCTGGACAAATCAACTATAGTATATTCATAACAATTCCAAAATGCTATTTCAAACAAAGGGACTTGCCGAGAATCTCCTGGAAGGAGGCCTGGCAGGCCAATCCACGTTCTTTCCATGTAGTCTTTCATCGGTATCAACAATCTTGTTGCATCGCTGCTAAGCAGATCGCGAAATTTGATCATCAACTGTTCAAAGTAATATTCGACATGTTCTGGCTTTGCAAATGGGAGGGCCATGAGATGGCGGATAAATCTGGCGAAAACTCGGTTGTCTTTGTAGTCTCGTTTGGCGTACTCGTTGACATTCCTCCTCAGACATTGCCAAAAGTGAAAATGACATCCGTACGCGGCCACTTGTCTACCATATACATCCTGGATTGCTTGCTTGGAGGCCATCTCAAAGTCCATGATTACTCTTTAAGGTGCTGTAGGCATTTTCAGGGCTTCTAGAACCCGTCTGTACGAGCTTCTGTTCTTCCGGCGCATAAGGACGTACACCAACGTCACCATCCTATTAGCGTAATAGCCATGGATGTCAAATAACTGGAAATTCGTATAACAATTAAGCCCATTTTTACTTTTCGTTGCGCGAGCTGCGCCCTAGTTTTTATCCAGGACGGCAAAATTGTAGAACTTTAAAAAAACTAACTATACTGCCTTACTAAGCGTTGGAATACTAAGCGATTAAAATATTACAAATGACGATTCATAACTTTGAAGGAAGAGACCGAGCGCGCTTTTGTTGCCGCAGATTTTTTCCTCGAGAAATACATTTATTGATAAAACTGGTTGATAGACCAATATTAGACACCTAACTTTTACATATACATACTGAATCAGAAAATTTTTGCGAATTTTTTGATATATGTCTAGACATGGCTAGTGGGCCGGGCCGACCGGGGGCCCCCGCCAGGCCCCCAATCGGCCCCCAATGACTAAAATTCTCAGTATCAAAGCGAAAATTAGGGTTGCCAATAAAAATAAAACGCAGAGCCAAGAACCGATTGGGTTTTTTGAAGTACTTTAGGCAATGGTTGGTAATTTTTTGTTTCAAAAATTTATTGTCGCTTGTTATAACAAAAAAATGGGGGCTAAGGTAGTACAACTCGATAGCCCAGTTCAGCCCCCTTGGACCCAGTATAAACCCCCCTCATCCAATCTGAAGCGCCTACTCGGGATTGGGTTCTCTCGGCTACGATCATCGTTGCCTGAACCACAAATACGAATTTGGACGGTAACTGGGGCTTTGAACGAAAACGCCTGGGGTCATTTTACTCTAATTTGCATTTTTTGTATAATTCTAATTTTTTAATTACGGTGGGTGTGAAATGGGCAAAACAGTGGGGGTTTGAACTACCTTTCGCGGGGAGCTGAACTACCAAAGCCCCAAAAAAATGTGTTATATCTCGCAACGAATGCAGTATTTATATTTACAGTTCGGCCCCCTGTCGGCCCCCGGCCCGGCCCGGCCCCCAGGGGCCGGGCCGGGCCGGGCCGAGAAAATTTGAAGGGGGCCGGGGCCGGGCCGACCTCTTCCGGCCCCCGGGCCGGGCCGCGATTTTCGGCCCGGCCCGGCCCCCCAGCCATGTCTATATATGTCCCGATCTGTAACTCCATACCCCATAGAAGTACTTTCCTTGTGCATAATTACTGTAAATATTTGCCTGATCATTTCAGATTCAAAATATGTGTTGTATGTCGTAATATCTTTATTTAACTTATACGTTGTGAGTACCAAATTGCGACAAATTTTCGATGCGACACAGTTCTCATTATTTTCCCGACAGACTGCTCCGTAAACGTTTTTGCACTTTCTTCTATACACATAAAATGCAATCCATTTATTTTTCGATTTATTTACAGTTTCAAATAAAACAAAAACAATCGAATCGTCCCAAATAATAAAAGCAGTACAATAAGTAAGTCTTTGGAATACAGACATCACCAGCGTTGATTGCGACCCTTCTCATCCGTAGTAGTAGGGGCTGCCATAGCTGTAGCCGTAGGACGGGTATCCGCCGTAGCCGTATCCACCGCCATATCCTCCCCCGGCGAGCAAGAGGGCGCCGGCGCCGTGCGCTCCGCGTGCGAGCAGGAGGGCACCGGAATACGCCGATTGGATCATGAACAGCAGCAGGATCGATACAACAATCATCTTCATGGTTCAAAGTTTTTGGGAAAGTCTGAAAAAAATCAGTTCAATTGCACAGGAGATGACTATGCGATATACTGCACGAGATACAAAGAAATGAAATTTATCGCGGCCTCGAATGCTGTTGCCCTCTGAAAACATAATTTGTCGCTCAAAAAATGGGTGCGGAAAGGGTACCCTCTCCCAGGCCCGGCACGATGAAGCTCATGATCCTTTTGGTGGAGATCTTGACACAGTCTTGTAGAGGAGAGAAAGCTGTATCAAATAAATATATTGCCTTTGCTAAACAAACAAACAACCCTTGTAAAACAAAGCAGTGAAAAAACGAACGAACTTTCTGAACGACCTAATGTTTTCTACATGGCGAAGCCGGCCGGCAAGATGCAAAAACAGATTTCTTAGCCCGCCTAATGAACTAACAGTCCGTCGGGAAAATAATGAGCAATTAGAAGCTTCGGAAATCGCACCGCCGAGAAAATGAATTGTGTTGCAGCAAAATCTCAAATTGCTTTCCATTTCAGCGATTGGCATAGCGACATTAAGCTCATTGTTTTTACGACAAACCTATAATAAATGGGGAAAAACTCTTCGCGCTTTCTCAGCATACTAGTATATATAGTCAACAAGATACCACAAGTGTACAACCACCACATACTGCCGATCTTATATATCCGTCAACCTAGAACGGTCGAAAAAGTGTTCGCCCAAACGCTGACGTCCGACGAATGTGTGTCGCAACCGACACGCCCGCGCTCTAGTTTTTCACCCGAGAGCTGGGTGATGCCGCGTTCGGAGTTTAGTGAACTCTGTTCGTGTTCCGCAACCTCAAAACACAAAGTTAAAAGTACCCGCCGTTTGCGTTAATGGTCATTTCCTCTTCGTCTCTTGAAGTTTCCAGATTTAACGGGTCGCGGTTAGCCGAACTGGGCAGTTAAAAACTTTGTGATTCGTTGGGAGTTTCAGAGCCGTACGAACTTCGCTTTCGGACCCACAAAAGATATGGTTTTAAACATCAAATTGCACTTTGGAAAGTGCAACAATCAGACTTTCATTGCACTTTCCACACACGTTCTGGCTCACAGATCAATTTTGGAAGTTTTAGCCTACGGTTTGAAGACGCAGATTTCCAACGAGCTTTGCGGCAGAGAGGGTGAGCGAAGTGCGGAGAGTCAGAGAGAAAAACAAACATTTTTTGGCCATATCACTGACAGTTTCGTGCAGAAAGGGTACCCTCTCCCAGGCCCGGCTCGATGAAGCTCATAATCCTTTTGGTGGAGATCTTGACACAGTTTTGTAGAGGAGAGAAAACTGTATGAAATAAATATATAGCCTTTGCCAAGGAACAAACAACCTTTGTAAAACAAAGCAATGAAAAAAACGAACGAACTTTCTGGACGACCTAATATTTCTACATGGCGAAGCCGCCGACAAGATGCAAAAACATGACCTGATTTCTTAACCCGCCTAATGGTATCAGTCCGTCGGGAAAATAATGAGCCTTCTGTCGCATCAAAAATCGCATCGCCGAAAAAATGAATTAGTAGCGACAAAATTACTTTTCACTTCAGCGACGCAATTGGCCCAGCAACATTGTGTTGACAGTTTCCCCGACAAATTGAAACCCTCTTTATATACCAGAGTTTATGAAGAAATGAGATCACACCGGTCGCTTGGCAGCCACTTTAAAAACGATTTCTTCACCTCAGAAAAATGAAGAAATTAGGCCGACATGAGAAGAAGACATACGGAAAATCAATTCAATATCTATTTTGTCGATAATTTCAACATACATCGCCTGATTACATTCGATATTTCATAACCGTAATTTCAGTTTGTTTATATTTTTGTTTGTTACAGTGACGTTGGAGACCAGTCTGTTCGTAAAGTTTCTGGAGTGATTTTTGATGTCTTCGCTGTGCAGTAAAATTCGGGGTGCGAGCGATAGCCAAAAAAATACTATGAACAAAAACGAGAAATGGCACAGTGCAACGTGAAATTTTGGTTTCGCACCGGGCATGTCGCAAAAATTACTCGTAAAACTTAAATAAATGATGTACTATTATTAGAACCTCGCACGTCAAACTGAGAAGTTCGGTGAACGGAATGGACTCTTCGCTATCGGTTTTTTGCACTTCGTCTTGAGTTTACAGAGAAGTCAGAGAAAAGACGCGCAAAAACGTACTCTCTCGCCCCAAAAAATCCCCATTTCTTCCCCGACTAAAAGTTTTTTCGCGTCTTTTTTGGCAAATTGCCAATCCATTCACCGGACTTTTCTAGCTTATCTCAGTTTGACGTGCCTCGTACTTGGTGGTCAACTTTTTTTTGTCAAGGTTACGCCATAAAAAATAGTCAGTAGTTGAAAAAATAAAATTATTTATGCTCCTGAACCCCCCGCTATTTGCCTAGACCCCGTAAATGCCCACCCCGTACGTTCGCACACCGTGTGTTCTAACAGCGTAAGGGCGCCCGCGCGCGTCAAACTGAGATAAGCTAAGACAGGCCGGTGAATGGATTGGGGATTTGCCAAAAAAAGACGCGAAAAAACGTTTTGTCGGGGAAGAAATGCGGAATTTTTGGGGCGAGAGAGTACGCTTTTGCGTGTCTTTTTTCTCACTTTCTCTGCGAAATCAAGACGAAGTGTAAAAAAGCGATAGCGAAGGGTCTAATCCGGTCACCGGCTCCTCAGTTTGACGTGCCGCGCTGTAAGGGCCTGTTTCCGATGCGAATGAACTAACACAACAACGAGTTCTATAATAAGTTCAGGTTCTTTTGCACGGTATTTCATTTCGAATGTTGAGTTTTCGGACCTCTTATATGTATGTTCATATGCTATTGGAACGCTTTATCAGTGTGCCGGGAAAATAATGAGCAAAATGTAGCTGCGTCGATTATGTAACAATAAAAATGAACTAGGGCTCGAGACTTCGCAGCCTGCGGCTGCTCACGTCTCTCGGGCAGCCCTGCGGATAAAGGCAACTTTGCGCCCGGTTTCACTGCTTTGCGCGCGATTTGAGCCGTCATTTTATCCTAATGTGATGAAAAGCTCGCCAAAGCTTTGCCGACGGCCTCCGGCCGCGGCAGAAAAACGCTACGCGTTAAACTGAGCCTAGTAGAAAGTTTCAGCGTTCAGAACGCTAAGCCTACCTTGTTTTAGATCAACACGTCAAGATCGCTAAGCTTGACCTAATCATTAAGCTCAGGTCAGTCCCAGATCGCTAAGCCCGGTTAAAGAGCCCGCCGGCATGAGGCGACGGCCTACGACCGCCGCGAGACTGTGTTTTGTTGCCTAAAAAATTTTCCCTTCCACCAAAAGTTGACCAAAAACACTTTCAGAAACCAAAATCAACTGAAACATCAAAAAAAAATGGACTCAACGCTCAAAGGTATCCTAAGATAATATTTTTCCCGAAATCCCCCTCAAATTTGGCCCTAAAACGGCCAAATCCCGAGAATCCAGGACAAAAAAAATAATTTTACAAAAATTTCTCGAAAAAATCCAGAAAACCCCGTCATGATGACCGTTTCCCTACCGCCCTCTTCACACTCAGCACTCTCTCCGTCTTATCTCTGACCGGAATCGAAAGAGAAAACCTTTGTCTAACCACCCTCCTCCCCTTTCCCACTCTCTCTTTTCTCCCGCCAAACGAAGAAGGAAGCGGTTCACTGCCCGCTCTCTCTCTTCGCCGCGCTCTTTTCTTGTGTTTTCGGTCATGGAAGTGGGCGTTTTTTCAAAACTGGCACTTGTTGCACTAAAAGTACCGGGGGAAAAGATACGACCATGTCTGAAATGACATGGAGATTCCGAATATGTAACTTTTAGACGAATTTTAGTTGGAAATTTTAGAGAAAAATCGGGTTTACAAAATTTTGACTTTTGGGTGCCTCCGGGGTTCACACGATTTGCGTTCATAGCTTGTTTGTACATCTCCTATATTCCGGTTGCAGAGTGATACTGCGACTCGCTATCATTTAACCGAGGCGATTTTTGAATTTCGACCTTGTTCCCGAGCTATGGTAACTTTCGTCAAAGTAAGTAAAATCCAAAAATTCGGAAATTTCAACACTGCCTTTTTACCTTGTCCGTATTTTAGGAGTCGATACCTGTTTCTACATAAGTTTGCCGTGCTGAATATGATGGATGAAATTAAAATCCGACAAAAATTCGATTCCGAGCCCTCAGGGCCGAATTTTGGTCGAAATTTCGAGAATTTTTTTTGACGGTACAGTGCGCATCGAATATTGCAGATAGAAAGCTGAAACGTGACACGATGGTAGTTCATTTTGTGTCCTATAGTACCCGTGAGATCAATTTTCTCCACCTCACTTATTGCCCTGAGGGCAATGTTTTTCGCACAGTGCACCAAAAATCGACCGAAATTTCCGGCCGCTCTGACGGCCGTAATTTTAAAGATACGCTGAAGACGTAAGCGGGTAATTTGTAGAACTCTTCGAGCTCTACAATCCATAGTTGAACGTTTTTGACGTCGTTGTTGTTCATCAGGGAGAAAAATTTGAAAAAGTCAAAATTTTGAAAATTTCGAAAAATTGCGTTTTCCGTCGGGAGATTTGTTTGAGGAGATCGCTACGTAGAATGTTCTGAAAAAGTTTAGGGACAATCTTCGGGCAAAAAAAATAAGATTTGCGAGTGATTTTTTTGAATTTCGACCTGGGAGCCGAGAACCATTTTGTCGAACTTTGCACTGTGCAAATCGTATTTTTTACAGTAAGCCATGGCTAAAATACGAAGTGCACTACAAAAAAGAAAGACACAACCTAATAGGAAGTTTGGTACGTAGAATTCAATGGAATCGAAAAAATCCAGAAAATCCGTCATCATGACAGGGTTTTCTGGAAGTGTAACTTTGTACATGGCCGTATCTACACATACATCGAGATATCTCTTAGTTATGAATTTGCTTTCCCGATATGGACCTGTAGAAGCTTGCATTTCAATAAAGCTGGACGCGTCGAACGTTTACGAAAAAAGGTTATTTTTTGAGATTTTTTTCGTAAATTTTAAAATTTCGAAAAAATCTCGACAGTGATTGTCCCATTATGTACCATACGCGACGAAACCAAAATTCAAGTCGATACCTATAAAACAAAGCGAGATATGGTAGCTCAAAGTTTTGACTTTTCGTGACGTCATAGGTCACTCAAAATTGAAAATTACGAAATTTTTTTTCAAATTTATGATGAGACAGTCTTAAGCAACCCCCATGCCAAAAATCAAGTCAATCGGAGCAAAACAAAAAAGAAACCAAAAACCTTATGAATACTTGTATTTTTTTTTAGATGTATCTTTCCATGACGTTTATTGCCTACAAAAGTCACAAAAAAATAAATGTAAATCTAAATTCTACAATCCGAAAAGTCTTTGGTACATATATGGCACTTCTCTCGAGCACTTTTTCATCTATCATCAGCTGTCCGAAGAATTAGCGTCCCACTCCGAAACTGACTTGTCTGTTCACCGTGCCCAGCGGCGTCTGCACACTCATGCTGCTGCCGCCGTTGGCTGGGATGAGGCGTGGACCACCGAATGCGCCTCCATACTGTCCGTTGAATCCGCCCTGTCCGCTGTATCCGCCCTGTCCTCCGTATCCGCCTTGTCCGCCATAGGCGCTTCCACTGTACGAGCCACCGCCGTATGGTCCGCCGCCGTACTGTCCGCCGTATTGTCCGCCGTACGCGCCACCACTGGCCTGTCCGCTGTAGGAGGAGCCGTACTGACCACCGTAGCCTCCACTGGGACCGCTTGCGCTCACGCTGGACTGGTAGTTACCACTGATCGGTCCTAAAAAATGGACGTGAGAGCTTCACGACTTGTTTTGCGAAAACATTCCTCTCTATGGTGGAAGTATGTAAGAAACTTTTTGTGTCAAAATTTGCCAAAAAGTGTCGCATTTTCATCAACTTTCGATATAAAAATCTTGGTTGTTTTTGTATAGCTGGAGCTCGGTGTCTCATAGAAAAAATTATTCTACAGTGACGGAGCTGATCCAGTGGCAAAAAACGTGCAATTACATCCGGGAAGCATAAAAATGTAGCAAAATGCTTCCCTCTCCAACTGAAAAAAGACTCCGTCTTGAAGGCTCCCTCACAAAAAGAGCGGGCGCGCTTTTGCAATCAGTTTTTTTACTTGGAGAGGGAGGTGTTTTGCTGCATTTTTTGATGCTTCCCGGATGCAAAATGACTGATATATAAGAAACAAAGAGATTATGGCCAACAGCGCCTCACATACCTTGAACTCCCAACTGTCTTGCGGCGTAGAGTGCACCGGGCGCCAAGGCCGCTCTGTTCGCCAAATGCATGCCAAGCTGAGCGTCCGCCAACATGGGCGAAGTCATCAGAGCGACCAACGCGAGTGCTGCGAACTTCATCATCGTGCAGAGTTGGTAATTTCTCAAATAGCAACTTCAGGGCTTGCTTGATACTCCACCGCCGCACTGCGGCTTAAATAGCCGCCGCTTAAGGTCATCGGCGATGGGCGTTGAACGGCACAGCGTATTTGGGAAATCTCCGCAGCCCATAAACAATTGACGTAACCTTTTGTGTCGGATCCATTTGTCGATCAAATTCAGCGAACTAAGTGACGAGAAAGTAGCGGGAGAGAGAGGGTGTGGACGGTTGAGCGGGAAGCGTGTGTACGGGAGAGACGGTGAGAGAAAAGGGGGAAAGCGAGACACAGCTACAGATAGAACTGATTTTGGGAGCTTCTAGTTCGTTCGAAATGTTGCTGAAGTCATTTTTACGACATCTGCCGTGCAAAAAACAAAAGTTTACGTTGCACTGTGCCATTGCCTGCTTTTTGCGCCGTTCAATAGGGTTCTTTGCGCTATCACCCGCACACTGACGTTTGCACAGTCCAAACGCCAAAAATTCACTTCAGAGACTTTTTTGAGTATCAGTCTGTCGGAAAAATAATGTGGATACTATTTTCATAGTTTCGAAATTTGAAACGGCCCGCACCGTACACAAAAACCCCATCTTGCACTGTGAATTTCATTCAGAACTCTCTTTACGTTGGATTCCAAGGACTTATTGCCGCGAGATAGGGCCAAAAATCTCCGACCGCTCTCCGCGTTTCGTGTCCTCTCTCGGCGAAGATCTTAATCACTGTATGTTGACTGTTTTTTATGTTTTTTTTCGTTTTTTGACTTCCGATCAAGACATTATGTAGATAAAGGTAAGAGAAGAACGAAATATCATTTAAAAAATTGAGTCGGACGGAGAAGCAAGCGTTCTAGATTTTACGAAAAAAAGAGGAGACGATAAAACGATGATAAAGCTGAGAATCAATCCGTCGATAACGATCAGAGCAACGTAAGAGACGCCATAGACACATAGCAACGCTGAAAAAGGAAAAAGCGTTCGCACGGCACAGCTAACATACCACTATCTCCGTTAGAGACGGCAGAGAGATCGTCAGCGCTTCCGCTCGGGGGAATACGTGCCGATCAAATCACGGTAACACAATTCAGCAAACGCCCGTTAGTAATTAACGACTTGCTAAGCAGCCTCGACGTCAGTTTCAAGCCGAACGCGCCAAAAAAAGACCGCTGGAAGGTTCGATTGTAAAAGGTTTCTTTGACTTCACCTTGAACTTTAGCAAGTAATCGGTTAAAAGTTCTTTTTCAACAGGTTATTCCATTCGTAATTGACCACAATTTGGTCTTGCAATTAGCAACACGTGCTCCAAAAAACAAATTCCAATCTTTTGGTGATCATCTTGGCTGTGGGTGATCGGAGAATTATTGGAGCAATTTATTTGTACGACGTGAAAATTAAACCATTTTGGAAAAGATTTTGGACGACTCATCCTGGCTGGCCCACAATTGCAGGCAACCACTCATAAAATGCATGAAGTTATTGTCGTGTGAAAAAAGGTCGACTGCGACCTTCACCTTCTCAGGTGAAAGTTGTCCAGAATGGGCCGACTATTGAGTAGAGAGCTGACTTCAACAACAAGGGTTTGAAACAAATCTTGGGATAGAGGACGTTGAGGCAACGACTTTCGAAGGGATTCCTTAAGGACTCTGATGAGTCGCTCATAAACCCCACCTTTCCATGGGGAATACGGGGTAGTAAATTTCAACGGCTGAGCCCCCATATAACGAACGTAGACACAACAGGGAATATGTTTATTGGGCCAGACGAGAAATATTAGATACAACCGCTCAAGAGGAGCGCGAGACACCGACTTCTGTGAACAGGGGAAATTGATCTTACGAAGACTTGTCCTTTGATTCTATGCAAATTCGTGGGAAATAATGGGCAACACAGAAGGTAAATATGATTATAGCTGGATGTTTATGTATTACCGTTGAAAATCAGCAGCATTTAGTGTTCTAGACCTTCCGGAAAGTTTCAGGACTGAAATCAATGACTTATGGCAAAAGAAATATGATTTTAACGCTGTTTCCGCGCAAAAAACACAAAAAATCCTTTTTTTATCTGACCGTCTCTTCTATTATAATATCTCTATTTGAAATTACTTCAGGTCGCTGAAAGGCCTAGTCACATCTTGCATTCAAAAACAACAAAAGTCCTATTTCCGTCCAGTGCGTAGTAGCATCGACTTGTCGAAACTGCAATCCGCATAAAAAGCGGCTAAATTTGCATTCAATCAGACAAAGCTGGACCAAAAATGTCAAAGTAGGAAAGGTTGTCCTCTTCTAACTTGCACCGCAATTTCATCAATATGTATTTTTCAAGGCCGCAAGCTTTTCGCATGATTTTTTGCAGCTTCTCCAATGAAAAACAGCTCTATAGCTGTTGATTTCTCCGAACAGCGGGTAAACAAAGCGTTGCACCTTCTGACAGTGTGATAAATTAAGATAGCAACTGTATGCTGGTCAATTCCATTACACTTTTTTTGATAGTGTAATGGGCAAAAGGTCAAGCGGTTTCATCGAATGTTTTTTCCAGAAAACTGTAATGTGATCAAGAAAAAGAAGATATTGTAGTTTTAGTCGGAATATTGCAGAGGCAACATTTTATACGATAAAAGGTTTTTGGCGTTTTTCCAAAGGCAAAAAACTATTTCTTGTATTTATAATTGTCGTTTTCTTAACAACGCAAATCCAAATTAAAAAAAAACCTTTCTCTGGAGACACTTTATACGCAAAATTTTCATTTTTTTCGGAAACTATGTTTTTTCCAAAAAATGTTTCGATTATTGCGAATTAGAGGTGCTTTGATGGCTCAGAAAAATACGTTACACATTTCGAATTCATTTCCGAGGGTGTGGCGAGATTTTATACACAAAAAATTTTCTTTGCCAAAAAATTTTATTTTTGCAACATTTTGGTACTTATTGCTTAATAATACTGTAAAACCGGCAGCTGTGGCCATCATCCATCACTTGAAAAATTTTGTAGTGTCATTTTATCCCACTTGGAGTCATTTTATACGCAAAAAATTTTCTTTGTCAAAAAATTTTATTTTTGCAAAATTTCTGTAAATACTGAAAGATATGATTGTAAAACTTGCAATTCTACTCATCTTCTCTTGAAAAACATTGTTTTGAAATTTACTCCCACTTGGGTGACATTTTATACGCAAAATTTTTATATTTTCCAAAAAGTCTCAAAACTCATTTTCTCGGTATCTTCTGACTTTATATTCTCCAAAACATACTCATAACGCTTCTTCAAGCCATTTGCGAAATGATAATCTAGATTTCCTTTCAACTTAATGAGATTGACTATGTCCTTTACATTCTCCTTGCCCACCCAATGCAACAAAAACAAGTTTCCTGCGGTTTACTGACGTCAGTTTATTTTTGCAAATTCAAAATCTACACAACACACAGAAGCTCTCTCTAACGGTGCCGGCGGCCGGCCGCACCGGACGCGCCCATGGAGGCCTTGTTGTTCGCGCCCATGTCGCCCTCGGCTCCCTTGTTCGCAGCGCCATGGCTACTGCTCTGCTGCTTTGTCTGGCCGTGCGCCAGGGCCACAAGAATGGCGAGGAAGATAGTTAGGAACACAGTCAATCTCATGTCTACTCGGTTAGCTTAGCGTTTAGAACAATACTGTTCTGGGGTTGCCTTGGGGCAGGCGTGTTTAAATAGTTGCCTCCGAACGGCGCGAGATTGTAAAAGGGGGCGGAAAAGTTTGTGTTGATTGTGAAAAACAAACAATTAGAAGATATTACAATGTAAAGCAGTTTGTATTTTCAAAAACAGTAACAAAAAAGAGTAAAGGTTTTGCAATCAGCATCATTCGGTAAATTCGAGCGAAAATCTCTTGGGTTAAAGTTCAATACAAAGTAAAGGATGCAAAAACAGGGCATTTACAAGGTCACAATGAGTGTAAAGCACGACCGACATAATTCCTCATGGTGATTTACCATGTTTTCCACATTGACACCGACTGTTACGAAAACATGTTTTATCGTATAAAATGTCACTTCGGTACAAAATTAAAGAGCATTTACAATTGATTTCTAAAATACGATCCAAATAGTTTGTCATGTTTATTTTACCATGTATTCCACATTTTACATCAAATTTTGGAAAACATTTTTCATCGTATAAAATGTCACTTTGATAAAAAGTGGTCACATTGATAACTTCGTTGTAAAATACGAGTCACTGGGTCTTGTCTTGTTTATTTACCATGTATTCCACATTTTACATTGAATTCTGGAAAAGCATGTTTCATCGTATAAAATGCCACTTTGATAAAAAAAATGCTCAATTCTATAATTTCGCTGTAGAATATGCCTTTAAGGAACCTTTCTTGTTGTAAAATACGCCTTTGTTGTTATTGGAATCCTTATATTTTTATTATGTTGTTGTGACAAGTTTGGAGTTGTAAAAAAGTATGACTTTAAAATTTCCTCGAGGTCAGTCCCGCCTACTTCCAATGATGTAATTGGCTATGGAATTGCATTGTCCATTGTTATTTGAAGAACTGTTATTACGTAAATACTTTATTGTTGCAGAGAGAGTCAAAGTCCGTCAAGCCCTAGGATTGCAGCAGATCCCCTTTAAACCGCACGTCGGGCATGAGCCACGTATATCAAGTGCTCAGAAGTTTAGTTTGCGCTTTACAAGGCGGCCGGGATATTCAAGCCGACGAAATGGAGCGCAAAACCCGGGGCGCGGCCAGAGAAAAACTCTTTTGCCCATGTAAGAGGGAAGAAATATGACCGATTTTGCGGCTTTGAAAAACACGTTAAATTTGCATTCTTGTGCTTTTTTTCTCATGTCCTTTCTGTTTCTATCCTATTTTTTCAAAGAAAAAGTTAAGAAAGGTTTTGCTCTGGAACAACGGGTGCGATCTTCCTTCTTCACTTTTACATAATATCATTGCCTTTTCCGTTTACTTGTTTGTTGTGAAAATATTAATTACTCTGTATGGTAAGTATAAAACCTTTCCAAAATTCGCAAAAGGTGCCGCATTTTTATCAGCTTTTTACCGAACAAATCTTGTTTGTTTCTACAAAACGCGAGATGAGAATTTCACACCTCCTCTAAAAAACGCCGTTTAGACAGGAAAACTAAATAAACTTATTACAAGACAAGTTCTCTCAATATCAGTTGAGCTCAAAACTTCCATTGTTAGGAATCAAAAACATATGTATATCGCGTATTTTACAATTTTATTGACTTCTAGGTTAATACAATACAGTAGTATAACATAAATCAGGTTACACAAGTGCAGATTCCAATCTTCATCCTGCAATGCCCACGTTGCTCGTCTCCGACGCGCTTGAGGCGCCAGCGACGCCAAGGCCAGCGCTCGTTCCTGTTCTGGCGTTCCCGAGGCCGCCGCCGGCCACCGGGCTGCCCAACCCGGCTTCAGAAGCCTGACTCTGTTGTTCTTGCAAGAGCTGCGCCAGCGCCGGCGCAATGATGAGGAAGAAGAAAACGAAGAATATAAAAATTTTCATTCTCAATTCTGTGTTGATTTTTCATTTCTGCAATGGTTTATATAGCAGCAGGAGTGGGATGTCAACAAGTTTTTCGATGCAAAAGATGAAATATTTGTGAAGGTTCGCGGTAAACAGATGGCAGGTTTTGAAATAACAGTGGACTTGCAAGTTCCGATTTTCAACTACCAAAATCTGACAAAAGAACCGCATCGTGCAAGACATGACTCGTGTCAAATTGAACACCCAAGAGAAAAGGGCGCTACGACTTTTCGGGTCAGTGACAATACTACGGATTTCCATATGCATTCGGATAGTACAAGGTTTGAAAGCGACTGAAAACCAGGGTCGAGGGTCAGTGGTTGCCCACAACAGAAGTGGTCTTATTGCAAGTCCTCCAACAATCCGCAGAGCGTCCGCTGACCTACCAACGGACATATTGCAAGCCTTATATCTACTCACATTAGTAATGTCAAGATAAAAGTTACGGATCTTCGTTTTTTGCCGCAAATTTTGGTCTTTTATATGTTACAGTAACTCATGATAAAAAAAACTAACGTTAGTAATATAGTTAAAATTAGAAAAGGTGGACATATTGCAAGTCTTCGCCAAGTCTCCGCCGAGCCTTCGCCGAGCATCCGCCGACCGTCCAACGGGCTTTCCAGGCCTTGTAGTCACTTCATACAACCTTTTTTGGGTGTCCACTTGCCATACGTCCCTATGAAAAAGTCTCGTAGATCGGTTGTGTCCCAAAAGTACAGAATGCAATGTAACGGAATGCTCAGCGAAGGACTGATAGTTGTTTTATTGTTTACAATCAACGAAAAGCGTCAAGGTCAGATCGACAACAACATTTTGCACATCACTTTTCAGTTTGTGTTAAAATCATATAAAAAGAAGAAAAGAAAATTTGCCCCAAATTCTGTGGCACTCTAAGGAAAAGGATTTTTATCAAAGTGAAATTCTATACGATGAAATATGCTTCCCAAAATTCAATGTAAAGTGTGGAATACATGATAAAATAAACGTGACAGAAACTATATGTGGCTCGTACTAATTCTCAGGACGGTTTTCGCCAAGTAGTATCACAAATTGCAATGCAAATTGTCCGCCAAAATCGCAATTTTTTGGTCGGAACTATGATTTTTTCCTCTGTTTTATAGATTAATTAATATTTTATGAAATATTACCTATCCAGATCGTATTTTACAACTAAATTTACTTCCACGATTCACAACACAGCTATTATATAAATATTATATAGTCCAGTGACGCCATAGATACAGACTCCAATCCCAATCTAGAAAAGCCTCTCATCCTTCGCTGCCGGTCCAGCCGTTGCCGGTTTGGGCGGTGTTTGCAGAGGCAGCGGCGGCGTTTGCTGCTGCTTGACCTCCGCCGTTATTCCAATTAGCAAATGGGTTGGCTTGGCCTTGCTGCTGATAGCCGCCCCACTGCGCCACAGCCAGCACGGTGACCAGGCCGAAGAAGACGAAGAGTAGCAAAAGTTTCATTCTCAATTTTGGGTTCAATCTTCACTCATACGATGACTTTTATAGTGCATGGAATGGGATTGTAAACAGGTCGTTCAGCGGACAAACACCAAACATTCGTGAAAGTCCGCAGTAAACAAATGGCGGATTGGGAAATACGAACGTCCGAAACGAGATTTCGGACGTTGAGTAATTACGAAAAATCGTCGCAAAAAAGTGTTATCGTGCAAATGACTCTAGAACCAAGAGAGAAGCAACTCTGTCTTCAAGGTGGTTTTTCGTCATCAATTGCGGCTTGCAAAATGAAATCTTTCTTGATTGTTTCTTCACAATTTTGGCAAGCACCTAGTCTCCATTTACAAAACTGACCGTTCTTGAGCCAATTGAACTTGCAGGAGAAGTGCTAAAAAGCAAAAAAGTCTTGACATGTCTGCACAGTGCGACGTCACGAGAAGCGCTTCTCACACGGCGACCAGAGAGTGCCACGACTACGGAGCCGGCTCTTGGCTCCGTGTCCGATTCCACCTTCGGATAGAAAAGAAATCCAACGAGATGGCTAGTGGTCTTGCGGTGGTTTCCTCAATCGATTACCTTGCGCAACTGCTTCTACCTGAAAATACTCGGCCTTCCACGCGGAAGGTTGCGAATGTGGATGTCGGGTAATCGAAAGATATCGTTCCCCTGAACACGAGAATAAAGTAATCAACTCGAATAAATGATTTATCAAGAGATTAACAAATACAATAAAACTAGTAGTAAAACGCAATTACTCAACACCAACAATAACTTCAATAATACTCCAACACTTCAATATAACAACGCGCTTCTACAACAACACGACTTCGCTTCACAACAACACGGCTGATCAAAGTATGGGATAAAACCTCAGACAAGGTTCGGGATCTTTCCATCGAACATTCTCGAACATCGGGGAAAAACAGCTGGGGAAAACAGTTGACACAGGGGACATCTCCCTCTCTCCATAAATTCCATCGAGTTGACACATCGTGGACCGGCTCAGAGCCGGGAGCTAGAGCTGGAGTCGGAGATTTTGCGTCCGGCTCCCGAGCCCAAAGTCGGAGCCAGGCTTCTCAGCGTTCAGAAAGGTTAAAATTTCGTGATCTTGTTGAACCAATTGCTTGAAAAACACTGGGAAGGATGTGTTGCGTACTTACAAATTGGCTCAAAAACGTTTTTTTGCACGGGAGCCGGAGCCGAAACTTTACCCGTGGCAATCGCTGGCGGCGATCGGTATTATCAGTCGAATTATCAAATCTTTGCCATGACGTTTTGGGCAGAGTTTTCCGAGCTTTCCGGAAGTGGTGAAAATTTTTTTAAAATACGTAGATTTCGTTGATGTTGATCTTTATCTTCACATATAGTTTTACATACAGATATCACCAAAATTTGATATTCTTTCACAAGAGAGTAGTTCAAGTGCGACGCACGTCAAACTGAGATAAGCTAAAACGGTCCGGTGAATGGATTGGCAATTTGCCAAAAAAAAAGAGATAAAAAACGTTTCACCGAGGAAGAAATGGGGAATTTTTGTGGCGAGAGAGTACGCTTTTGCATGTCTTTTTTCTCTCTTTCTCTGCGAAATCAAGACGAAGTGTAAAAAACCGATAGCGAAGGGTCTAACCCGGTCACCGGACTCCTCAGTTTGACGTGTGACGTTCAGTGGTTCGGTTAGCCGAGTGGATAAAGCATCCGCTTGATATTCTCAGCCAAGTCTCCGCCGAGCCTTCGCCGAGCGTCCGCCGAACATCCAACGGCTTTGCAAGGCCTCGCAGGCACTTCCTACCATCTTTTTTTGGGTCTTCACCTGCCCTACATTTCTCTGTTGACCCGAACCGTCGTCGACCCAAAAAGCTGTGAACCGATTAATCATTCCTTATTAGGAAGGAGACAAATAACGAGTCGTATTTTATAATTTAATTTTCATCAATCTTTCACAACACATCTACTATATAAAATGGCATGACATCAGTACAGACTCCGCAACCAATCTCGGCCAGCCCACTCATCCTTCGCCGCCGGTGTAGCTGTTGCCGGTCTGGGCGGCATTCGCGGCGCCGGAGCTGGCTCCTCCACCTCCTCCGCCACCGCCGACGTTGTTCCAAAAGTCGACGAATGGGTTGTAGTTGCCCTGCTGCTGATAGCCGCCCCACTGTGCCACCACCAGCGTGCCGAGCAGGCCGAACAAGACGCAGAGAAGCAGAAGTTTCATTCCCAATTCCGGGTTGACCCCCTTCACTTATGCGCTGACTTATATACCGAAAAGAATGGTAATGTAAACAGGTCGTAAGCGGCCAAAAACCAACTTATCTTGCAAGGGTGTGCAGTAAACAGATGGCAGATTGCGAAATCGCGGCCCCATTTCGGACGCTGATTGTTTTAATTACAAAAAATCTTTTAAAAAAGTGTTGTTACTGCAAATGACTCATGGAATTTGAAGAAACAAGAGAGAAGAAAGTCTCAAAGTGTATTTTTCGTCGCAAATAGTGGCGCGAGAAATCTTTTTCGGCCGTTTCTTCATCAACTTGACGAATCTATTTTGGAAAAACTGACCGTTTTCGGGCAAATTGAACTTGCAGAAGAAGTACTAAGCGGGCCAAAAAGTGTTGATATGTCTGCCGCCGCGGAAAAAGCTTGTCGCACGACTAGCTATACGTGCTAGTCGTACCAGAAAGTACGTAGATTTTTGTCGGCCTTTCCCTGTTACCCGCGCGGCGCGATCCTTTTCGAAGCATTTTGCACGGTGCAATTTCGAAAAATTTGCGCCGGCTGACACGGGAAGTACCCCAAGTGCGACGCTCAGATTTTCTTTAAATTTTGCATAAACGTCGGGCATCAACTAAATATCAATTCCTGAAAGTTTTAGCTCGCGCTTTTCAAGCGCCACCGAGATATTGAACGATCGAGAGTACGCCCAACGCGGAGAGCGGTCACAGAGAAAAACGCTTTTTGGCCATAAGCAGTTTCGTGAGGAAAAAATTGATTTTTTGTGGAAAGATTACCCTTTACGGTAGAAATCGGTATGCAACTTTTTGTGCCGAAATTCGGCAAAAAGTCCTAAATTTTCGCCGACTTTCGATCTAAAAATCTCGGTTGTTTCTGCAAAGCGCGAGTTAGGATTCTCGCATATATTTTAGAAAAAATTATTCTAAATCTGTGCCAAGTTTCATCAAAATCTGAGCGTCGCACTTGGGGTACCTCCCCTGTGAGTTGAGAAAAGCTCGCTGCGATATAGCACTTGCACGGTGCAAAAGATCGAATGCACCCCGAACAAAGGGAATTTTGTGCACAGTGCGGCCCACAACAAAAAATCTACTCACTTTCTGCAACGACTAGCAATATCAGTCTGTCGGGAAAATAATGTGGATACTTCATAGTTTCGACATTTGAAGCGGCCCGCATCGGACGTTTCACTTGGAATATTATCATCAGACTTTTGGTTGTTCGGGCGGACGGCCATTGTTCGCCGTCCTCACCTCTTTCTATTGTGTGATTTGCCCTTTTGTTGACGTATTTGACGTAAATACCTCAGTAATTTATCTTGTCATTCCTTTATTGGATTTTATACTTCTTTTATATACTTCTTAGAGACCTTTGCCCCCATTGATGGTATAAAAGGCTCTATGTCGCATCGATCGTCGCTGAGAAATATACAGAGTGCTCATAATTTTTCCAACAGAATGATATTTATTATAAATCTATGACGTATGTTCCGTTTTTTTTATTTGATTTCGAAACAAACAAAAAAAGTGATGTATGCAATGTTGTCGCTGAATTTGACCTTGATGTGTTTCGTTGATTGTAAAAATAAAACAATTACCCATCAGTTCGCTCGGTTTTTATTTGGAGAATGAGAATTCCGCTGATTTACAGCTGAAATGAGGTCAACTGAAGCTCAAAATCAATGATGAAAAGGCCAACAATGTAGGTAAAGGTTTGTGCAGTTGTCAAAATGTTATAAAAGTTGCTGAATAAACAGTTGAAACGGCTCTTTTTTGAATGAATTGCAGAAAAAAAGCAATCAAAACAAAAGGATTTTAAATTTCAAAGGGATGGATTTTCATTTGACTGAAGCCTGCAAATCGTTGCAAGTTCTGCTTGGCTGAAGGCAGTTTGGCTTATTGCCCTCTACCGACATTCCTTTGCTCAATTGAATTGGTCGAATCTGCGGTAAAAATGGAAGAATAAAAGGCTGGGTCGGTGGTAGCGTCTAATTGTAAGGTCTACATGGGAATTGCTCCACATCTTACACTTGACATTTTATAATTATTTTTATTGTATAGTAGAGCAATGTTTCCGCAAAAAAATCAATTTGTTCCGCGGGAAACTGGCTAAGGTACGGCCAAAAAGTGTTTTTCTCTGACCGCTCTCCGCGTGCTCTTTTCGGCTGCAAAAATTGTTGAAAAAAATTGTATAAAGATAACGAACCCTTTGAAAATGTATTTACTGTGTATTGTCCACTGGCGGACCTGATCCAATGGCAGGAAACGTGGCACTTTGTATCCGGGAAGGTTCAAAAGAGTAGCAAAATGCCCTCTTTTCCAATCGAAAAAACGCCGATTTTAAAAGCGCGTCCGATCTTTTTTGTAAGGGAGCCCTTCAAAACGGAGTTTTTTAGTTGGAAGGGGAGGCATTTTGAAGTATTTTTGATACTTCCCGGATGCAAAATGATAGGGTTTTTGCCACTAGATCAGGTCCGCGATTGTAACTAATCTACTGGCCTAGGCAATTTGCCATATTTTTGATGCAAAATGGGACGTTTCTTGTCGCTGGAAACTTACCATTGGCAAGTACGTCGCTGTCAAAAATTTTTACTTTTTACTCCTGAACTATGAAAGACCTATTGGGCGCAAGTTGAAGGAAAAATTGTTAAATGGGGACAGGCCAAAAGTGCTTTTCTCTGACCGCTCTCCGCGTTTTTCGTATTCTCTCGGTCCCAAAGACTGTTGAATATCTCGGCTGTGCTTGCAAAGCGCGAGCTAAAACTTTCAGAATTTGATATGTGACCCATGTCCGAGATGTGTGCAAAATTTAAAGTAAATCTGAGCGTCGTACATTATACACTTCAAGTTTCAAGTTTTTTGCAGTCTCAAGCCGTAGAGCCTCAAATTTCATAACAAAATTACCTCCGTTCAACCGCTTAGGTCCCTTTTCCCCACTGTTTTCCTCACTCAGTTTCACTGTAATCAAATGCCCGTCCATTTAATCAAACGTTTACTTCGTTTCCCCTCAAGCCAAACCAATGAAATGGTGTTTGCCTTGAGGGCATGAAAATATTTTTGAGTTCCTTTCGACTTCTCCGCGCCTTTTCCGAACCTCATTCCTATATTAGTGTCGAATGGGGCTGGTCACGGAAACTTTTTATATGCCTTATTGCCGTAACATGCTATACATAACATATAACATGTATGCATCGGTTCTCGAAGGCGGATGTTTTCGCATTTTCTCGGAGAATTCGACTTATTCGAGGGGGATAGTTAAGTCTAATAAATTTTGAAAATTTAAATTTCACACTGTGAAAAGCAAAATTTCTTATGCACCGTGCAATAAAATCGACAAAATGTGGGCACCGTGCGATAAAAATTTCCAAAATTTATGTTTTCCACTGTGAGAAATGAAATTTTTTTTGCACCGTGCAATCCAAATTTTTGGTTTTTTGCACTGTGCGAATATTTAGGAAAAATTTTCCGCACTGTGCAGTCCAAGAAATAAACACAAATCAGCTGCACCGTGCAAAAAAATCGAGAAAATGTCTGCACAGTGCGACTAAAATCATCAAAATTTATTTTTGCACTGTGCAAACCAAATTTTCTCCCGCACTGTGCGAACAATATTTTTGGTTTTTGCACTGTGCGAAAAATCGAAAATCCCAAAAATGTAAAACTTTTGATGAATAAAAATTTTCTGATATTTTCGAGATTTTTTGAGATTAAAAATGGCTAAAAATTTACTATTTATTTTTGGATTTTTTTTTTTTTTTGAGATTAAACATCAGTGTTTTATTCGAATAGCGGAGTAAAATTTTTATAAAAAAAATCTTTTTTTTCTCCATAAAAGTGTCCAAAATCAAGCGAAAACAAGTCTTTTCTCTGACAGTCTCTCCATTTCCCATTCTCTCTCGTCTGAAAAGATTGTTGAATATCTCGGCTGATACTCCAAAGTAAAAGCTGAAATTTTTAGTGATTACTCAGTGCCCCACTACTATCATTTTGCGCCATTTAACTTTTTCTTCCGTCAAAAAAAATTTTCGAATGTTATCCATATTATCCATCTCATTTCATCCCTCGAAAACTCTCTTCATCGCCTCTCCATTTTTGGAGATTGACCCAAAAAATATCTCTTTTTTGAGTGCTATCCCAATCCCTCTCTGACGCAATCCGATCGAAAAGTGACAGATTTGGCGAGAGAGTGGGGGAAAGCGAGAGAGCGGCGAGAGAAATGAGATGTGGCGCCAAAATCGCGGCGATTAATGGGCGCGAAGCCGAGGGAAATGCCGAAACGAATTTTCGTCGAAGGGCAGTTTGAATGGAGAAAATTTTGGTGGGGATTTCGAGCGGGGTAAGCGGGGATTCGATGGGATTTGGAAGGATCTTTGTGGATTTTAGTGAAATTTTTATGAAAAAACGCTATTTTCACTTATTTTTATGTGTTTTATTAGCATTCTTAGTATTTGAAAATTACTATCACCCCTCGAGAATGCCATATATAGTCTCGAACTGCGGTAAATTCACCGATTTTTTCGATGAAATCAAGATTTTTCCAGATTTTTGTCCTTTTTTGGATAAAAAATGACTTTACAGTTGTTTGTAGACCAATTTTTGCTGTGCAAAGAAAATTTCATGAACTCCTAAGGACCCCAGATTATGTTACTGGTCGAAAAATCCTGTTAATCGACCGATTTTAACCGAAAATTTGAAGTTTTTTTGCAATTTTTTCGTATTTTTTGCTATTTTTTGTTAAAAATTGTGTTTTTAGTTAATTTTTTGATTACTTTTGGTTACTAACTACAAATAAAATGATCTGTGGATATTTTAAGATTTATATTTCATTAGAAATTATCTTAAAATCTCGATTTTTTAAAACTTATTCCCCGTTTTCCCTCAATTTTCCGCATTTTCTCCAATTTTTCTTCAAATTTCATCCAAAAAATCGTTACGAAATGTTCAAACTTTATTTCCATCCACGTCTAAGCTCACAACCTCTAATCTGGCC